TTCAGTCTGAGTGTGTCTGAATCTGAGGATAAGGAATACAAATATTAAATGGGGGTTCAATGCATTTACAGAGTGGCATGCCATTCCACCTAATACAAAATTCCCGTTATTATTATTATTATTATTATTATTATTATTATTATTATTATTATTGGTTTTTTAAGACAGGGTTTCTCTGTGTAGCTTTGCGCCTCTCCTGGAACTCACTTGGTAGCCCAGGCTGGCCTCGAACTCACAGAGATCCACCTGGCTCTGCCTCCCGAGTGCTGGGATCAAAGGCGTGCGCCACCACTGCCCGGCAATTCCCGTTGTTATTGAGTGCATGGATGGAGGAGGATAGAGAATGGCAGGTACCCAGTCTCTCACTCAAACGCAGAATAATAAAAAAGAAAAAAATTCCAAAGAGGCAAAGTAAGTGCCAGGGGCTGGCAAAGGGCAACGGGGAGAGTCGGTGAGGGAGGATGGGCTTGGGTTTTGCATGTGTGTTATTCAGGCTCAGCATTGGCGTGCATGTCCTTGCTGGGGCACAGAAGTGACCAGGCTCCCGACTAGACAGACAGAAGCACAAATGCGCCGAGAAAGAGAGGTGACCCACATGCTGAGGACACCGAAGGGTACAAGCCACTACAAGTGTTAGCTCCCCGGCAGGAAAGGGAAAGGGCAGTTCCTCTTTCAAACAGACCCGTCCAGAAAGGGAGCTTTGAGGAGAGACTGTGGGGGAAGGGGCAGAGCTGCGAAGGGGAGGGGTTACAGAGAGAGAGGAGCACAGAGTGGGAGGACACAGTCAGAGAGGAGGAGGAGGAGGAGGAGGAGGAGGAGGAGGAGGAGGAGGAGGAGTCATCTCAGAGGGACTGGAGAGATGGCTCAAAGGCTAAGAGCCCTGGCTGCTCTTCCAGAGGACCTGAGTTCAGTTCCCAGCATCTATAATGGGATCTGGCGCCCTCTTCTTGTTGCAGGTACACATACAGGCAGAACACTGTGTGCATAATAAATAAATAAAAAGGAGAGGGAGGAGGAGCTGCAGAACAGGAGTCCAGGCCTTGTAGAAAGCCATGGTTGATTCACTCTGGGGCTGTGACACCAGGGCCATGGTCCTGTTTGCCCTCCAGTCTCTCTGCTTTTGTCTCATAGTTTGTATGCCCCCAGCCCTGTGTGTGTAACTATGCCATCAGGGTCCACAAACGGTCTCTCAGTCTGTGTGCGCCCACCAAGTGGAGGATTTTCACTCTTACGGCCCCTTTCCCATGCCTGTTGTCTAGGGCATACAAGCAGGTGTTTTGGCTCCCTGGCTGCCCTGCCCTCTTCAATTCTGTCAGTGAGCCGCTCTCCTTAAAACCACCCAGCTGTGAAAGTCCCTGGAAGTGCATTCCTGTGGGACTTGGTATCTACCTGTGGGTTTGGAGCCAGAAGAATCTGCTCCTCTATTACATTCCACGAGGACTGGAGAGACTCAGGGAACAGTTGTTTTGTCGAAGGATGCAAGCAAGGAATGGGACAGATCCTGGGCTGAGCACTGAGTCTCCTGGACTTTGACATGTGGAAGATACACAGGTCTGCAGGGGTCATTGCAGCATCAGAAAGCTTTGGTGCAAGCATTACCATAGACTCAGACCCAGGTGGGAGATAGAAAACCCAGCCCGAGTGGTACTTCATGGATGAGCCAGTGAGGTAACGGTGAAGACCACCAGTAGCTCAGGACCACCCTGGAGTTAAGAGGAGCTGGGCCTGGTTCCATGTACTTGAAATTCCAGCACTCAGGAAGCTGAGGCAGGAGGACCATGAGTGAGTTTAAGGTCAATCCAGGCTACAAAATGAAACCCTGAATGGTATCATCCAAGAAGGAAGATCCGACTTTCCCAGGAGGCCCTGGAGGCAGCCAGGGAGCTAAATATTTCCTCTGTCCTTCCATGCATGCCCTAGAAGGACGTGAGGCATGTATGCCTCCACATAAGCTAGTGTCTCCATAACCTCCCCCCAAACATGTGAACTAACACCTGTGCAGACATTTACACTCACCCCCCCCCCCCCACACATCCGTAAGAGCACATATGAGTGCATCAGTGTGGCTTTTCAGGGTCTTGCTCCTGGGCCTGGTGTCTTCTATTTCTTTCTTTCCTCATTGAGATCAGGTGCTATCTCCTTTGAAATTCACACGCTAAAGCCCCTCCCCTGTGGTACTCATGTTAGGGGTGGGGCTTTGGGGAGGTGATGAGGCCATGGGAAGGGAAACTTGTGAGTAGAATGAATGTGCCTATACAGGGATCCCCGAGAGTGCTCTTGTCTTCTATGTCAGGTAAGGACTGGGGATACTAGTCGGAAGAGGGCCCTCACCACAGGCTCAGAGTGCAGGCTAGGACACAGAACCCTGGCCTTGGTTCCAGAATAGGAGTCAGACTGGAGGCATGAAGTAGTTCCCAGCCTACATCTGGCTGACTCTTCCCTAGGTCCCACACACTGGCAAGTGGGGGACAGCTAGAGAGTGTGTGACACACGAGACAAGCTTTCGTTCCCCATGTCCTTAAATGGGGCCCACAGGGAGAGCTGTATGCCTTCCTCAATACCGGCTCCTCAAGGGTCAGGAAAGACCAAGGAGCCCACAAGATACCCCCAACCCCAGCTCATCTTCTCCCTAGACAGGTTCTTCTCTGGGTTTGGGGGAATGAGCAGTCCTGCTTGGGACACGGAGCAGTAGGTGCCGCCCAAGCCCACGCTGGGGGAATGAACAGCCCTGCCTGGGGCATAAAGGCACTGTCAGTGCCCAGCTCAACCCCAGCCTCAGACCCCTTGGCCCTGGTTAGGTTGGTTCTTATTGGGGTTCCACTCTCATTTAAGGTCACCACAGACCCAAGCCAGCCTGAGCATGGTACAGAGACCAAGGTTGCCTGGGTCACAGATGTGGACATGGCAGAGTAGGTATGAGTCAGGGATCGGTGTGTGGCTAATGGCTGTCCCCTTATACTGCTGGGTCCCAGGAGGGCCAGGTGGGGAGTAGAACAGGTTGTTCTAGTCCCCTTGGAGTAAACTTGATCCTTCTTAGGGCAGACGTGGGTCCTTGGCTTTTCTTGGGTGTCCATGGGTTCCTTTAAAGTAAGCCTGGGTCTTTGGGTTGGTTTGTGTCCCCTTGGACTGATCCTTGACCCCTGTGTGGTCTTGTGGTTCCTTAGATGTAGACCTGGTTCTGTGTGGTGGTCCTGGGTCCCCTTCATGGTCAGTGCCAACTTTTGCCTTCAAGACTGCTTACTGGATCCCTTCGACACCGTCCTGGGACCCTCCGCTCTGTCCCCTACCACACTCCATGATGCCGGTCTGAGGAGAGCTGGACCAGCTGCCCTTCTCCCTGCTGCCCACATCACAGTGGGAGGGAGGACACAGGCGTCTTCCTGCTCCTGACCACCTGCCCTTTGCCTCCTTGGGGCTGAGGGTGAAACTGAATCCTGGACAGTGACACCAGGGCTATTTTGGAGCTAGGCTGGGCTGGGCTGTCCAGAAATGGGGGTGGGGCAGGGGCGGGCCCTGCCTTCTTCAGCTGACAGCCTTTGCCTGTCCTTTCGTCCCTGTCCAGTCTGAGGACCGGCTGGAGTGTGGGCTGCTGGGTGGGAACCACATCGGCCTGGGCCCCAGGAAGGAGGCAAGACCCAGCAGCCCCCAACTCACCACCTGTGCCCCTTGCCTGGGCGCTGCCCCAACCCCTGGTAGACACAGGTGAGGAGGCAGAGCTGCCTGGAGGGCCGACTTTTGCTCCTGGAGGTCAGATGGGCTGAAGGTCATGGTGTTCTGTGGAACTTGGGGACCTTAGGGGTCTGGTCAGCCTGGGCCCCTCCCTGAGAAGAGAGTGGGCTGGATGCCAGACCTGGGCCCTTCTGTGACTCTGGGTTGAGACCTCAGAATGGGAAGGGGGCAGTTTGCCCTTAGGGTTCTGGGAAGTCTGGGGCTAGCACTGTGCAACCCCTGGCCGGGTTACCCCTCGTCTTCCTGCTGCCTGGGGGTCTGATGGCCCTGCCCCCAGCTCTTCCGCTGACAGCTGGGGCTATTTTGGGCCTGTTGGCTCAGTGGAGGGGACAGCCAGAGGGGCACTGACACTTGACTCCAGGAAAGAATTTCCCGGGGAGCGGGGGAAGCCACAGCCCTGGGGTCTAAGGTGAGGCTGAGCTCAGGGGCTGCCCTTGGGAAATCTGCTCTAGAAGGGCATGGGGGCCACAGGCCTGCTGGTTCTGCTCTTGGAGTGGTGGAGAGGAGAAGGGGGGCCAGCAAGGTGGAGTCCCAGGGAGGGATAGCCTCTGCTTCTGGCCAGTGTCTGTGTGTCACCTCCCACTTGGTTCATCCTGGTCCACCCTGCAAGAAGCAGAGTAGCCAAGTTCTGTTAAGTTGTGGAGGGTGTGAGTGGTGTGGCCAGTTCTATGAGCCAGGGGCAGGGGCTCCTGCAAACCCCCCCCCAGGCAGTAGGGGGTCCAAAGCACCTGCTGGGTTGGAGCCGTCCTCTAAGGGTTGTGGAATAGCTGACTTCTGAGGAGGAAGAGGCTTCTCTGAGAGGCTGGGGATGACCACCTGGACGCTCCTGCTGAGGACATATGTCCAGCGCCTCCAGCCCAAACCAGGCGAGAGGAGGGGCCTGTCTGGGATAGAGTTCCTGAAGCTTCTGTCACAGTCTCGGTTTCCTCATCGGCAGGGAAGAGAACAGATCCCCAGTTCTGGAAGCCCTTCTCTGGCCTAAGAGCTGCTTGTCAGGGTGGCCGAGTGGCTCTGAGGCCGTCATTGTGACCCCGTGATAGTGGCCAGTGCCTTGGTGTGCGACTGACGGGTAACAATTGTGGAAGGAATGCAGGCCTTGAGCAGACAGTGAGACCCAGGGGCACCATCATGGCGGCTTAGGAGAACTCTAGTCTTCAATCACTCTTGAATCTCCAGGGCTTGTGGACCTGCTGAGGCTGGGTCGAGCTCCCCTTAAACATGTGTGTGGGAGGCTGTTTGCATATTCTTTTTTTTTTTTTTTTTTTTTTTTTTTTTGGTTTTTCGAGACAGGGTTTCTCTGTGTAGCTTTGCGCCTTTCCTGGAACTCGCTTTGGAGACCAGGCTGGCCTCGAACTCACAGAGATCCGCCTGGCTCTGCCTCCCGAGTGCTGGGATTAAAGGCGTGCGCCACCACCGCCCGGCTTGTTTGCATATTCTTGTTCACGTGTTTCACGCTGGGCCACCCCAGGCTGTGCAGAGGATGGTGGGTAGCGTCGCAGGGTGCCCTGCCATGCTTCTGGGGAAGTTGCAGACTGAGTATGGAGGGTAGAAAGAGCTCTGACGCAAGGCCCCTGGTGCTGATGTCAAGGCAGACCTTCTATGGGACAGATGCTGAAAGGCATCTCCAGGGGCTGGACTTGGGCCCCGGCTGGTGCTGCCTGACGGCCCTATGCTAACCTTAAGAGACGAGGCCTGTTTGTGGGTGGGGGACAGAGGTGCTGACTGGGCAGTGAGTCAGCAAACCGGCCAGTGCAGCCCAGCCCTGGTCCAGAATCAGCCTCCTGGAAGAGGATTAGGGGGATTAGCTACCTGAATCACAGGACTGGGAGCTGGAGGGTCGGGGAATATAAACCCATCCACTGGCCGGTCCCCTATCATTCAGCCCAGGCTGAGAGATTGGTAAAGCAGAGCAGGTACAGAGGCTGTGGTGAAGGTCTCTGCACTGGGGTGTTCATGCCTGCCGGGGGTGGAGGAGGTTAGCCTGCTGAGCCAGCCATGGTGCCCACTGTTCTTATATAAGACCTGGTGCAGGCAGGTAGTCCCATCCACTCACTGGATCAGTGGCTAGTTGGCTGGGACTAAGCTTTGATTGGGCAGAGGCCAGTGTTAATCTGGGTGCCGATGATTCCTAGGACGACTGAGGCATGCAATCTCATTCTTGCAGGGGGTCCAAGTTGGCAGAACCATGCTAAGGACTGAGTAGTGACAAGGCCATTGGGCCCCAGGCTAGCTTTGCAGCCATTGACTGCACTGTTCCCACACCCTGCCCTTACTTGGGGCCAGGCTTTCCCTGAAGACTGGCACTATGAGGGCAGACAGGTTCTAGTGAGTATGGGGCTACCTTCAGCCCAGCGGATGAGGGCACTTCGGTTAGGATGAGCCCCACTTCAGGTGAGGGTCAGGGTTCCTTTCCTTTTCTGCTGGTTGAAGAACATGTCCCCTTGGGAGTCAAGAGGACTTGCTGGTTTGGGTAGAGAGACTGGAGTTGGGGGTAGAGCGGAAGTACATCAGGTAATTAAAGATACTAGACTTCCAAGTCACGGAAAAGCTGAACTGCTGGACTTCGGAGTCACTAGGGTGGCTCGGGAGTGGAGGGGAAAATGAGACTTGCGGAGGGGGCAGCCCACGTGGAGGTGCCCGTTTGGTTGAATTGGGGTTTCCTGTTAACACTGTTAGACAAGGAAGAGGGCCGAATGTGGCACAGGAGACTGGCTCATCTCAATAGCATCATGGCCTTCATCTTTGCGTTTTGTAGACTCCCAACCCTGCTGCCACCATGGACCACTCCTTCAGCGGAGCGCCCCGCTTCCTGACGCGGCCAAAGGCTTTTGTGGTATCTGTGGGCAAGGATGCCACACTGAGCTGCCAGATCGTGGGTAACCCCACGCCACATGTGAGCTGGGAGAAGGACCGGCAGCCAGTGGAGGCAGGAGCACGCTTCCGCCTGGCCCAGGACGGGGATGTGTACCGCCTCACCATCCTGGATCTGGCGCTCGGTGACAGTGGGCAGTATGTGTGTCGCGCGAGGAACGCCATCGGTGAGGCCTTCGCCGCCGTAGGCCTGCGAGTGGACTCGGAGGGCACGTGCGCCGAGCAGGCGCCCCACTTTCTGCTGCGCCCCACCTCCATCCGCGTGCGCGAGGGCGCAGACGCTACCTTCCGATGTCGCGTGGGCGGCTCACCACAACCCGCTGTGAGCTGGTCCAAAGATGGGCGGCGCCTGGGCGCCCCCGACGCCCCCCATGTGCGCGTGGAAGATCACGGCGAGGCCAGCGCGCTTCGCATCCGGTCGGCACGGCCTCGCGACGGTGGCACCTATGAAGTCCGAGCCGAGAACCCGCTGGGTTCGGCCAGCGCCGCCGCCGCGCTCGTGGTGGACTCGGATGCCGAGGCTGCCGGACCACCCGGAGCCTCCACCGCCTCGCTCCTGGCGCATCTGCAGCAGCGGCGCGAGGCCATGCGCGCCGAGGGCGTCCCCCCCTCCCCACCCGGCGCCGGCACACGCACCTGCACGGTGACCGAAGGCAAACACGCGCGCCTCAGCTGCTTTGTGACCGGCGAGCCCAAGCCCGAGACAGTGTGGAAGAAGGACGGGCAGCTGGTGACCGAGGGCCGGCGCCACGTGGTGTATGAGGATGAGCAAGAGAACTTCGTCCTGAAGATTCTTTTCTGCAAGCAGTCGGACCGTGGTCTCTACACTTGCACAGCCTCCAACCTTGTAGGCCAGACCTACAGCTCCGTGCTGGTGGTCGTGCGAGGTGAGCAAACGAGCCTCCCCACACATGCGCAGGGGTGAGGCTCTTTCCCGACTCCCCACAACCTCGTGCATTCACCTGCGGTCCCGGGGTGATAACCTGGTCCAAAGATCGGCTGGGGTTGGGTGGCTGCATCCTGAGTTGTTGGAGGCCTGGGCGGCTCTGGTTCCTCAAAATGAACAGGCGATGATGGCTCCTGGTGCGAACCACCGTAGGGAACCGTAGTCCCAGTCACCATCCCTCCATCCCTCCCTCCACCCCCCTGCCTCACAGCTCACATATCCCTTGCTGTTCGCTCTTCCGTGCTTACTCCTTCTCTTACTTCTCCACTCTGTTTCTTCAACTCACCTATCCGACCCTGCACCCTCTCCACTGTTGGTCCCTTGGTCCGCCGTGTCACACCCGCAAACCCCGTCGGCCCCTCTCCCGCAGAGCCGGCGGTGCCCTTCAAGAAGCGGCTGCAGGACCTGGAGGTGAAAGAGAAGGAGTCCGCCACGTTCCAGTGTGAGGTGGCGCAGCCGGCCACGGAGGCGGCGTGGTTCAAGGAGGAGACGCGTCTGTGGGCCAGCGCCAAGTACCGCATCGAGGAGGAGGGCACCGAGCGCCGGCTGACCGTGCGCGACGTCTCGGCGGACGACGACGCGGTGTACATCTGCGAGACCACAGAGGGCAGCCGCACCGTGGCAGAGCTGTCGGTCCAAGGCAGGCGGGGCGGGGCGGGGCGGGGCGGGGGTGGGCGGGGCCGGGCGGGCAAACGAGCTTGGGAGCAGAGGTGGCCCACCTAGCATCCAAGGGTGGAGTCAATTGTGTGTGGGAAGGAAGGCGGGTGAATAGGACTGAGGTGAGAGGGACGGGGCAGAGGGACCAGGATGAGGGAAAGGCAGGAGGAGGGGCAGAGGGGGTCTGGGATGTGGGGTGAGGGTGAGGTCGAGCAGAGTGTGATGGATCAGGTTGACCAGAGGGTGCTTGCTCCTGCACTGGGGAGATAGGCTGAGGTCCAGTTGGTGGGACAGACAGGGAAGAGGGTGCAGGTGCACAAGAGGCGTGTCAGTAGGCGGGGAGGTTCTAGGGCATAGAGGTGTGTAGTGTGACCTGGGGCTCGGGGAGAGTTGAGGCTGGCAGCATTTAGAGGGAGGCTAGGGTTAGAGTGAAACCTGGTTCTGCAAAGGCAGGGGGCCAGAAGGTAGGGTTGGGAAGAAGGGGTGCGTGCGTGCGTGCGTGCGTGTGTGTGTGTGTGTGTGTGTGTGTGTGTGTGTAAGAGTGAAGCCGGTGGGAGAATGGGGCTGGATGGGTAAGAAGACGAGTCGGAGGCCACACGAGTAGGGGGTGTGCGAAAGGAGTATGGGGTCCACAGGGGGCTTGTCTTACCCTCTTGGCAATCTTCCCACTCCAGGGAACCTGACCAGAAAGCTGCCCCGGAAGACGGCAGTGCGCGCCGGAGACACAGCCATCTTCTGGGTGGAGCTAGCTGTCCCCACGGGCCCTGTCCAGTGGCTGCGGAACCAGGAGGAGATGGTGGCAGGGGGCCGGGTAGCCATTACTGCAGAAAGCACGTGCCACACACTGACCATCTTCCAGTGCACCTTGGAGGACATGGGTGAGGTGGCCTTTGTGGCTGGTGGCTGCCGGACGACCACCCAGTTCTGCGTATCAGGTAAGGGTTGGAAGAATGGCCTTTGGGTGGCCCTCCTGCCAGGGACAGCTGCGCCCCTGTCCTCCCCCAGTGCTGTGGGCTCCCCCTTGCCAGTGGAGGTCCGAGGGTGGCAGAACATTGTGGTTGTGAGTCCTCCACTCCAAGCTCTTCTCTTGAGGAGGGACCTTCCTACTGTGACTGGGTATCAGCAGGTCTGGAGAGGGACTTCTGAGCCCACTGATGGTGGGTGGTACCATCCCATCCACCAGAGCAGTGCCCAGGGAGAGACTCGAGTTCTGTCATTCCCTTTCTGGGTGACCCAAGGCTGGGGGAGGGGAGCTCCCAGGTGGTGAGCTCAACCTATCTTCCACACAGCGCCCAGAAGACCACCCCTGTACCCCCCTGCTGACCCTGTGGTGAAGGCCAAGACAGAGAGTTCTGTGACCCTCAGCTGGTCCCCACCACCCCACGGGGACCGCCCTGTCACCATTGATGGTTATGTGGTGGAGAAAAGGAGACTTGGTGCTTATGCCTGGAGCCGGTGTCATGAGGCAGAATGGCTGGCCACAACTGAGTTTACCGTGGCTGGTGTGGCTGAGGAGGGCGACTTCCAGTTCCGGGTGTCAGCCATCAACCACTTTGGCCAGAGCCCTTACCTTGAGTTTCCAGGGACCATCCACTTGGGTGAGTGAGACCATCTAGTAACATCACAGGGGGCTGCCACCTGCTGTTGAGTTACCCGACCCCAAAGCATAGTTCTGCCTCTAGGGGAGCCAGGATGATCTTAAGGGGACTTGCTATGTGGGTTGGGGGATGTTGAAGCCTTCTTATGAAGGAGGAGGGATCCTAAGACAGGACCCAGGTCCCACTGAACCTGCCTCTCTTCAGCAGCCTCAGGGAGCCAGGCTTCGGCTACTCCATCTTTGTGGGGGCAGGGCAGAGGAAGGGGAGGCAGAACCTGGGAGTTTATCTGTCTCCGACTTTTCTCTCAATTCTGCCCACCTTGCAGTCCCCAGGCTGGCTGTAAAGACACCTCTGAAGGCAGTGGAGGCAGTGGAAGGTGGTGAGGTCACCTTCTCTGTGGACCTCACCGTGGCCTCTGAGGGCGAGTGGTTCCTGGATGGGGAGGCCTTGAAAGCCAGCAGCGTATACGTGATCCGCTGCGACCGTACCCGGCATATGCTCACCATCAGAGAGGTGCCTGCCAGATTGCATGGGGCACAGCTGAAGTTTGTGGCTAATGGCATTGAAACCAGCATCCAGATGGTGGTCCGAGGTAGGCCTGAGTCCCCGAGTCCCTTTTTCTCTGCAGCGTGGTAGTAGGCAGAAGCGGTATTCCCTGGGGAAGGTTTGCCTGAAGCCAATGTGTGAAGGGGATAGGAGAGCTGGGTGCTTGAGGCTGCTCACCCCAGGCTGGCAGCTGAGGCTGGGCTCGTGTGTGTGTGTGTGTGTGTGTGTGTGTTTGTGTGCACGCATGCGTGCACATGTACGAGATGCCCCAGGGCTGGACCTCATCCCTGATTGCCTCTTTTCTCACCCTCTCTTCTATCTATCTATCTACCCCCCATGTCTCCTCTCTGCCTGCCTGTTTCTTTCTCACCTCTGTCTCACCCCCCCTACATCCGCCTTTCCCCATGGTACCTTTCACTGGTGCCCCGTGTTCTCTCTGCTCCCGTCTCACGCCTCTTCACACCCTCCCTTCTCTTGCCTTTCACCGACTTGCTTTCCTTCCAACCCACCCTTTTTCCTGAGTTTCTCTTTTCTCCTTTATCTCTCTTCCCCGTCCTCAAATCCCCTTTCCTCTCCTTCGCTGCCTGCGACTCCTTTTGCCCACCTTCTTGTGGTCTCTGTTCCTACTAACTTCTGTCCAACCGTCCCTGACCGGCAGCCGCTCTGGGGCTAGCCAGCAACAAGCTTCCTGCCGTGGCTGCCCGGGAGGTGCTGGCCCGGTTGCACGAGGAGGCCCAGCTGCTGGCTGAGCTGTCGGACCAGGCTGCGGCTGTGACTTGGCTGAAGGATGGCCGCGAGCTGCCCCTAGGACCCAAGTACGAGATGCAGGTGTCAGCTGGGAGGCGAGCCCTGCTGGTGCGGGATGTGGTGCAGGATGATGCCGGCCTCTACGAGTGCGTTAGTCGTGGGAGCCGCGTTGCCTACCAGCTGTTGGTGCAAGGTGAGTGCAGGTGGGCAGTGGGGCTGGCATCATGTCCTTGTGCTGCAGCGTGGTTCTGGGTGTGTATCCTCTGTCCCCTAGCTCCAGGCATTTCCTAAGGGGTTCTGGGCAGTGGAGTAGCTGTTTTCTGACTCGTGTGTGTGTGTGTGTGTGTGTGTGTGTGTGTGTGTGTGTGTGTGTATGTGAATGGTGGTGGGCAGCTCAGCTCTGTAGGAAGAAGGACTTCCTAGCTGTGGTTGAATCCTCTCTGGTCTGGGCGAGAGTCAGGGTCCCATGTGGTCTAGGTCTGGGCATCTTCATCCATGCACCCTGCAGGCCTTACAGCTTTTCTTCACAGACGTAGCAGGTGGTTGTGTGGATGCTGTGGTTGGGAGCCAAGCTGGACCTCAGAGGCACATGTGCAAATGTACTGGGGCAAAGATAGCAAGATGCTTGGGTCCCTCTTGCCAGGGCTTCTTGCAGTAGGGCATGGGAGTATGGCATTGGCTGGGGGCAGCTTCGGACACCAGGCAGGGCGAGGGAATCTCCTGTTCCCTGCATGAAGATGCTGTAGACTTACATCTCTGGCATAGGTGCATACCTCCCTTGAGGGGCCTGGGGTTCCCCACACTGGACCATTGTGTGGAATTCACGTGTGTCTCCACAGCTGAAGACACTTTGCTGCTTTCCAGAGGCATGTGTGTTCCTCACACAGGCTCTAAAAACCTACAAATGCATAAATTCTGTGCAACAGGATTCTCAGTTATATGCACGGATTTACGTTTAGCTGTATCCAAAAGCAAAAATCACGACATGGTCAGTTTCTGGTTGGTGGAGAAAACTGGGGGTGTGTTCATGAATGGGACCTTCCTCTGCTCTGTAGAGAGTGGTCCTGAAGGTGGGCAGATTGGGGGATAAGAGAACGCTGTATTGGCCTGTACCGGCTGGCCTGGTTGATTCCTTGCTGCCCTGTCTTGCCAATCTGTTCTGGCCTTAAACACTGGCTAGACATCACACACTCAGGTTTAAGAAGAGTCACCACCAGGCAGGGGTCCTTGGGAGATCTTTGTGGCAGGAAATGGAGTGTCCTGGAGTCCAGAGTTGATTAACCAGAATCCCGGACTCAGGAGCTTGGAAAGATCCTCTGAATAAGTGTCTTTGTCTGGCTGTCCCTAGAGGCCAAGATGGTGTTTGCCAAGGAACAGCAGACACACAGCGAGGTGAAGGCAGAAGCGGGGGCCAGTGCCACACTGAGCTGCACGGTGGCCCAGGCCCAGACTGAGGTGACCTGGTTCAAGGATGGGAAGAAGCTGAGCTCTGGCTCGAAGGTTCGAGTGGAGGCCTTGGGCTGTGAGAGGAGGCTGGTGGTGCAGCAGGCGGGCAAGGCAGATGCCGGGGAGTACAGCTGTGAGGCCGGGGGACAGAAGGTCTCCTTCCGCCTGGACGTCACAGGTCAGTTGGTTAGACATTTGGCTGTGTCACGGGACAACCCTGGGGGGCATGTTTCAGTGAGGGCTGGGTGCTGGGTGTGTTGCAAGGCTGCACAAGGGCATGTATTGGCTAGTTCTCCACAAGTAACAAGTAACCCCAAGCTCAGAGGAGTGAATGAGAAGTATGCTTTTGTCTCTCCAGTCCGTGGGGCAGGATGTACTGTGTGGTCTGTACTGCTGGCTCACTCCTGTCCAGTGTGGTGTCACCAGGGCTGGGAATCCAAGCTGGATGTATGTTTGCATCTGACGTCCTCACTGAGATGGCCCTGGAGGAAAGGACTGCATGTGATGAGAGGCCTCTTACAGCAATGGGGCTGACCTCTGTGCTGGTTTTGGAGCTGTTGTCTCCCTTTGTGTCTCCCTTTGCAGCAGCTTGTCCCCAGAGTGGTGGTCTCTAGGGCCACCCGGGCCTCTGCTTGAGGTGGCCAGGTCTCCCTCAGAGTGCAGGAGCTCTTGAAGCTCTGCTCTGGGAGACCAGAGTGTTACCTCTGCTTGTTCAGTCAGAGCTAAGCAGAAAGCCTGCCTGGTCCCATGAGCATAGAGAAGCAGACCCTGCTGTGGATAGTAGGGTGGTGGGCCCCATTGCAGAGGGGTCTGGACACACGGAGGCTGAACCCTGGGGGAACCTTTTTGACCTTTTATCACAAAGTCACGGGCATTCATTCTGTGTCATCCTCTTTCAAATTCTTTCTGCCTCATGTCCACACATGGCTCCAACCATCATATTCAAAAGAGGAAGGGTCTGGAAGGTCTCTCTCTCTCTCTCTCTCTCTCTCTCTCTCTCTCTCTCTCTCTCTCTTTCTCTCTCTCTCTCTGTGTGTGTGTGTGCGCACATGCTAAAATTAGTTTTTGTTTCTTTGGTTTTGGGGTCCTAGCCAAAAATTCATTATCTGTATCAATGTACTGACAGAGGTATTCCCTCATACTTCCCTCTAGTTGTATTGTGGCTTCTGATTTTTTGTTTAGGTCTTTGATACATTTTGAGCTCATGTTTGAATATGGAGAGAGTTAGGCCCTTGTTTAATTGATCACTGTAAACCTTTTTCTCTTCTTTTTTTTGGGGGGGGAGGGGCAGGGTCTCACTATATAGTCTTGGCTGGCTTGGAACTTGCTATGTAGGGCAGGCTGGCCTCAAATTTACCAAGGTGTGTTCACCTCTGCCTCCAAAGTGATGGGACTAAAGGCATGTGCCACTATGCCTGACAAATCATTGTAATTAAAAAAAAAAGCCTTGCATGTATGTATACCTACCATGTGTGTACAGTACCAGAGGAGACAGAAAGAGGGCAGTAGACCTCTGGAGTTGGAGTTGCAGGTAGTTGTGAGCTGTCATGTGTGTGCTGGGAACTGAACTCCAGTCTTCTGCAAGAGCAGCACATGCTCTTAACTGCTGAGCCATGTCTCTAGCCCTGGATGACTATAATTTTATAGTAGGTTTTAAAACTGGGAGGTGGAACACCTCCAATTTTGTTCTTTTTTCTTTTAAAATTTATTTGTTTATTTCCTTATAAATTTATCCCTCCTTCCTTCCCTCCCTCCCTCCCTCCTTCCTTCCTCTCTCTCTTCCTCCCTCCCTTCCTTTCTTTTCTTTTCTTTCTTTTTTTTTTTTTTTGAGTCATTGTTTCTCTGTGTAGCCCTGGCTGTCCTGGATCTCACTTTGTAAACCAAGCTGGCTGGAGCTCACAGAGATCCACCTGCCTCTGCCTCCTGAGTGCTGGGATTAAAGGCATGTGCCACCGCTGCCAGGCTGTTATTTGTTGACACACAATCATTCACATTGTTTTTTGAGAACCTTTGTACTTGTGGGGAGTCTGTCTTGATGTTTTCACTTTTATTTTGGATTTTAATAAATTTAGTTATTTCTTATTTTTTTTTTTTAGTTGAGACAATGGTTAGTCTGTTCTATCGATGTTTTTCAAAGAACCAACTTTTTATTTACTTGAATATACTCTTTTCTTTAGAAAAAAAGGCTTATTTAAAACTATCACCAACTTTTGTTGCTGGTAGTGTTTGTGTGTCAGTGGCCTCTCTGAGCTGGCCTATAAAGGACACATTCCCCATCACGAGATTGGACAGTGCTGGGCTGTGGCTGTCGGCCATGGATACAACACTTCTGAGCAGTTGTACACTGAACTCAGCATTACCTCAGGCCTTTCATGGGGTTGCCCAGGTGTGCAGGCCTCTCTGAGCATGGCTGCTATGCTAGGAGATGCCAGTGCATTCCAAAGCCCCCTGTGGAATTTCTTTCCCTAACTTTTGGTTAGACTTATTGCTACAACCTGTTCTCCACTGTCCAGGGAAGCCTGGAATTCAGTGAAGACTTCTGGTTGCCCTATAGTCCTGGGAACAGTGCTCTGCATTGAGAGCTCAGAACCAATAAAGACAACCTGTGAGTGGAGTTCAGGGGTCATCATACATCAGATGATGCTAGCTGTCTGAGGATCTGGTCTGCCCTGCTCCGTCTGGGACTGCAGAGGCAGCACTGAATTCAAAGGCACATTGTAGTAGAGAGGCTGAGGGGGCAATGATATAAAACTCCTCACCTCTGCAGTCTGTGACCCAGGTTCAGAGGTTTTTCTGGACCATGTCTGTTCGTCCTCAGATACTGTAAGCCATTGGCCAATTTCTAGAGTTCTGAAGGTTGATTCTAACCCTTTTCTTTTTCCTTTTTTTTGTGGTGGTGGGGGGTGGGTGGCTATGCTTCAATTTCTCTCATCTTAGAAATGGAAATTTGTATTGGAAATGTATTCAAAAGCACATGCTTATTCTGTTGGTCTATCCCGCACACCTGGGAGCATTTGGAGACACCCGGAGGTGTCCACTAAAGGGAGTGGTCCTTCGTTCTTTAGGTTCCTGGAGATAGGGACGTGGAGATGATACATTTAGCTTCTAGGAGGCTAGATGGAGGATTGATTTGGACCAGGGGAGACCCGAGGCAGGGAGACCAGCTGTGAGGCTCTTCCTTACTCCAGGAGGAGGTGATGAGGTCAGGAGAGACGGTGACTGTGAGCTTGGAGAGGAGGCCAAGGCTTGAGAGCTGTTGTAGAGGGGAGTGGGACAACACTAAGAGGCGTGAAGAATAAGGAAGAGGGGAGCTGGGAGGCACAGTGCAGACTTGGGCAACAAGAATCAGAAAAGCAATGATGGCGTGGTGTCCTAAGTATTGAGGGAAACAACTGTCAGCCTAGAATTCCATGCCCGGCTAAGCTGTCATTCAGAAGTGAAGGTAAAGTAGCACACATTCAGAACGTATTTTTAGAGAGTTTCCCATTCACAAAAACTTACTGAAAGAATTGTCAATGGATATACTGCTCAGAGTGAAAAACGTTACTCAAAGTTAACAGGATGGGGTCCTTGAGTCACCAGAGTTTGGGAAGCGAGGTAGATCCTAATTAATTACAGCAACTGTGTGTCCCTGTCTTTCTCCAGAGCCCAAGGTGGTGTTTGCCAAGGAGCAGCAGACACGCAGCGAGGTGAAGGCAGAGGTGGGGGCCAGTGCCACACTGAGCTGCACGGTGGCCCAGGCCCAGACTGAGGTGACCTGGTTCAAGGATGGGAAGAAGCTGAGCTCTGGCTCGAAGGTTCGAGTGGAGGCCTCGGGCTGTGAGAGGAGGCTGGTGGTGCAGCAGGCAGGCAAGGCGGATGCCGGGGAGTACAGCTGTGAGGCCGGGGGACAGAAGGTCTCCTTCCGTCTGGACGTCACAGGTGGGTGCTGAGACACTAAATTAGTTTGCAAATGTTATGAGCCTGGTTGTGACCAGGAAGGTCCTGGTGCCTTTCCCACTGAGTATCACCTTGGCCTATCTCATCCTCTGCTAATCTCATCCCTGTGTCTGGTCCAGGTGCAGTTGGTGGATATGTGTTGAGCTTGGCCAGGGCCTTTTGTGTGCCACACAAGGTGTATTAATGTTATAACGCTCTGTTTCGTGTTCTTGGCACCTGCTTAGATTCTACCAGTGTTCCTTGGTGCCATGGACTCTAGTCCTACTTGTGTGCAGGTCTGAGATGATCAGTGTCTCTGTTTGAGGTCTCTCCCACAGCTCTCTGTGGTCTCACCCAGTCCCACATGAGGTGTCTTTTAAAGAGATGTTTTAATTCATGTTCAGCCAGGGTGAGGAAGAATTTTAGTCACATGGTCATATATCAGCACTGAACCCGGGTCTGTTGGGGTTCAGTTAGGTGTTTTGGAATGCTCTCCCCCCTCCCCATGGGTACTAATGCAGGGTTGAGAACAACAAGACCTTTCTCAGTCCCGTTCTGCTTGACCCAGAGACATAAGGCACCAGAAACTCAGTGGCTACTTGCCTCTGCCTCCCGAGTGCTGGGATTAAAGGTGTGCTCCACCACTGCCCAGCACTATGGTTGTTCTTAGTTAACTTCCAGTCTCTGGATGGTCAGGAGTGACTTTCGTATTCACCGTGGGCTCTTTCCCCTTAGAGCCCACATAAGCTAGCTCCTGCATTAGTTCAGGCCTGCTGCCCTTTTCTAGATCCATCTTCCTGGATTCTTTGTGGAACACACGAGGATCTGTGGAGTGGTAGACACATGCTGTGCTGTGCTGTGCTGTGGTGTGTGTGTGTGTGTGTGTGTGTGTGTGTGTGTGTGTGTGTGCGCGCACATCCTGATGGTGCATGCTAGGCAAGTGATTTACTGCTGGGCTTCAGCCTTGTCCAAGCTGAAATCTTCTGTGTGAGAATTTCCCCCCTTGAATCTGATTTGTGGTTGCAGATGAAAAGGACCGAGCAGCTCATAGGGCAGTGCTTCACTTGCCAATAGTGAGTTACTGTTATAAAGTAATGTTCATTTGGTAGTCTTTCACCAATGATTCTGTCCTTCCTTACCTGCCCCTGAAGCAGTGGTGGGATGTGTGGATGAACTGTGGTTTTAGGCTGAGAGAGAGGTACAGGGCCTTTCTCTGAGTTCAGTGAGTACAGAGCCTGGAGGGTGTTCATCCTGCCCCCACCCGCCCCAGCAGCCTCATCCAGGCCCTTTCTCCATGTGACTTTCATGACTCAAACAGTTTCTGATTTTGTCTTACTGTCTATTCCCAGAGCCCAAGATGGTGTTTGCCAAGGAGCAGCAGACACGCAGCGAGGTGAAGGCAGAGGCGGGGGCCAGTGCCACACTGAGCTGCACGGTGGCCCAGGCTCAGACTGAGGTGACCTGGTTCAAGGATGGGAAGAAGCTGAGCTCTGGCTCGAAGGTTCAAGTGGAGGCCTCGGGCTGTGAGAGGAGGCTGGTGGTGCAGCAGGCGGGCAAGGCGGATGCCGGGGAGTACAGCTGTGAGGCTGGGGGACAGAAGGTCTCCTTCCGTCTGGACGTCACAGGTGGGTTTTCTTTTCTTTCTTCTTCTTCTTTTTTTAAAATGTTCTGTAGTGTGCATATTAGGCATTAGGATGAGACACTGCCTTGTGACCTATTTTCTCAGCTTCACCTATAGTCACTGTTAGCAATTGCTGATCACATTCGGACGCCTTGATTTTGTGAAGTGCATCTTATTTTTAAAAGATTTTGAACTTCGCAACAGTTCTATGAGGAAGAATCCTGACTGTTCCCATTTTAAGATGGGCATGGAGGAGCTTTGATTTGCTTAGCCGGAGAGTTGCAGAGCCAGGGTTTGGGTCAGGGTTAGTTTCCCCCTGAAGACCTCTGCCCACTGGTGTCCGCTGTAGTGCGTCTCCTGGTGTGTGGAGTCTCGAAATTTCTGTGTGTTTGAAAATACTGATTTTTGGCAGTTGTTCTGGTTGGTTTTGTGTCAGCTTGACATAAGCCAGTCATTGGGGCAGAAGGACTGTCAGCTGAGAAAATGTCCCCACACGACTGGCCTGTCGGCAGGTCTGTGGAGCCGTTTCTTAGTTAGTGATTGATGTGGGAGGACCCAGCTGACTGTGTGCAGTACCACTCCTGGGCAAGTGGTCCCGGGTGTGTAAGAAAGCAGGCTGGCATGGAAAACAGGTGCACAAGAAAATCCTCTTTGCCAACCCAGAACTGATGGTTGAGTTTGAGTTTTGACACACAGGACAGCTCACAGGGCCGGTTGTGGTGGTAATGAAGCCTGAAGATGAGGTTGGAGTTGACGATCCCTGGGGATGGATGGTGTTTCAGTGTCGAACTGGCATGTCCTACACACCGATTAGCATTCTGAGCGTGTTAGGGATGAATATGATATGAACTCCTCCTTAGGAGAAGGGGGGTGTCAGCAAGTGAGAGGCAGATCATTTTAAAATGGTTCCTCAAGTGAATTGTTTGAAGAAATTGCCAGAGATCCTCTGGTGGGGGAATTTTGAAGTTGTCCTGAGTGTGTGTCTTTAATTCAAAGAGTGATAAAAGAATTGTATGCTGATAACACAACTGATTAAAGATCTTTCTTTGAGAAAGGGTTATTTTCAGAAATCTTGAACTTGACCTCAATGGACAGTGAAGGAATCACTTGTGAAATCCATTAAATAATTTTGTCTGGGGCTGGAGAGATGACTCAGAGGTTAAGAGCACTGACTGCTCTTCCAGAGGTTCTGAGTTCAATTCCCAGCAACCACATGGTGGCTCACCACCATCTGTAATGAGATCTGGTGCCTCCTTCTGTCCTGCAGTCATACATGTTGTATACATAATAAATAAATAAATCTTAAAAAAATCCTTAAAAAAATTTTGTCTAGTTTTATACATTGAAAGAAAACCCTTTACACAGTTGAAGGAAAGAAAGGAGAAAGAAAGAATAAAAGAAAGAAAGGGGAGAGAGAGAGAGAGAGAGAGAGAGAGAGAGAGAGAGAGAGAGAGAGAGACGGAGGGAGGGAGGGAGGGAGGGAGGGAGAGAGAGAGAGAGAGAGAGAGAGAGAGAGAGAGAGAGAGAGAGAGAAACAGAAAACAGGCTGAGCAAGCCATGAAGAGTCCTTCCCTATGGCCTCTGCCTCAGTTCCTGCCTCAGCTTCCTGCCCTAAGTTTTTGCCCAGACTTCCCTTCCTGATGGACTGTGATCAGGACATGTAAGCTGAAATCAACCCTTTCCTCCTCAGATTGCTTCTGGTCACGGTGTCTTCTAGCAGTCGACACCCTGATTAAGGCAATACTGTTACAGTGAGGACCTCGTGTGGTTTGCTTGATATCGGGGACCAGAGCATCTTGAGCCTGTGGGTTTATGTCTCTCCTCTGTTGTGGGCATTCTTGGTCTTTGGCTCTTTTGTCCCATCTGTCCCTGCAAGGACCCCTGTTACTCTGGTAGACCCTTTCATGTTCTTATACCTGTTGTCATACACATGCTTCTTCCCACTCAATCACGATCCTCTCTCTGCTTTAGTTTGGATATTTTCTTTTGATCCATTTTCCAACTCACTAATCTTATGTTGTAGTACACGTAATGTCTGCCAATACCACTGGAAGGAGGTTTACTTTCAATTGTTGCATTTTTAAGCTTTATAATTTCTGTTTGATTTAACACACACACACACACACACACACACACACACACACACACACACACATTTTGGTGTCGAACCCAGGGCCCTTTACAACCTAATTACATCCTCTACCACTGAGCTCTGTCCTCAGTAACATCACCACATTTGGTTTTTCCTTCTCTCTAGGACTGTACCCTTGTCTGACATCTCTAATGAATGGTGTTGCTATTCTTGAAGGTGGAGCCCCATGACCTAACCATTCCCACTAGACCCCACCATTTCTGCACTTGGGGGTTTCTCATATCCATTTCTGTCCTGGTGTGCCAGATAATTTTTTTTAATCAACTTCCACACATTTTATGTTCAGACTGTTGATTATGATGCTGTCCCTTAGTCCCTTTATTTAGGGTGTACTAGGCTTTCTCTTTTGGGCCACCAACCAGCTCCCAAATCATGACGTGGAGACTTTTTTTTCCCCCCCGAGACAGGGTTTCTCTGTGTAGTTTTGGTGCCTGTCCTGGATCTCACTCTGTAGACCAGGCTGGCCTCGAACTCACAGAGATCCGCCTGGCTCTGCCTCCCGAGTGCTGGGATGAAAGGTGTGTGCCACCACCGCCCTGCTCGACATGGAGACTTTTTATTAGTTATGAATGCTCATCCTAGCTTAGGCTAGATTCTGGCTAGCTCTTTTAACTTAAATTAGCCTGCTTCTCTTTATCTACCTTTTGCCTTGGGACTTTTTACCTTTTTTTTTTTTTCTGTATGCCTTTCTTTTCCTGCTTCCCTGGAAGTCTCCCTCTTTTTCTCCCCCATTCTCTCCTCTTTTTTTTCTCTCTTCTGTAGAGTCCTCCTCCTGTTTATTCTCTTTGCCTGCCAGCTCCACCTACCTTTTCTCCTGCCTAGCTATTGGCTGTTCAGCTTTTTATTAAACCAATCAGGGGCCTTAGGCAGGCAAGGTGAAACAAATGCAACACACCTTTACATAATTAAACAAATGCAGCATAAAGAAATGTAACACATCATTACAATGTTAACAAAGGCAGCGTAAACAAATGTAACCCACCTTTACATGGTTAAATATTCCACAACAGCTGGGCAGGTGGGGAACACTTAGTATTGAAGCCATTCCATGTGTGTGTGTGTGTGTGTGTGTGTGTGTGTGTGTCTGCCTGCCTGTGTGTTGGCAGTTAGTGTGGATAGGGAGCCGAGATGCTCTTTTTGTTCATAGGTTTGGGTTCTATGGGGAGAGCTTGACCAGAGTTGCCTGGCTCTTATTTATCCAAGTTCTGGGCAAAGTCCCCCGAGGACTCCTGCAGCCACCCGTCAGCTCAGAGCGATTCTGCTGGTCTCTGCTCGGGTTTGGATGGCTGGCTTCTCATATAGGCACGTGTGCTGGTATTTGGTTCTTACTGGGTTGAGATGGTGAGACATTTACAGGGTGGCCCCAATGGGAGGTAGGGGCCACGGAACTTCATAAGTAGCTGAATGCAACGGGCCAGGTCTTGTGGGACTGGAATGGTTCCTATGAGAATGGGTTCTCCTGAGTGAGGGTGACACCTCTCATGTCCCTTTCCTTACTCTCCTGACACTGTGTTGCTCTCCTCCGTGGGTCCTCATTAGAGCAAAGCTGGTGCCAAGGATGTTTCCTTCAACCTTTCATGAACCGAACAAACCCGTTTTAGTTATGTATTTATTTTAGGGAAGTACCAGCCTCAGGCATTTTGTTCTAGCAACACACACTGACTCAGGTAGCCTTAGAAGCTCTTAGGCAGCTTCACAACTCATCAACCACAGAAGGCAAAGTGCTGGAGTGTAGGCCCTAGCCCCACACTATCTTGGTTCACTGGAGTTTTGACCGCATACATTTGATTTCTGACTATAGGAGATGTCAGCCACCTCACTGATTTTTTTCCTCTTTGCTTACATTTTGAACCCTCCCACCTCCTGTTTCTTATAGAAACCCTGTGCCTACTCTCAGGTCTGCGTTTCACTGTCACACTCTATCTAGCATGGAAAAGCAGGGGTGGGAGTAGGCCGGTGTGACAGACACCTTTCCCCGGCATTCTGTGTGCCACAGCTCAGGCAGGTGTGACAGACACCTTTCCCCGGCATTCTCTGTGCCACAGCTCAGGCTCCCACTGTCTTGCTCACACTTCCTACCCAGGGTGCAGATCTCTGGAATGTCAGTGTCCCACTTGTCTGGCTGTGTGTCCCTTAAACACCACTGCACACCAAGGTCTTCCCTCACCACCGAGTCTCGGTCACCTGCTTCCTCTGCCATGCCAACATTGATACCAACCTCATTTCATGGACCGGTGCACCCTCCTCTTCATGGTATAAGCTTGTGCCCCAGCCACGAGGTGAAGTGTGAGCCTCTGCTGCTCACTGCAGACCTCCCAGCTCTTGTTGCCCCTCAGGAGGCCCTCTGCTCACCTGGGCTATGGAAGTGATGACTAAATCAGTGAGTGCTCCCACAGCCTGGGGTTGGATTTTCCTTACATAACATTCGCCTGTAAAGGTTTTGTGCTAATGGAAAAAAATTACAGCATTTCCTATGTAAATTGCCTTAATTAAATATTCATTTAAAATTTAATGTAACTAAATGGCTTTTCTAATTTAAGACCAAATCAAGTTTATTTATTTAGTTAGTTAGTTAGGTTTTTGTTTTTTTGTTTTTTTTTTTGAGACAGGGTTTCTTTGTGTAGCTTTAGAGCCTGTCCTGGAACTTGCTCTGTAGACCAGGCTGGCGTGCGTCACCACTGCCTGGCTGGACAAATCAAATTAAAGCATCTTATAGATGCAGAAAAGAGCAGAATCATGGACGTTGGTGCTATATGACATAGGTTTTCACTAGAGATGGATGAAACATACATAGTTTAAGAACATGGATGATGTCAGGAGTGGGGGTGGAGATGGAGAACTTGTTAATTGTGCAATATCCCTGAAAGCCGGAGAACCCTTTGTGCTGATTTCCATCACCAAAGATGTAGCCAAGGATGTTCTTAAGACATTTAACTTTTTGTTTATGTGTATGCCTGTATACGGGTCTGTGCATATGAGTGCAGGTGGTCCAGGAGGCCAGACATGTGGATCCCCTGCAGCTGGAGTTACAGGCAGTTGTTAGTCACCCAACATGGGTGTATTAGTTACTTTTCTACCTCTATGATAAAACACCATGACCGAGACAAACTTACAAAAGAAAGCATTTAATTGGTCCATCATGGTGGGGTAGTGTGGCAGCAAGCAGCCAGCATGTTGGCTGGAACAGCTCAGAGCTTACCCCTTGATCTTCAAGCAGGAGGCAAAGTGAGAGAGACACGCTGGGAATGTGGGAGCTACACCTCTCCTCCAGCAAGGCCAAACCTCCTAATCCTTCCCAAAGTCCTTCCACCAACTGGGGACCAAGTTTTCAATCCTACGGGGGCCATTCTCAATCAACCACCACAGTGGGCGCGAGGAACTGAACTCCAGTCCTCTGTAAGAGTAGATTGAGTTCCTGACCATTGAGCCACCCAAGTATGTTTGTAGCTGCTTTATTGATTGTATCTCCAGATGAACAACCCAAATGAACCGTAAGAAGGAACAGAAAAGTTATCCAGTTATGGTGTTTATGCAACACAACCCTATGGAGCAGCTTGAAGGAACAAGCTTCTTTTTTTAAAAGACAGGGTCTCACTATGTAGTCCAGGCTGGCCCGGAACTCACTGTGTGGTCCAGGCTGGCCCAGAACTCACTGTATAGTCCAGGCTGGCCTGGAACTCACAGAGTTCCACCTGCCTCTGCCTCCCAAGTAAAAGTTGTGTTCCACAATGCTTGGCTTAAATGAACAAATGATATGTAGCATGGATGGGTCCTTCAGATAAGCCAAATGAAAGCACCCAAACCCACCAGAATATAATATAATAAATGTGATGAAGAATTTGTTGTTGGGTGATTTTCCCATTGTGTGGGTACCACAGAGGGCAGTCACACAAACGGAGACAGCTGTGAAGTTGCTGGGCAATACTACCTTAAGAGACCGTTATTGTAATCTTGGGGTCCATCACTGAGTAGAGCATCGCTATGGAGCATGTAACTGGCCTAAAGGGTGTGAAGTCAGAGGCCAGGCAGAAGTAACTGGTAGTGACAGAAATCAGAGTATTGGCCGTGTGTGTGTGTGTGTGTGTGTGTGTGTGTGTGTGTGTGTGTGCACGCCTGTGTGTGTGCCTGTGTGTGTATGTGTTGTGTGGGTACACCTGTGTGTGTGCCTATTTGTGTATGCCTGTGTGTATGTGTTTGTTGTGTGTGAGCCTCTGTGTGTGTTATGTGTATGCCCGTGTGTGTGCACATCTGTGGTATGTATATGTGTTTGTGTTGTGTGTATGTCTGTGTGTGTATGTGTGTGTGTGTGTGTGTGTGTGTGTGTGTGTGTGTGTGTGTGTGTGTGTGTGTCTGCCTGCCTGTGTGTTGGCAGTTAGTGTGGATATGGAGCCGAGATGCTCTTTTTGTTCATAGGTTTGGGTTCTATGGGGAGAGGTACATTTGGAGTTCACTGAACGGAACAGGCGCTTGTGCATACTTTATGTGTGGATAAAACCAGCAGAGACTGGAGGCTATAGTCCACAGAGCACACAGTGTGCCAGCTCTGGATACATCACTGAGCAATGGGATCTGCCACTAACATGGCAGAGACAGTAAACATAGGTAGAGAGCTAGAATACCCCAGCCTCTTTCCTCTGGCCTTGAAATTGCTCTTGAGTCAGGATAACTTCCAAATGTACACTTGAGTCACTGAGACAGAAGAAACTGTATCTGTGAAGACATGTGTAACATCTCACTGGACACCTGATGTCCATGACCCCAAGGACACAATTTATGGAACCCTGGAGAATCAGTGTCTGTGAAATAGGTAACATATTGTATCTCTCACCGTGTGCCTCTCCTTGTCCCCAGAGCCCAAGGTGGTGTTTGCCAAGGAACAGCAGACACGCAGTGAGGTGAAGGCAGAGGCGGGGGCCAGTGCCACACTGAGCTGCACAGTGGCCCAGGCCCAGAATGAGGTGACCTGGTTCAAGGATGGGAAGAAGCTGAGCTCTGGCTCGAAGGTTCGAGTGGAGGCCTCGGGCTGTGAGAGGAGGCTGGTGGTGCAGCAGGCGGGCAAGGCAGATGCCGGAGAGTACAGCTGTGAGGCCGGGGGACAGAAGGTCTCCTTCCGTCTGGATGTCACAGGTGAATGCCAGGGTTGTGCTCAATGGGGTTATCCCAGGACATAGCTAGGTATCTTGGGATGGTATTCCCTGAGTCCTTAGACCTCAGTGTGTGTCTTCGGCTCTGTCCAGGGACTTTTAGGTCTGACACCATGGGGAGGTCAAAGCAGGCTGGCTGAGCCAATCTTGGGGAGTTTCCCTGGTGACACCAACCTGGAGTGATGAGCTTGCATAGTGAACATAGGCGTGGTTGGGGTCTAGTCTGTTGGCTGTGGGGGGCGGATCCCAACAGCTGCAGAGCAAGTCCTGCAGATGGCAGGAGAGTCTTCTGTCTGTCCATTGCTACTTACTGGACCTCAGGGTTCGGAGAGCCCTTCTTGTCCCTGTCATTCCCATGTGACCACGAATGTGTGTCCAACCCTGTCCACCCTGTCCTTGAGTTTGGGAAAAGGTGACACTCCATGTGGCCACTCTTTCCTGCTTGCCTCTACTGTATTCCACTGTCTTGAACCCCCTCTCAGCTGTGGTCCAGGAAGATGTGGAGATTGAGCTTGGAGAATCTAGCTTGGAGATTGAGGTGGCCATCCCTCCAACTGTGCCTCCTCCTGCTGTCTGTGGTCTCTTCATGTAGGACTGGGAAGCCATGAACGGTCTGAAGTTTCTGGGGGACCTGAGGCAGGGAAGATTAGAGTCCTATCCTTAAAGGTCAGGATAGGTATTGTTAAGGGATGCTCGCTGTGATGGCCTTAAGGGCTACAGTGGCTCACCAGCCAGCAGACATCAGAGTGGGCCTAGAGGTTCTTGGGGCAGTGACAAGATCCTGCATACCCCAGCCTTCCACATTTGAAGCTTCAGCTCATGCAGCCTGGGCCACACGTGGCACAGAACCTTGTTTACGATCCATGATGATCTGTCAATTATGGACAGTGTTGCCTTGGCAAAGACTGGGCTCTGATGAGCCCCAGGCCCTGCAGAAGGGTTATGTCTAGTCTGGAGTCTTTGACCCAGTGTGTTTCTATCTGTTCCCAGAGCCCAAGGTGGTGTTTGCTAAGGAGCAGCAGGCACACAGCGAGGTGAAGGCAGAGGCGGGGGCCAGTACCACACTGAGCTGCACGGTGGCCCAGGCTCAGACTGAGGTGACCTGGTTCAAGGATGGGAAGAAGCTGAGCTCTGGCTCGAAGGTTCGAGTGGAGGCCTCGGGCTGTGAGAGGAGGCTGGTGGTGCAGCAGGTGGGCAAGGCGGATGCCGGGGAGTACAGCTGTGAGGCCGGGGGACAGAAGCTCTCCTTCCGTCTGGACGTCACAGGTGGGTGTTCATATATCAAGGTTGCTTGTTTGCAGGTGACAGGAGATTGGTTGATGACCTGGATGATCCCAGTGGTTTTCTTGTTAGAAAAACTCTCTGCACGTGTTCCATCCTTCTCAGTCAAAGTACTCACTTCATGCTGTGTGTGTGTGAGAGAGAGGAAGGGACTTGGGTCCCACAGTCCTCCTGGAGGGCACAATCCCAGTGACCTAAGATCTCCCACTAGATCCCTACATACTAAAGTTTCCACCACCTCCCAACGGCACAGTCTGGGGACCAGGCCTCTAATACGTGGGCCTTTGGCGACATTTCTGATTCAAACAGCACACCCAAAGCAAAGCAAGGAGTCTTTGCTGCACCACGTGTCAGACTATGCTAAAATCATGTACTGAAGGCATGGGTGTCTCAGTGCAGGGATAGGCAACAGACTGAAGGAGCAGAGGACAGAGCTCAGGTTGGACTTTCACAGCAATGGGTTCCCCATTCCCCACCCCACCTACATCTCTCCTCTTCCCCCTGGGACTCAAGGAAGGGCTGCCGACAGAATGATTGTTTCATGAAGGATTTTGGACCACTTACCATACTGAAGAAACGGTGGACCAGTAATCACCACATACAAAGCCAACACTAGTTGAGTTCCAGACTTGGAATAGAAAGGGAAACTCAGAACCCTCTAGGTGACATGCAGGTATTTCTGCGTCTCCACTTAAGGACTGAATTCATTACTTTTAACCAACATATAACGATCATACAGAGTGAAAATGACGTGCAGTGTGGAATCTGATAACATGTCTATGATGTGCATTGATTAAACTTGGGCAGTGAGCATTTCCAGTTCCTTCGATGTTTATGTTGGAAACTTTGAAATTCCTCTCATGTAGTTATCATGAAGTACTTAACTAGTTCTCTACTGTACAGGAGAACACTAGAATTTATGGAATGAATATATGTGCCAATAGAATAAATGTACACTTCTGAAACATACACACACACACACACACACACACACACACACACACACACACTCACTCACTCACACATGTACAATGCTGGAATACAGAGCTCTGTGCATGCTAGGCACAGCTCTGCTGCTGAGTCACCCCAGTGCCCAGGAACAAGGGAAGAAACACAGCGACCACCATAAGACACTTATGAATACTTGGACATTGAAAACTGTGAGTTAGGTCTGGTGAGATGGTTCAGCAGGTGCAGATGAGCTGGCTGAGCAAGCCTCATGGCCTGAGTTCAGTCCCTGGAGCCCACGTAAATGTGTACCTGACAAGTTGTCCTCTGGCCTCTGCCTGAAAGCTGTGGTGTGTGCTGCCGTCCTGCCCATGTTACACCCAACAATAATATTAACTAAAAATTAAAAGACCCCAGCGATTCAGAAGACAAACATCATAACAAGGGAGGTGTCTGAGTGTGTTATTATAGTCCTGTAGTGTGGAACACGTACAGAGATCCTGCAGTGAGCGCCTGGAAGAAAGCTCTATGGAAAATTGGGCAGAAAATTGGCAGGAAAGGACACCAGAAAGGAGGGATGGGTGTGTGTCAAATTGTGGCAGTTACTCTTTTTACCCTGAGTAACACTCCATGGGTTTAATTACTCGCTGTCATCCATGGTTCTAAAATGTATGGAAAATTCCAGAAATGAGAAATTCTTCAGATGGGTTGCAAAGGTATCACGACACTTCTGTTCAGCTGGTCCTTATTTTAATTAATAATGGTCTAGAGTATGGGCTTTTGTTACACTATGTTTCTTTAAGTTTTCCTTTTTTTTTTTTTTTTTTTTTTTTTTTTTTTTTTGGTTTTTCGAGACAGGGTTTCTCTGTGTAGCTTTGCACCTTTCCTGGAAAGTTTTCCATTTTTATAACTAGTAGTTATGTTTTTTTTGAGTGGGAAGGGATTTGAGACAGACTCTTTCTACATAGCCTTGGCTGTCCTGGAACTTGCTTTATAGACCAGGCCAATCTTGAACTCACAGAGATCCACCTGCCTCTGCCTCTCCAGTGCTGGGATTAAAGGTGTGCATACCCACCTTTTTTTTTTTTTCTCTTGAGACAGGGTCTCATTATGCTGCCTTAACTGGCCTGCCTGGAACTTGCTATGTAGACCAGGCTAACTTCAAACTCACAGAGGTCTGTCTGCTTTTCTCTGCCTCCTCAATGCTAAGATTGTAGCCATGCACCACCAAACCTGCTTATGAGTTTTTCTTTTCTTTCTTTCTTTCTTTCTTTCTTTCTTTCTTTCTTTCTTTCTTTCTTTCTTTCTTTCTTTCTTTCTTCCTTCCTTCCTTCCTTCCTTCCTTCCTTCCTTCCTTCCTTCCTTCCTTCCTTTCTTTCTTTTTTGAGACAGGATTTCTTTGTGTAGTGTTGGTGCCTGTCCTGGATCTTGCTTTGTAGACCAGGCTGGCCTCAAACTCACAGAGATCCGCCTGGCTCTGCCTCCTGAGTGGCATTAGCCACCACCACCCAGCGGCTTATGAGTTTGGTACTATGCCTAACTTTTTAACTAAACTTTCTCAGGCCCTCCAGGAAAAACATACACAGTATTTGGTGCTATCTGCATCTGAGGCACCTACTGCAGGTCTTGGAATGTGTTCTGGATGGATAAGGGAGCATGACTTTCCCTGTGTTTGGAGGCCCTGGGGTTTCTCCTGAGCACAGAGAGTGCAGGGCCTGGATGGCATTCTGCCCTCCAGCTGAGCCATCCAGGGTCTTTCCCATTGTGACCTTGCTGATCTAGACAGTGCCTCTGACTTTGTGTCCCCATTTGTCCCCAGAGCCCAAGGTGGTGTTTGCTAAGGAGCAGCAGGCTCGAAATGAGGTGAAGTCAGAGGCGGGGGCCAGTGCCACACTGAGCTGTGAGGTGGCCCAGGCCCAGACTGAGGTGACCTGGTTCAAGGATGGGAAGAAGCTGAGCTCTAGCTCGAAGGTTCGAGTGGAGGCCTCGGGCTGTGAGAGGAGGCTGGTGGTGCAGCAGGCGGGCAAGGTGGATGCCGGGGAGTACAGCTGTGAGGCCGGGGGACAGAAGGTCTCCTTCCGTCTGGATGTCACAGGTGGGTGTTGAGATGCCAGTTTGTCTTGTGTAGAGGTGATGACTGATCAGATGTGTGGCTGACCACTAGGTCCTTCCTGTTACACGTTCTCTATTACCATCTTCTGGCTTCCCAAATGCCATCTTATATCTGTGTGCTCAGTGAGGCAAAACAGGCAGGCACAGGCCCTTCTCACACACCTTGAGTGGTGTCCATGTGGTGATCCTTCGCTGTATGTTCCAAGAGCCTGCCCAGTGTCTTTTGGTTGGTTCTGTTGGAATCAGTTGGTTCTTGGTTGTAAGGTGACCATGTGACCTTCACCTGGGAGAGTGATTTTCCTTGGATTGGAGGCACTGGACACTTGCAGGTTCTCTTCCAGAGCTATGCGTGGTTCTCCATGGCCAGAGCCGCCCACTAACTCAGGCTAAGGACAAGCCACAGGCCAGATACTTGGTCACACCTGTAACTGTCTCAAGACTGTCTTGGTATTCTCAGCTTTTGGTTTCTCGTGATCCCCTTCACTCCTTTCCCAGGGATTTGGAAGCTGGCCTCCTACACACCTGTCTGTAGGAGAATGCCTGCTGGTGGATGGTTGCACAGCTCTTGTGTCGGGTACAGAGTGGAGACTGATCAATGTGCTTCAGTGTACACTTGTCAGGGTGGAATGGTCTTTTCAATCATGTCCTGTGTTCCTGTTGTTTTCCACCAGAACATTCTCATCATCAGCCCTTGGAAGCTGACGTACAAAGCTGGTGTGGAGAAGCGTTGATATGGTGTACTGCCATGTTGCTGTGCGATCTGCCACTGACCAGAGTGCTGTGAAAAAACTCAGCATGTCCCTGGGGACTGGGAGTCCCTGGGCCTCTGGCTGGTTGCATAGAGATGGCTTAAAACACACGCATTTTCCTTTTGTTCAGACCCTTAATGCTGTGTCCTTATAGGCTGCCCCTCTGCTTTTGGCCTGTAGGTTTCTGTTGTGTCCTTGGTGTCCTTCAGAGTTAGTTCCAGGACCGCAGTGCAGATGCAAAATCCTCAGATGTGCTGGTCCTTTATGTAAAATGTTGGTGCATTCAAATCTAACCAGCACACATGCTCTGTACATTTTCTTCTTTTTAGATGTATTTCACTTTTTAAAATTTGTGTGTGTGTGTGTGTGTGTGTGTGTGTGTGTGTGTGTGTGTGTGTGTGTGTGTGTGAGTGCAGGTGCCTGCAGAGACCAGAAGTGGACACTAGATCCCCTGGAGCTGGGGTTACAGGTGGTTGTGAGCTGCCCAAACTCAGGTCCTTTGGAAGAGTAGCAAGCTTAACTGCCGAGTCACCGCTCCAGGCCCATCTATACAGTAAAAAACAAACAAACAAAACAACACCCTCCCACCTCAAAACACGCCATATTTATTTATTTCATGTATATGGAGGTTTTACCCGCATATATGTATGTGTACCATGTGCGTGCCTGGTGCCCATGGAGTTCAGAAGAAATCATCAGATCGATCCCCTGGAGCTGGTAGTTGTGAGTCACCATGTGGCTGCTGGAGCCAAACCTGAGTCCTCCGCAAGAGCGGCCAGTGCGTTTAACTGCAGAGTCATCAGAACCCTTTCCCTCTGTACATCTCAACTCATGTCCTGGTGGATTGTGCTCAGTATAACGTCAGTGCTGCCAGTTGCCCCTCTGTATTAATTGAGGACTAATAACAAGAAGGAAGCCTGTGGGCCCCACAGATGCAGTTCTGCCCCATCTCCATATTTTCTGTCTATTTGCTGTTGTTGAATCTGTGATACAGAGGGCCAATCACACCATCAATTATGAGCTCGGACAACTGTCAAAAAACCCTGCTGTTTCTTTGTGAGACATTATTTGAAGAGATTATGACAACTAATTTTATGGTTTAAAACTGGTAAATTGGGGGCTGGGGATATGGCTCAGTTGTTAGGAGCACTGGCTGCTCTTCCAGAGAATCCGGGTTCAATTCCCAGCACCCACATGGCAGCTCACAACTGTTTGTAACTCCAGTTCCAGGGGATCCGATACCTTCATACGGGGATACATGCAGGCAAAAACCACCAAATGCACATGAAATAAAGGTAAATATTTGTAAAAAACTGGCAAATTGTGACAATTTGGCTAATTCCTAGAAAGTCATGTCAAAACTGAAAAAAAGAAATTGAAAACTCAAACAACTCTGTAAGCTTTAGCTGAATTTCCATTCAGGCAGTTTAAGAACCGTTTTTTAGGGGGCGGGGCATGCAGCCAGCAGGAACAACATTCCAGAAGTTCTAGAAACAAACTGTTCTTTACTTACAGAAGTTCTCTTGGGAAACAGGATGATGAAAGATGGATCATTTTATGGAAACAACGTGACATGGAAACACACCTTACAGGAAAAATATGCAAAACTCAAAGGTCACGTACACATCAAGGCCAGGATAGGAATGCCTGGTAGAAAAATGCTCTGTAGCAGTTGAAGACTGGGGAAAGGGAAGCCTGGCGTGAGGCGTTGGCTCCACACAAGGCACAGAAGCTCAGGGCACCAAAAGGGAAATGCACAGAGAGCTCAGGCAGTGCAGAATAAAAGTGTTTCCTGACGTTTACTGTCTTTGGGCTAGTGAGATGGCTGAGGGGATGAAGCTGTCTCTGCCAAGCCGGCGGATCTGAATCCCGGGACCCACACGGTGGGAAGAGAGAACCAATCCTGCAAGTTGCTCTCTGGTCACACTCATGGCATGGCACGCGCGCGCGCACACACACACACACACACATACACACACACACACACACTATTCATAAAAAAATTCAATTATCATCTCATATCCTGAAAAAATCTTCAATAAAATTCAGCATGAATTCTTTACAGAAACCAACAGGCGCCGCCCCCCTTAACTATGAAAACCAGAACTACAGGAAACAGCAGCTAACAGCCCACTTTAGGCGAGGGATTTACCTTTGAAATGGCAACAAGAAAAGCCAGGGTAAGACAGCAGGAGTGGGACTTCCAGTCACCAGTTAAGAAAGTCCCTAAGGTAAGCGTTGGGGTGGGAGCCTTGGGAAGGATCGCCTTGCACAGCAACCCAGCACGCAGGAGACACCGCTCCATCCACACACTGCCTCGAAGGTTTGTGGGGTTCTACGGTACTCACAGCAACTGCGGAAGCATCCGTTTTCCAATCTGATGCCCAAGAAATGACATTTGGAGCCCAGGGAGGAAATGGTCAGATGTTTTTGAAGGACTGTGATGAACATCTGGAGAAACCACAGAGGACTTAATTTCATTCCTAAGTCAGAATCCAAACATATTTAATGATTTTGAGTGTGATGACGCCCAGCACACCGATTGCAGAGGCCTCGTGTTCTCTTGAAGATAAACAGCTGAGAACATCGGCTTCATGAGCTCAACCCTCATCGTAAGTCAACAGTGAGAAGGACGGTGGGCCCAAGTGTGCCGATGGAAGAGTAGGGCAGCATGAAATGCCTTCTGTACCAGCTCTTGGCCGGTGGCCATTGTAGGCCCTGTGCCTCCTTTCCTGAGTGTGACGCATAGAGACAGGACCACCTTCCCCACATTTGGAAAATGTGTTAGCCCTGGAAGTCTCGCCTAAAGCATTCATTGCAGTAAACAGTGCATTGGGTGACAACCTCAGAGAAAGCCAGTATGACTGACGGCTGAGTGTGCCAGGGCTTTGCGATATGAGTGACTCCGTAGCCAGTACATGGATACATGGCCTACAAAGAACCAGTAGATGTGTTGCTTCGTGAAAATACTTGATTTAACCGGAAAACACACAAAAGTGAGAAATTGAAGCACACAGATGGGGAGAATATGTACAATACGTGTAGCTGGTAAGACTCCAGTACTCAAATACGTACAGAGCTCCTAAAATCTGAAGATAGACCATACAGGTATAAACGGGATCAGCCTGGAACAATGAACCACTGAAGAGCAAATGCAGGGGTTGAAACATCAGGTCTCCACGACCGCGCTGCTGCGGTAGCCTTTGAAGGGGCAGTCTCCAGAGTAGTTCTTACAAGAGAGACAGGATGTGTGTGTGTGGTCTGGTTCTGTGCTGAGAGGCACCGGGGCTTCTAGGCAGAGTGCGTGTGGAGTCTGGATGATGCTCTGCCTTCCAGTGGTACCACTACCATCAGGTTTCCCCCCTGTGTGGCCTTCCTGACCTAGACAGTGCCTCTGACCCTGTGTGCCCTTGTTTGTCTCCAGAGCCCAAGGTGGTGTTTGCCAAGGAGCAGCAGACACACAGCCAGGTGAAGGCAGAGGCGGGGGCCAGTGCCACACTGAGCTGCACGGTGGCCCAGGCCCAGACTGAGGTGACCTGGTTCAAGGATGGGAAGAAGCTGAGCTCTGGCTCGAAGGTTCGAGTGGAGGCCTCGGGCTGTGAGAGGAGGCTGGTGGTGCAGCAGGCGGGCAAGGCGGATGCCGGGGAGTACAGCTGTGAGGCCGGGGGACAGAGGGTCTCCTTCCGTCTGGATGTGCCAGGTACCTATTTGGCCTTATGGGATAGTGGAGAGGGGCCTGATTTATCATTTTGTATTAGCCTTTTATATTTGCCCTTTACATTAGCCTTCATCTCTCACATTTCCCATCCTTCCTCCTTTCCTGCAGCTAGGCTGGAGAGGAATACAGAGGTGGAAGAGGGGTCCATTTTGTAAGCCTTGAGTGGCATTACTATGGGGTAATTCAGAGTCCCATGCTCCCAGAAACATCTTTGTCTTGTATGGAATCTGGGACTCTGGCTAGACCTTGTGTATGGTCTCAATCCTCCTTCCTCTCCTACACAAAAGAGTAGGGTTTAAAGCAAATACCAACTAACCTTTGCTTTCAGTTCGGATAGGTGCATCAGGGATCCCCTCAGAGCTCCTGCTCTGAACTCAGGAATGGTGAAGGGTGTCTCCTGCCAAGTCAGCCCACATTTCTATCAGTGTTAGTGCCTGGCTCCAGGTCCTCAGAGGGAGAAGTCCGAGACAGACAGCCATTTGCCTTGTGTGCCAGTGGATCCTTGAGGACTTACAGGGTGGGCTGCAATCCTAGATGACGGGAGAGTACCCACAGCAGTGTGCTATCAGACTTCCACATAACAGCTGTTGGTGTTTAGATATTGAGAAACAAGCTATTGAGTCTTCATGGGAATATCATCACCATATCATTATTATTGGTCTTTCCCTTCCTTCCTTCCTTCCTTCCTTCCTTCCTTCCTTCCTTCCTTCCTTCCTTTCTCTCTTTCTTTCTTTTTTGGTTTTCTGAGACAAGGTTTCTCTATATAACAGTCCTGAATGTCCTGGAACTTGCTTTGTAGACCAGGCTGGCCTTGAACTTAGAGATCCGCCTGCCTCTGCCTCCTGATTACTGAGATTAAAGGCATGTGCCCACCACCGCCCAGCAGAAATGTTATTTTAAGAGTATATGGCCAGGCGGTGGTGGCGCACGCCTTTAATCCCAGCACTCGGGAGGCAGAGCCAGGTGGATCTCTGTGAGTTCGAGGCCAGCCTGGGCTACCAAGTGAGTCCCAGGAAAGGCGCAAAGCTACACAGAGAAACCCTGTCTCGAAAAACCAAAAAAAAAAAAAAAAAAAAAAAAAAAAAAAGAGTATATGATAAAATATTTTATGGTAATCTGAAAAGTTGTGACAGTTTGGCTGATTACTAGTAAACTGTGTGAAAACTGACATAAAAATTCAATAAATCCAGTGTATTTTAAATAAGTGGAATAGCAACCAAATCTTCAAATAATTTTGTTGAGAAAGCATCAAATAGTACTGGGAACAGTTATTCCATGATCGTGGAGACTTTTTTAAGAGACTAGAGAAAGGAGATAAACCCGTAGGTCATTTCATGCAGTCATCATAGCACTGACATCAGAGCTGACAGGGAGGGCGGGAAGAGTGATCTTCCTGAAGAGCCGTCTGCCGGGAGTGCCACAGTGTTGGCAGAGTGAAGCCAGCAGAGGCAGGAGGACACACACTGGGATGAGGATCATAGTCTCCACATCAAGGCTGAGAAAGTTCCGTCCTCCATTGCCCAAGCCAGCTCTTTCCCTGTGGCCTTCCTGACCTAGACAGTGTCTCTGACCCTGTGTGCCCTTGTCTATTCCCAGAACCCAAGGTGGTGTTTGCCAAGGAGCAGCAGACACGCAGCGAGGTGAAGGCAGAGGCGGGGGCCAGTGCCACACTGAGCTGCATGGTGGCCCAGGCCCAGACTGAGGTGACCTGGTTCAAGGATGGGAAGAAGCTGAGCTCTGGCTCGAAGGTTCGAGTGGAGGCCTCGGGCTGTGAGAGGAGGCTGGTGGTGCAGCAGGCGGGCAAGGCGGATGCCGGGGAGTACAGCTGTGAGGCCGGGGGACAGAGGGTCTCCTTCCGCCTGGACGTCACAGGTGGGTGTTGCCACATGAAGTTAGCCTTGTGTGGAGGTGGTGGAGGCTGGCTATGTGTGTTTGGGTATGTGCACATGAGTGCAGGTACTAATGAGTCCAGGAGATGGCATTGGATCCCCTGGGTCCTGGAGTTACAGGCAGCTGTGAGTAGTCCAGTTTAGGTGCTGGGAACCAAACTGGGGTCCTCTGCAAGAGGATTGTGTATCCTTTACTGCCAAGCATCTTCCCAGCCTGTGCTATTCCCTCTTTCCACCTCATCTTTCAGGCCCTCTTTCTGCTTCTCATTTTCCTTCTTATAGCTGAGCCCGGGGAAGCTAGGAGAGGAGAGAGAGGGCCTCTTTCAGCTTGAGTGCTGTTTCCATTACTGCATTAGGAAATGCTCTCCTTGTTGTGGGTAGTGCAGCCTGAACAATCCCCCTCAGATCGCTGGCGACCTCTGCTGAGATGCAGCCAGGTCCTTGACATCCACCACAGAAGTGAATGCAGGACCAGTCAGAGTAAAGCAGACTTAATCAGTTTATTGATTACGATAAGAGCCGTGATACAAGGCACAATGGAGAGTCAGGTGCAGGCACCAGGAGAGGAGCACATTCCCTGTTGCTATGGATGTGACTTGGGGCCCTTAAATCTACTTAATCTGTGACTAAGTTTAAATGTTAGCCAAAGTATGTGCTGGTGTATCCCCCGCCCCCCCCCCCCTTTTTGGGTTTTTCGAGACAGGATTTCTCTGTATAGTTTTGGTGCCTGTCCTGGATCTCTCTCTGTAGACCAGGCTGGCCTCAAACTCACAGAGATCCTCCTGGCTCTGCCTCCCGAGTGCTGGGATTAAAGGCATGTGCCACCACCGCCTGGCTTCCCTTTTTTTTCCACCCACAGGATTTTGTTCTTGTCATAGGAGACTGTCCTCAGAGGACTGTGCAGGCTTGCAGCTTGGAGGGAGTGCTGGTTAACACAAATGTTCAGCCAAAGGACTCTTGAGGGACACACGGGTCACAAGGAGGTGGACTTGAGGCACAGGTCATTGGCTGGGAAGTGTAGGGGTTTTTTTTTTTGTTGTTGTTGTTTTTGTAATTGATCTGCCCAGTTTTGTCAGAATTCCTAGCTGTCAGCTGGTGAGACACAGCCCTCAGAACCAGAAGACCGAGGGCCCTTAACCACCTCTATTTCCTCACTTCCCCATAGCCGTTCATTTCAGAACACCTGCTCAGGGCCCTCATGCTGTGTGGTGGACTTTGGGTGCATCTGGCCTGTGGCCTGTGGTGGCCCAGATGTCTCTCCAAGGTTGGTCAGAGCACCTGCACTTTATGATCTGGTTGAGAGTTTTGTAGGGGAAAGTTACGAATTTAAAGTATTTTAGTTATGATTATTATTGCCTGTGTGTGTGTGGGGGGGGGCAGAATGCCACACTCTGTGTCAGAGATCAATTTTATGGCATCTGTCCTCTCCTCCCTTTCTGCGGGTTCCAGGGATCAAATTTGGTTGTCTGGTTTGCAGAGCAAGCGCTTTATTCACTGAGCCAGCCTAGCATCCCTTACTCTTAAAGAAAGTGCTAGAATTTTTCTCTAGTCTTGTCTAGGTTTACTGTACAGCATAGCAACCAGATCTGGGCCCCTCACTGTAGAGGTAGAAATAGACAAAAAAAAAAAAAAAAAAAGCAATGCATTGAGCTCCGAAACGCACCTGTGTGTAAACCCATCCCTCCTTTCCCCCTGGTTTTTTTTGTTTTTTTTGTTTTTTTGGTTTTTCGAGACAGGGTTTCTCTGTGTAGCTTTGCGCCTTTCCTGGAACTCACTTGGTAGTCCAGGCTGGCCTCGAACTCACAGAGATCCGCCTGGCTCTGCCTCCCGAGTGCTGGGATTAAAGGCGTGCGCCACGACCGCCCGGCCCCCCTGGTTTTTAAAGCCAGCAAGGAAGGGAGAAGGGACTTTTCATGAGAGTTTTGGGGACATTAAAACACATGAAAAGGCACTGGGTGGTGGTGGCACATGCCTTTGATCCTAGCACTCGGGAGGCAGAGCCAGGCGGATCTCTGTGAGTTTGAGGCCAGCCTGGTCTACAGAGTGAGTTCCAGGACAGGCTCCAAAGCTACACAGAGAAACCCTGTCTCGAAAAAACAAAAAAAAAAAAAAAAACAAAAAAAAAAAAAATACAACCACATGAAAAGAAAGAGCTGTCTGCTGGTTCACATCACAGAGGTCAGTTCCAGGGGGACTGGAGACACCAGGGTCCCAGGTAAACCATAGTCCTGCTGTGTGTTGTTTAACGTTGTCAGGATGAGGAAAGGTTTGTCAGGACAAGCGCACTAGCCACAGTGGAGCAACAGTGATCCATTCGGCCACATTGTATTGAGAACCTGAGCGATTAGATGAGGCCGCTGTGTGCAGCTATTGCAAAATAACAATAAAGTGTCGTGGGACTTACAAATCAGTAACGATGCCGGTGGCTGGGAGGTTCAGATGGCGTGGTGCTGGTGTCCAGGTGAGGAGGGCACCAGCTCCACGAAATGGATAGGTAGGAAGGAGCCTGGTTAGGAGCAGGAGGGGACAACACACAGGAACGGCTGACACTCTGCTCTTGTGGGAGGTCATCTGTTCCTGTAAGACTCAGCCTGTTTTTCCAGATCGGCGTTAACTCAGAAGAGTTCCCGTGGTCCAGAACTGCCACTAACTTGTACCTTGTAAAAAGTTCTCCACCTCAGCACTACCACATGAGAATCCAGCTTGCGACACGTAAACTTTTGGGGTACCAGCCACATCTAACCACCTGTCACTGGGATCAGACCCGCAGGTCAGACAGTGAAAGAGGATAAGGACTGTAATATGTAAAGAGACCCCTGAAATAAATATGAAGAAGATAGAGTGCTATGAAGAGTAGGGTCTCCTTGAACATTAGCTGTGCAGAGGAACACACACACACACACACACACACACACACACACACACACACACACACACACCCCGATGGCTGATGACATCAGTAAGACAGACAGCGAGGGCCGCAGATGGCCCAGGCTCTCCCTTCTGTGGGTGCCACAACTGACAGAGCTCAGAGCAGGAAAGGGCGTGGAGGCTCTGGACTCTCAGCGCTGTGAGGCACGACCTACCAAGTCCTGGGGAGACTCTCCATTGTCACTGTGGGACAGGAGCATGTGTTATGCCCCTCAGCCTCTCCATGGAGGACTGTAACCGTGTCTCCCCTCGAGTGACCCCGCAGCAGTAACAGGATATGTGGATAAACTGGGGTTTTGTGTCGAGAGGCCCTGCGCTTTTCCTGGACACAGTGTGCAGAGGCCGGGTGACGTTCTGCCTTCTAGCTGTCTCCTGCAAGTCTTTCCTCACGTGCCCTTCCTGATCTAGACAGTGTCTCTGACCCTGTATGTGTGTCCTGATCTATCCTCAGAGCCCACGGTGGTGTTTGCCAAGGAGCAGCAGACACACAGCCAGGTGAAGGCAGAGGCGGGGGCCAGTGCCACACTGAGCTGCACGGTGGCCCAGGCCCAGACTGAGGTGACCTGGTTCAAGGATGGGAAGAAGCTGAGCTCTGGCTCGAAGGTTCGAGTGGAGGCCTCGGGCTGTGAGAGGAGGCTGGTGGTGCAGCAGGCGGGCAAGGCGGATGCCGGGGAGTACAGCTGTGAGGCCGGGGGACAGAAGGTCTCCTTCCGTCTGGACGTCACAGGTCAGTCCCTTGGGACAATCCACGTGTGTGTTCCTAATTATTACATCTTCTTGATGTAATGGATTACTCACTTTACTAGTGTGTAGTGAGAGCTTCTTTGTCCCGTCTGACTACCTTTGGCTTGAAATCTGTTTAATGAAATATAAATCTAGCTATCCCTGCTTGCTTCCAGTGTTTGATCCATATTCACTTTCAAGTCTGTATTTACCAGTGAAGTGTGTTTTTTGAACACTACAAATAGTTTGATATTAAAACAGTTATTGACATGTTTAAACATAGTTTTAGATTTATTTATTTTACATGTAAGAGCATTTTGCTTGAATGTCTATCTGGAGTTACAGATGGTTATAGCCACCATGTGGATGCTGGAAATCGAACCTGGGTCCTCTGTGACAGCATCAAGTGCTCTTAACCATCGAGTCATCTCTTTAGCCCCTGGATCTTATTTTTTAACCCAATAGACTCTTCTGTTGCGGAGTTAAGATCACTTGTGTTTAGGATTAGTATTGAGAGTTGTTTTCGGATTCCTGCAGTTTTATTGATCATTTTCCTGGTTGTTTTGGTTTAGTTGGATTACTGTTCATTCTTTTTTTGGGGGGGTGGTGTCATTTGGAGATAAGGTTTCTCTGTGTAATCTTGGCTGTCCTGGAACTTGTTCTGTAGACCAGGCTGGCCTTGAACTCAGACATCCATCTGCCCCTGCTTCCTGAGTGCTGGGATTAAAGGTGTGTGCCACCACTTCCCAGCTCTAGGATTACTATTCATTATTTTAAAAATGCTTTATTTTGATTTTATGTGTATGAATATTTGCATACATGTATATGTATTTCATGTGTGCAGTGCTTACAGAGGCCAGAAGAGGGCATCAGATCCCCTGGAACTGCTACGTGGGTGCTGAGAACCAAACCCAGGTCTTCAGCAAGAGCAGCCAATGCTCTTAACCTCTAAGCCAGCTCACCGGCCTCTTGTCCCCCCACCCCTTCCCTCTTTATATTAATTCCAGTTTAGTCATTACTGAATTGGTCATGACTGAATCTTTTTAAGTCTCCTTTTTTCATTTACTCTTCCAATGAAATTTATTAATTCATGTGCTATTGTGATTAGGTGTTTTTTCCTCCCCTGAGGTCAGGATTCCTGTTAGAATGTTCTGCAGGGTTAGTTTGGTTGCTATGAGTTACTTTAGTTTGTTTCCCTGGAGCCGTCTTTATTTCTGTTGGTTTTAAGAGATAACTTTGTTGGAATAGCCCTCTTAGCTGGTAGCTTTTTTTTTTCTTTCAGGGCATGGAATGTATCATTCCTTGTTTTCCTGGGTTTGGGGGTTTCTACTGAGATGCCGGAGGTTATTCTAATGGGTTTGCCTTTTGAAAAAGTTGCTACATTTTTAAGTTGTGTGTGAGCATGGTGGCACATGGAGAGGTCAGAAGACAATCGCAGGAGTCAGTCTCTCCTGCTGTGTGTGTTCTGGTGACTGAACGCAGTTCCCTCCTGCTGTGTGCGTTCTGGTGACTGAAAGCAGGCTGCCAAGCTTGATCTGCTGAGCCAGTTCATTGGTCCTCTTACACTTTGTTTTAAAATAAATATTGTTTATTTGTCGAGTTTTAGTGTGTTCACTATTGTATTGTGTGGAGATTCTCTGGCCGTGTTTATTTGGGGCTGTAATACCCCGTGTGTTCTGGTGCTTACTTCTTTCTCTAAATTTGGGAAATTCTCTGCTCTAATTTCATTGAACTGATTTTCTGGGCCTTTAGTTTGTGTCTCATCTTTTCCTAGCCCGTAGTTCTTAGGTTTGCGCTCTTGACCATGTCCCAGAGTTCCCGGATGTTGCTGTGATCACCCTCCCTTTCCTTTTCTTGGCTGTTCTTTGTCCTCAGTCTTTCTTTGACTTTCCTGGTGGCCTCCATCCGTGACAGCCGTTCTGCCATAAGCTTGATTGACCTATTTGTAATGCTTTCCAGTGTGTTTTTAATTTTATTAGTTGAGTCTTTCATTTCTATCATATATATATTTTCACACGATCTCGATGTCCTTGCTCAGTTTCTCATGCATGTTGCTGGCCGCCTCCTCTGTGTTACTGACTTCCTTATTTACATCCTGAACTGATTTCCTTGCCTTATCCACGTGCTCCTTTGTTTCCTTCTTGAAGTCGTTGACTATCTTTACACGTGGACTTTTCATTGTGTGTCTAGCGTTTCAGCCATTTCTGTGTCTTTGAATTCAGTAATTGAGGAGCTGTGGCCTTTTGGAGGTGGTGTTTTGTGTTGCCCTCTTCGGCCAAAATCATCAGACTTTGTAAGAGAGTTGAGAATGAGTTCTAGACCACAGAGTGGTGTAGGGGAAGCACCCTCAGGTTTGCATGAGAGGTCACAGGTTTAGATTTACACCCACGTCAAAGGCATCACCTTACCAATTCCAAGTCCGACAAGGTATGCTGGCACACTTGGTGAAAATTAGTAAACATTGGGAAGAGACAGTAAAGAGGATACACTGAATGGATACAGTCCGGAAGAACTGCAGGTGGCCGCTCTTGGTTCAAATGCAGCAGGGGATGCCTCTGTCCAGGTGGGAAAACATTGAGCCAAACCACTGTCAAAGATCAACTTTGGGGTGCTTGCTATACTAGATGCCAAGATTCTTCAAAAGCTAAAATAACTCAGAAATCGAGTCCAAAGATAGGAGCTGATAATGAGATCTAAACAATTAAGGGGTGAGCTTAGAACAGCCTGTGTGTAAGCAGATCTGCCCTCTACTTCTCCTCCCAACCCTGGGGCCCTGTGAGGTGCATGGAACAGAGGGCAATAAAATCATATTGGATGTCCTCCTCGCCGCTGAGGAGCCAGCTGCAGGTGGTTAGAGTCATCAAAGTGAGGGAGATAGGACCATAGCAGGTGTTACGGGTTAGCTGATGTTTTCAGGGTGATAGCAGATTCTTGAGCAGGTTATAAGTGCATTAGCCCTCAGACAAATGGGTATCTTTGCTTGCAGATATATATACCACAAGAGTCAAAGATGAGGATGGCAGTCATGACAAATGTAAATGCCAGCACATTAGCAGGGAATCACACAAAGAGATCCTGAGAAGAGTGTAAACACCACAGTGTGATGAAACACTGGAGTGGCAGCCACTAATGGCCACAGGCTTGAGATCCCCACTCCCAGGACCAGGCTGATAACAAGGGCTGGTAGTCTAGGCTGTCCTCTGAATATAGCAGCTGAGGATGTTTGGAGCAGGCAAGGGAGTGGAGCTTGGGAGACTCTGTGAGGACATGTCTTGCACCGTCCTGGGGGAGACTTTCCACTGTCACTGTTGATCAGGTGTACATGTGTTCTCAGCCACAGTTCCTCCTTGGAGGAGGCTTGCTCGGACTCTGTTACAGTGGTCCCCCTGGATCAGCCTGTGAATCTGTGGCAGGACGTATGGATGAACTGGGTTTGCTCCAAGAGACTCTGCGTCTCCTCCTGGGTGTAGCTAGTGCAGAGAATGGGGGATGTTTTACCATCCGGACACCCTTCCAGACTCTTTCCCTGTGGCCTTCCCGACCTGGAGAGTATCTCTGACCCTGGTATTCCTGTCTTTCCCCAGAGCCTAAGGTGGTGTTTGCCAAGGAGCAGCAGACACACAGTGAGGTGAAGGCAGAGGCGGGGGCCAGTGCCACACTGAGCTGCACGGTGGCCCAGGCCCAGACTGAGGTGACCTGGTTCAAGGATGGGAAGAAGCTGAGCTCTGGCTCGAAGGTTCGAGTGGAGGCCTTGGGCTGTGAGAGGAGGCTGGTGGTGCAGCAGGCGGGCAAGGCGGATGCCGGGGAGTACAGCTGTGAGGCCGGGGGACAGAAGGTCTCCTTCCGTCTGGACGTCACAGGTCAGTTGTTTGAGGGCACTAAGCTTGCTCATTTGGATGAGAGGCTAAGACTGACTAATAATCTGAAGGACCCTGGCGCTGCGGCAGGGAACTTGCCCTCTGCAATTCTCCCATCATTAACATTCTGTTTTCACACATATCGTTTGGCTGTGTGAGCAGAAATGGATGTGATTAAGTCTGGGGAGCTGTCCTTATTTTCATGTGGTAGCATTTATTACCCCCAAAACATCCCAGAGGTTCTCTGTGTTGCTTTTTGGTGCCCAGGGATATTCATGGCTCTTCCTGGTGTTTAGGTTGGGGTAAGCCAGATATGTCTCTCTGGGCTCTGAATGTCTAAGTGTCTGCGGCTCCTGCATGCCCTAACCCAGCACCAACATTCGTATTCACAAGAAGAATTTCTATTCAGTTTAAATAAAACTAGGGGCATTTTAATCTCCTGATCATAATTGGATTTTTTTGCAATAAAAGCTGGCTTATTGTAGTTTTGGGTACCTGACTACTCCTTCCTAATTTCTGAGATGTCGAGGTCTCTGTGTGTACTGAGGTGTAGGTCCACATTGCATGGCAGTGTCTGTGTGTGGTCAGGAAAGAACAGGAGGCTATGAATGTGCTGCTGCAAGAGTAGAATGCTCTCCCCAGGGAAAGTCTTATCTTCCAAAAGCAGGTTAGAAAATAAGTCAGTATTGGTATTCTCCTTGGAGTATCATTTAGGAAAAGAGAAAGAAGTAGCTTATGTTTTTTTTCCCCCCTAATAAGGTGAGTTCCTCTAGTGGGTTCTCTGTCCACAGTCAGTGTTGATGTCACTGACTGGAGTTCATCTGTCTGCACCTTCCCCTCTTATCAGACAGAAATCTGAGATGTGCATCCATCTTCTTTCACTTAGGAGCCCTCTCTTACATCTGGGTGTCACTAGATAACATTTAAAGTAATTCTATCACTAAGAAATGGTTTATGAGCCGGGCGGTGGTGGCGCACGCCTTTAATCCCAGCACTCGGGAGGCAGAGCCAGGCGGATCTCTGTGAGTTCGAGGCCAGCCTGGGCTACCAAGTGAGTTCCAGGAAAAGGCGCAAAGCTACACAGAGAAACCCTGTCTCGAAAAACCAAAAAAAAAAAAAAAAAAAGAAAAAAAAAAGAAATGGTTTATGAATAAACATATCAACAAAACAAAATGAAACAAAACAACACAAAAGAAAAAACCCATCTTGTATCTTTACTTCATTTTATTTTCAGAGAATATGAAATTAAAAAAATGAAACCATTTGGCTGTGTTCTAGAAAGTTGTATAAAAAGCCACACAAAAAGAAGTAGAAATCTTGAATAGTCCTAATGTCTTTCTGAAACAGAATCATAAAAACCAATTTATCATGGAAAAAGGTGTTAGTACAAGGGCTTATGGATAAATCATACCAAACATTCTAGAAAGTAATTGTTAGTTCCAGTGCTTTATTGCACAGTAAGATGATGATAGTTGACCATAATATTTAATGCATTTCCAAACAGCTAAGAGGATTTTAAATGTTCACAAATAAATAATAAACACTTGGTGCAGCAAATATGTTAATTACCTTGTTTTGATAACAATGTAGAGAGGTTATTGAAACACTACATTGTACTCTATAGTTTATTATTTATTAAAAATGAAAAAAAGGAACCAGTGAGATGGGTCAGAGGTTTTCTTTTTTTTAAAAAAGATTTATTTATTTTTTTATGTATGAGTGCTCTATCTGCATGTACGATGTTATGCCAGAAGAAGGCATCAGATCCCACTATCGATAGTTGTGAGCTACCATATGGTTGCTGGAAATTGAACTCAGGACTTCTAGAAGAGCAGTGAGCGATCTTAATCACTGAGCCATCTCTCCAGCCTTGGGTTAGAGGTTCTCGACATCAAGCCTGATGGCGTGAGTTTGATCCTGGGACCCAGTGAGCCAGTCTTACTTTTCTGAGGACTTGGGTCCTCAGTACCTCCACATCAAGGACCAAACTTCCATCATGCGGACTCTGGGAAACATACCACATCCCAACAAAGCACAGGAGAAATGAGTCAGGGGACTGTAGTAATAATAAGGTACCATGTGCTTGAAAATCACCAAAAGAGTGCATTTCAAATGTTTACCACAAAAATGATGTGCATGTGGAAATGTTTCTTGGTTAGTTTTTATTGCCAACTTGATACAACCAGGAGTCTCTTGGGAAGAGGCGTTACCAAGAATATGTTGGCTTGTGGCCACGTCTGTGAGGAATTGTTTTGGTTGGTGATTGATGTGGGAGGATCCAGCCCACGGTGGGTAGCACCATCCCTATGCAGGTGGCCTGGGCTATAGAAAAAAGCTAACCAATGGAGCTAGACAGTGAGCCAGTAAGGCACATTCCTCTGTCGTTTCTAGTCAATTCCTGTTTGAGCTTCTCCCTGATTTTCCTCAGGGGTAGTTGTGACCCAGAAGTGTTAAGTGTAAGCCAAATAACCCTTTTCTCCCCAAGTTGCTTTTGGTCATGGTGTTTATCACAACAATAGAAAGCAAACCAGAATGTGCTGGATATTTTATCTACCTGACTTAATCATTCCATGCTGTAACATATATCAAGATGTCATATTGTGCTCCATAAAATGTGTATAAAAGTTCTCAGATACAGTAGAGGACACTGAGACAGAAATTGTTCTTTGAGGCATTGAGATTTTTTTTTTATTATTATTTTTTTTTGGTTTTTCGAGACAGGGTTTCTCTGTGTAGCTTTGCGCCTTTCCTGGAACTCACTTGGTAGCCCAGGCTGGCCTCGAACTCACAGAGATCCGCCTGGCTCTGCCTCCTGAGTGCTGGGATTAAAGGCGTGCGCCACCACCGCCCGGCTGAGATTTATTTAACACCATGGACAGATAGACAGATAGAAAACAGCACAGTAGGTGCTCTGAAGACAGTTCAGGCTGTAGTACCAGAGACAGACAGCATGGTGGATGTTCTGCAGAGAACTCAGGGTCCATAGGCAGAAGGGGGAGTCTCTACTTACAGGTCTTTGAGGAGGGGGGACGTTTTACAGCAGGTGCCCACAACCAGGCAGAGCCAGGAAAGGGACGGGGAGGGGGCACCGAGCCCCTGTGATGTAAACTCACTTCACTCACCTCTCAAGGTGAGAAACTTTGCACCTGGGGTCTCTCAGCTTGAGGCTTACAGACAGTGTCTCAGTAGGGAGCCTGTCTGTGTCTCTGAGAGGGGAAAGCTGCTGCTATAGGTATGATGGCCTGGGCAGCAGCTGGATTCTAACATACATTTGTATAATGCACAGTTATGATTATCAGTTAAAACAGTAATGAAAAACCCAAGTCAGTGTGTAGAAAGCATCTCTTTGTATTGTCTATTGTACTGACAACACCAGTGGAAGGTAAAATTTTCAAAGACTTAAAACAACACAAAAAGTCTATTTCTAATTCTAAAGCTAAAAAGGATTCTTAAGACACACGTGGAGAAGAGTTGTTAGTGTTTTTAGAAGACAGTAAGGAGGTTGAAGTGCATAGAAATCCATGGAAGATCCAAATATATTCATGTTTGATAAAAGTCCGAGTGGATGTCTTACTTTGGGGAGTTGGAAGTTAAGGAGATTTGAAAGGCCACCAACAGCCACTGAGGAGACAGGTGTGAACACACAAAATGGCCGCCACGCAGGTAGCTACCACAATTTGAAGACAACTGTCCCACCCAAGAAACAGAACAGGAACCGTGACCATACTTGTGAACAAAATAATTGTTTTTTCTTTTATGGGCAGGGGAGATGGCTCCCCAGGTAAAGCCACCTGCTGCCAATTCTGGCATACTAAGTTCAATCTCTAGAACCCACGTGATGGGGAGAACTGTAAGTTGTCCTCTGACCTACACACACACACACACACACACACACACACACACACACACTGGAGTCTGCATGTGTTTACACACACACTCACAATAAATAAATAAAAAAATCTGATCACTTAAAAATATGTAAGCAAGGGATGGTGTAGACTTAAGTGCTAACTTAATAATTTCTGTATTAAAAAATTACCCAGGAACTCGGAGCTCACTCAAAGTGAGTGTCGGGTGGGTTAGTCACAGCACAAGAGCCCGAGACACAAGGCCCCTGGAGGATGACTGCAGTGGCCTTCAGACATGCTGGGGGTCATTTGTTCTGTGTTTACAGCTATTCCCTTAGAGAACAGAAAAAGGAGATAAACCTTTTGTTCTGTTCATATAGATGGCATAGCATAATAAAATCTGGCCAGAAGATAAGAACTCATATTTTAGGTCAATCTATTATGGGTATCAAGGACAATTTGTGAAACACAGTACTAATGAGCTGAACTCAGGGCATGTCAACAGGATCATACTCAGTGAGGACACTGATAGCCCAGGGCCATCAGTCTGGAATATTGCAAAATGAGTATACCACCTCACCTTATCTGACTGACCAAAAATGTGAAATTATCTCAGCAAGGGCAAAACAGAGGATAAAACTCAGCAATGTACATTAAAAAGAAGTGTTTGACAACATTTATCATCAGTCATGTCATAAAACTTGTAACAAATGTCTTTAAACAGGTTGTTTCTTGACTTGGCCAGCAGTACTGCATGCAAATCCAAGACTACAATACTCTGCTCTAAGGTCAGGAACAGCACAAAGAGGCCAGCTGTCACCACGTCCTACAGCAGAACTAGGAAAAACAGCCCACAGAAGGCACAGAAATTAGGAAAAGAATACCCCGACAGATTCACAGATGTTAACGTTTATTCAAAAGATAAATGGATAGATTTAGTAAGAATTGAGAAAGAATCCTGTACACAAAGACCAATGTAAAGAACACCCTTCACTATATACTAACAACGGGCCTCTTGCAAAATGAGTTTAAAAGCTGTAAGTGTCTTCAAGAGTATCATACCTATCATACCAAGTCTGATATCACACGTGGAGAGACTGGGTTTGGATTATTAAACATTTTTTAAGAGACAGGAAGCTCCACACAGATGGAAAGAAATAAGATGGATTTTGCAGGTGTCCAGTCCCCAACACCATCTGAGCATTGCTGTGGGATGGTTTGAAAAGGACAGTGAATTTCTCAGGCTAGCTGTAGTCAGCACACTCACAAGGAGAACTGGTGGTGAATAGTTGCTGTCTTAGGTGCAAGACTGCACAGAGGTATTGTGTGTCTTTAATAAGAGAACTGCAGGGACTGGAGAGATGATGAGGCAGTGGTTGGGAGCACTTGCTGCACCTCCAGAGGACTCAGTTCAGTTCCTAGCACCCACATGGTAGCTCACAGCCAGCTGTAACTCCAGTGTTGTGGGTATATTGTGCCCTCTTCTGGCATCTGTGGGTACTGCATGCATGTAGTGTCCAGATACACATGCTGGCAACACCCTCCCCACCCCACACACATGACAGGATTGCAGCAGATCTGGTTTTGTGGCTCTTAGATTTATTTGTGATTCTAGAATTGGACAGTAATTTAGTTTATGGATAGTTCTGCCCCAGAACATGGCAGGTTATGTATGGGTAGGCTATGTTTACAGCCAGAGAAGAGGGATTGCTTTCAGCTGGCATCTGTCTTGTCTGACCATATCAAAACACTTACCTACTGGTCCCAAGAGTAACTTATAGTCTGATCACTTTAAGATAAATTAGAGTTGGGCAAAAAAACCCTCTAGACCAAATTTAATCCAGCTTAATACAATGAGACAACAGATTCTCAATGCAAGGATGGTTAACAGGTAATAAGAATATATACACATGCAGAAGGAGGGTGTCTTAGCTACTTTTCTATTGCTGTGAAGAGACACTATGACTGTGGTAACTTATAAAGAAAGCATTTAACTGGGGGCTTGCTTACAGTTTCAGAGGGTCGGTCCATGGCCATCATGGTGGGGAGTGTGGCGGTAGGCAGGCAGGCATGGTGCTGGGGCAGTGTTGAGAGCTTGTATGTTTTCTGCAAGATGGAGACAGAGATTGAAACTTGCCCTGTTGGGGGCTTTTCAAACCTCAAAGACACTCCCAGTGACACACCTCTTCCAGCAAGACCACACCTCCTAATCCTTCTCAAACAGTTCCACCAGCTGGGAACCAAGCATTCAGATGTATTAGCCTGTGGGGGCCGTTCTCATTCAAGCCACCATAGAGGGTTAAGCATAAACACAGGCTCAGCTGTCCCTCTGCCACCCCCTTAGTTTTTTTACATCTGTGCAGAGTGTGTAGAAAGGACAACGTCTTCATGAATGGCACGCTGAGCATTTAACTGTATATGGAAAATACTGAATAATTAGAATAGTAGTTCAGATCACATGAGTCGGCTCCAGGTGGGTTAGAGGCAAAGGGTAAAAGGTGACAGTGTGAAAACTGAAGGTGACTTCATGGGTGTGAATGCTGAAGGTGACTTCATGGGTGTGAATGCTGAAGGTGACTTCATGGGTGTGAAAGCTGAAGGTGACTTCATGGGTGTGAAAACTGAAGGTGATGTCATGGGTGTGAAAACTGAAGGTGACATCATGGATTGCTCTAAGGACTGCAGGGTGAGGACAGAGTTCCTTCCAGGAATGCAAGTCTTCTCATCAAAATACAAGCTGCGGAGACTGGACCACATGGCAACAAGTCACACTGATTCAGAAGGACGTTTATCAGAGGATTTAGGACACAGTGAAAAGATGAGGATAATCACCTCCTACATTTTGCCAAGTTCACAGCATGTTGCCATCCAATGAACAGTGACTGGGGATGAGCGAGAAGCTTGAGTTATGACACCACAGTTCTATGCACACGTGGCCAGAAAGATCAGAGGCTTGCCACCATCAGGACCAGGCAGTAAGGGCCACATGTGGTCCAGGTGCCCTTCAGAGGCAGCAGAAAGATCAGAGGCTTGCCACCATCAGGACCAGGCAGTAAGGGCCACATGTGGTCCAGGTGCCCTTCAGAGGCAGCAGAAAGATCAGAGGCCTGCCAAAATCAGGACCAGGCAGTAAGGGCCACATGTGGTCCAGGTGCCCTTCAGAGGCAGCAGAAAGATCAGAGGCCTGCCACCATCAGGACCAGGCAGTAAGGGCCACATGTGGTCCAGGTGCCCTTCAGAGGCAGCAGAAAGATCAGAGGCCTGCCACCATCAGGACCCAGCAGTTAGGTCCACATGTGGTCCAGGCTGCCCTTCAGTTAACGTGGGACAGGGCGTGGAACCTTAAGGACTCTGAGACCTTGTGAGAACACACCCTTACACAGTCCTGTGGGAGGGTCAAGTGGACAAATGTCATGACTTGCAGACCTTTCCAGCATGCGCCTAGGAACAGGCACAGCAGCTCTCCTGAAACAGCCTAGGCAGCATGGGCAAGCTGTGCACACATATTTTGGTTTGGTGCTGAGAGGGACAGTGGCTTCTGGGATCAGGCAGTGAAAAACCTAGACAATGTTCTGTCCTCCTCCTATACCGCCCAGTACTTCTGCCCACATGGCCTTTCTCACTGATTACATCTCTGACCTTGTGCATCCCTCTTTGCCCCCCAGAGCCCAAGGTGATGTTTGCCAAGGAGCAGCAGGCTCGTAGCGAGGTGAAGGCAGAGGCGGGGGCCAGTGCCACACTGAGCTGCACGGTGGCCCAGGCCCAGACTGAGGTGACCTGGTTCAAGGATGGGAAGAAGCTGAGCTCTGGCTCGAAGGTTCGAGTGGAGGCCTCGGGCTGTGAGAGGAGGCTGGTGGTGCAGCAGGCGGGCAAGGCGGATGCTGGAGAGTACAGCTGTGAGGCCGGGGGACAGAGGGTCTCCTTCCGCCTGGACGTCACAGGTGGGTGCTGAGACACTAAATTGGCCTTGTGGGAGGTTCAGTGCCTGGCTCATGCCCATGCTGACTCTGTGCTCCTGTGTTACACACTTGTGTTACACACTGTCTCTTCATGCCTCCCCTTTTCCCATCCTCATGTTCTCTCCTCAGGTTCTCTCCTTCCTGTATACCTGGAGAGATGTTCCCAGGTTGGGGAGTTTCATCTTTGTCATGTTTTGTTCCTGCCTGGAGCCTTCCTGATGTGGCTTGGGTCCATCTTTTTGACCATATGAGGCCAAGTGTCCTCACTTGGGATCTGTGTCCAGGCTGCTCTGCTCTGGGCTGTGCTCCCACATGGACCTGAGAGCACTCTCTCTCCTTCAGAGCTCTCAGTGGCTCTGAATGTGACGAGGGGAAGTTTGACCTCCTATTCATACTCAGAGTCATCTCCAGCTTGGCCTTCAGGTCGTCCAAGGTTTAGTCTGGACAGCCCTCCCTGCTTTTCCCATGGTGCCCTCCGTGTTAGCGCCTGTGCAGAGGACCAGCAGCACAGGGTCCTGGGCTGAGAACCTCTGAGCTTTGGACCTCTCTTCCCAGCAATCCTTGTTTTCCTTTCGCCTCAGCCAGAACTTTATACATGGATTGTACCTCTTAAGAATTTGTTTTATACATTTAGAAATTTTAAGGACTATGAAGCTCGCTCTACAAATGACAGCTCCTGTCAAGAAAGCAGCCCTTGTTCGACAATATTCCACAACATCCGCAAAATGGCCTGGAAATTCAGGCCCCCGTCTCCCCCTGCGGGCTGCCAAGAGATCTGTGAGCTGACATTACTGTCCTTTGTGAGAAGCACTCAACCTGGGGAGCTAGTGGGAAGGCTCAGCAGGTTAACCTGCTACCCATGACCCTAGTTCAGTTCCCCCAGCCCACCTAGTGGAAGGCAAGAAGGGAGTCCCCTGAACTGTCCTCTGACCTCCACACATACATGGTAACATGCCCCACACAAAATAAAAAAATAAATGTTATAAAAGACGAGTTTAACCTGAAGAGGGCGGCTTGAAGTTCCCTCTGAGGCACCACCACAAGGCAGTTTGGGATTGTTTTCATGAAATGCCTTGTTGTTGTGAGGACCAAATGAAGTATCCCTGATGACAAATGATTTTTTTTTTTTTTTTTTTTTTGGTTTTTTGAGACAGGGTTTCTCTGTGTAGCTTTGTGCCTTTCCTGGAACTCGCTTTGGAGACCAGGCTGGCCTCGAACTCACAGAGATCCGCCTGGCTCTGCCTCCCGAGTGCTGGGATTAAAGGCGTGCGCCACCACCGCCCGGTGACAAATGATTTGAAGGGAATATCACATGACTTTATGCACATAAATTTTGAATAGTTGCATTAAATTGATCAATTCCTTAGAACTGTTATAAAAACTTATAGATGAAAAAAACAGGAAATTCAAATAGCCCTGTAGCCCTTTAAGTCGACAAATACTAGTTTCAAAAACTGTTATAGGAGAGGGCCTGGAGAGATTGTTCAGCTGTTAAGAGCACACACTACTCTTGTGGTAGACCTGAGTTCAATTCCCAACACCTGTATCAGGTCACAACTGCCTGTAATTCCATCTCTGACTTCTCTGGCTCTGGGAGTGCCACACACACAGACACACAGACACACAAACACACACACACACACACTCTAACACACATGTGCACACATACACTCACACACATGCACACGCACATACACATACTAACATTTAATCACTCACTCATAACACATGCACACACACATATACACACATATACACACACTCAACTTTTTAAAAAAAATAAATATTGTAGAAGAGTTAAAATATAAAGCTAAAAATATTCTGGAAGTAAATAATTTATGTAATGGTCATTTCTCTAGAATTCAAAGGGTATGTATATCACTTTCTACACTTGATCTTAGCCAAAAGGCCGAGAAGCGATGTGTATATCACTTTCTAACTCACTTAATGTAGACAGTACAATATTGACCAAAATGACAGACATTATTAAAAACTGTACGTACAAGTCAATCTCTCATAAATGCTGAAATAATGTATACAAAATATCAACAAACTGATTGGGGCAATATGCTAAGAGCTGAGTATACTGGGGTAACGTTAGTCCAGGGATGCAAGGCTGGCTTAGTATTAGAATGTAAAAGCCAATAAAATCTATAATCTTGGGAGAATCAGAGCTGGAGAGATGGCTCTGTAGTTAAGAGTGGAGGACCCGCTCTTGTGGAGGACCTGAGTTCACTTTCTAGCCCCTACATCAGTGAGTTCACAATCTCCTGTAACTCCAGCTCTAAGGGATCAGTGGCCTCCATTAGCACTGACACTCACTCGCATGTGCAGACACACAGACACACACAGACAGACATACAGACACACACACACACACACACACACACACACACACACACACACACACACGCATAATTAAAAGTAAAGTAAATATATGTTTTAAAAGTTTTCAAAAGGAGCCAGGGGCACACATCTTTAATCCCAGCACTTGCGGGCCAGACTTAGCTGGATTTCTTTGCGTTTGAGGCCAGCCTGGTCTAAAAATCAAAATCAAGTTGTAGGACAGGCAGGGTTACATAGTGAAAACCTGTCTCCAAAACAAAACAAATTGTTTTTACATCATATCTAGAAGATATGAAATCTAAATCTACTTATGTATATTAAAAAATTCTTGTGTTGGGCATGTAGCTACATGATAGAGCCCTTACACAGCTTCCCTAAAACCCTGACACCAGAGAAAAAGAATCTCTTGAATTAGTAATAAAAAGAGGCCTCCCGAATTTCACGAGTGAATTTCACAGGTGCCACGGTAAACACGCAGCCATGAATGATTTCTCTTTCGTTGAAGATGGCAGAGGGGCTTCATGAACAATACATGGCCGGCATAAAGCTCTAAGGAGTACAAATTAAAGAAACGTAATTTACAGAAAGGTGGATGTCACGGTTGGTGTGATTACCATTTCTGTATGGAAACTAGCAAAAAAAGAGTGGGAAATTATATCAGAAAAGAATCGTGATAGCCAGGAGTGATGGCACACACCTTTAATTCCAGCACTTGGAAGGGAGAGGCAGGTGGATCTCTGTGAGTTCAAGGCCAGCCTGGGCTACAGAATGAGTTCCAGAATAGCCAGCTGACTCAAAAACAAATAAAACAGACAAACATACAACAAATAACAATAAACAAAATTGTCATAATATCCCAAGGGTGCAGCTACTAGTTCAGTGTCTAATGAAAGACGTTCAGGCTTCTGAGGGGAACTTACGTCAGGAAGACAACGGAGAGCAATGGAGAGGGTATTAGTTGGTGGTGAGATAGACATGGAAAACCCAGAGAGGCCCAGTCCTGGTGACTGTCCAAGAGCTAAAAGATTTATGAAGAAAGAGTGTAAGAACATTTCATCTGCCAGATGTTAAAAGATATTTTTATTCCATCTTTCTGATGGTCCAGGCCACCTCTTCAGCATTGCATCAGATGATACTCAAAGAAGGCAGGGGCCTTGCATGGTCCCGGGGGATTCTCCATTGCCACTGTAGGGCGAGTGCACGTGTATGCTGACCTACTGTTGCTTCTTGCAGGAGCCTTGTACAGACTCTGTCAAGGCATCCCTCTGCTGCAGTGATGGGCAGTGTGGCTGAACTGTGCTTTTATGCTGAGAGATGCTCAGGCTTCTTCTGGGCACAGTGAGTGCCGTGTCTGGAGGGTGTTCTGCTCTCCAACGGTCCTATTCAGATCTTCTCCCCCCACGTGGCCTTCCTGACTTGGACAGTGTCTCTGACTTTGTGCATCCCTGTCTGCCCCCAGAGCCCAAGGTGGTGTTTGCCAAGGAGCAGCAGGCTCGCAGCGAGGTGAAGGCAGAGGCGGGGGCCAGTGCCACACTGAGCTGCACGGTGGCCCAGGCCCAGACTGAGGTGACCTGGTTCAAGGATGGGAAGAAGCTGAGCTCTGGCTCAAAGGTTCGAGTGGAGGCCTCGGGCTGTGAGAGGAGGCTGGTGGTGCAGCAGGCGGGCAAGGCGGATGCTGGAGAGTACAGCTGTGAGGCCGGGGGACAGAAGGTCTCCTTCCGTCTGGACGTCACAGGTGGGTGCTGAGACACTAAGTTATCTTGTAGGGGTTCAGTGATTGACTCAAGCCAGGGCTGCCTCTGTGCTCCTTCTGTTTGGCTTTGTCTGTTATACATTGTCACTTAATGTCTTTCTCTCATCCCTGGTGGTGGGCCTGTCCCTGATGGGATGGATGTCACCCCAGGTGACACTGTCTGCACACATGTTTCGTGGCTGGTGTGAGGAGGAACCCAGAACACAAGGCTAATAGATAAGCCAGTTAAGAACTGTTAAACCACTGACAGCCCAGCCCCTTCCTTACATAGCAGCCGACATTGCTCAGAGTAGGCAAGTGCATGGGGCCTCAGGGACCCTCAGGGACCCTCAGCCCTGGTGATGATGTTCCCTGAACAATGCTATTGGCCGTGTTCTGTTGTCATGGAGGGGCAGAGGCACATATGCTGTGACCCTGCGGTCCTTCCCTCCAGGAGGCTTGCAACAGACACTCTGTCACGTGCCCTCCTGCAGGGATAGTGTCCTGTGTGGATGATGTGATTTTGTACTGAGAGGCGCTGGAGTTTCTCTCCTGGGCATGGTCAGTGCCCAGCCTGGATGAGGTTCCGTCTCCAGCTGACCTAGTCAAGCTGGTTTCCCATGTAGTCTTCCTGACCTAGACAGTGTCTCTGACTCTATGCATTTGGTCGTCACCAGAGCCCAAGGTGGTGTTTGCCAAGGAGCAGCAGGCACACAGCGAGGTGAAGGCAGAGGCAGGGGCCAGTGCCACACTGAGCTGCACGGTGGCCCAGGCCCAGACTGAGGTGACCTGGTTCAAGGATGGGAAGAAGCTGAGCTCTAGCTCGAAGGTTCGAGTGGAGGCCTCGGGCTGTGAGAGGAGGCTGGTGGTGCAGCAGGCGGGCAAGGCGGATGCCGGGGAGTACAGCTGTGAGGCCGGGGGACAGAAGGTCTCCTTCCGTCTGGACGTCACAGGTGGGTGTTGTGATACTAAGCCTCTGTGGAAGTGATGACTGACTCATGCCCATGACTGATCCCGTGTGCCTTCTGTTAAGTCCGGTCCCTTTACTCACTCTTGTGTGCTTTAGGCGGTGGCCGGCCATGCTGACCATGGCCGACCCTATGCTCTGTCTGTACACTGTCTTCTCTTCACGTCTCCCCTCTTCCCATCCCTGTGTTTAGTCCAGTGTTGAGCAAGACACCGAATGGGAAGGGTGTCCCAGGAAGGTCTTTTCCTTCTTGAGTGCCCTGATGTTCCCAGGCTGGGGAGTTTCATCTTGGTCATGTGTTTGTTCCTGCCTGGAGCAGGACCTGCCTTGGGTCCATCTTGGCTGGTGCTGACCAAGGAACAGCAGGCAGGTAACCTGGCTGCATCAGACTCTGTGGAGGAAAACAAGCCCTGAGCAGACACTATGGATTATTTAAGATCTCGGGATATTACTTAAATAAGAAATAATTCCACTCAACACAAATGAAAACCAACACTTCCATGTCTGATGAAACCTTACACCGGTGTATCTTACCCCTGATGCATGGCAGATGGGGAAGATACTGTGCACATGGCAGACGTGTGTGTGAATATAGAGAGAGTGCCTAACACTGACTATGAACAGGGCAGAAGCAGTGTTAGCCAGGGAGTAAATGTCCCATCACTGAAGAGCAAGTTCTAGTGGCCAGAACCGGGAATGGGCCTCCACCTGGCGAGGCCTCAGAAACTGTAAGAGATCCCGTCTACAGCGGGGTGGGATGTGTGGATAACTGTGGTTTTGTGCCCACAGGGATTGGGACATCTTAACCCATCAAGTGCAGAGCCTGGGGGCTTGTTCTGTTCTATGGCCACCATATCCAATCCTTCCCTCCCCGTGTGGCCTTTCTGACCCAGACAGTGTCTCTGATCCTGTGTGTTCCCATCTGTCCCTAGACACCAAGGTGGTGTTTGCCAAGGAGCAGCAGGCTTGCAGCGAGGTGAAGTCAGAGGCGGGGGCCAGTGCCACACTGAGCTGTGAGGTGGCCCAGGCCCAGACTGAGGTGACCTGGTTCAAGGATGGGAAGAAGCTGAGCTCTGGCTCGAAGGTTCGAGTGGAGGCCTCGGGCTGTGAGAGGAGGCTGGTGGTGCAGCAGGCGGGCAAGGCGGATGCCGGGGAGTACAGCTGTGAGGCCGGGGGACAGAAGGTCTCCTTCCGCCTGGATGTCACAGGTGGGTGTCACTGTGTTCAGGGAAGAGATGCAGCTGACCACTCAGAGGCACGAGGGCTCCTTGTCTGGTTCTCCCAGCCCTGTCTCTGTCCCTTTTATTCCTCTCCTGTCCCCTGCCCTCTACTCTGAGGACAGAGCCCTTTCCCCTGTATTGATGTCTCCTGTCCCCATCCACCTCACTGCCTTCCTCATCACCGGTTCTGTTGGGCTGGCTAAACCTCAAGTTCTGGGGAGAGGGGCCTTGTTCCGGTGGCACCGGAGTGGACCTTCCTGCAGTTCTGAGTCCCCGTGGGCTCTCAGTGTTCTGGCCCGAGGTTCAGGAACCTGCTCTTCCCGGTGCAGGCCCACGAGTCCTGGTAGTTCTGCTGCCATGTAGCACGACGTCATGGTGCTTGTCCGGAATTGGTTACTACTGTACCCGCCTAGCTGGACTTGTCCTCAGCTGTGGCCCGTGACACACCCGCACATCACAAGCGCATGGTCTTTCTAAGTGCAACTGCTGGGTGAGGCTCCGCTGAGCCATCTTGGTCTCCCCCCACACCCGCCCTAACGTTTGCCAATAGTTTGGCCCCCAGGCTGTCTTCTTCGCAGCCTCTATGGACTTTCAGTCTCATCCCAGGTCAGGCCAGTCATACTCTGGGGTGCTAGCTGCCTGCCTACTCTTCCATGCCGTTCTGGCTCGTGGGCTGAAGTCTCCCTGGAGGGCAGGACTCCTGGGTTCTTGGTTGGGACAGCGCTGGTGATGATGGCCCTTAGGCGACATAATGTCCTTGCTGGCTGAACAGAGGGGCAGCAGCTCACACTCACTGTTGTTGGAGAGTTGTATATGCTTGCCCTTACACTCATGCCTACTTACCTCTCCTCAGAACCAGAGCCTGAGTCCCGAATTCCAGAGAGACCCAGCCGCAGGGAGCCTCTGGTGGTCAAGGAACACGAGAACATTGTCCTGACCGCCACGCTGGCTGCGCCCTCTGTGGCTGCTGTGACCTGGCTCAAAGACGGCGTGGAGATTCGACGCAGTAAGCGGCATGAGGCCACCAGCCTGGGTGATACCCACACCCTGACCGTGAAGGGTGCCCAGGTGCTAGACAGTGCCATCTACAGCTGCCGTGTTGGCAAGGAAAGCCAGGACTTTCCGGTGCAGGTGGAAGGTAAGCAGCCGTTGGGGGCCAGGAGTCTGGGTCTCCTCCAGGGTTCCTGCATCTGCCCCAAAGACTAGTAGGCAGTATCCCACAGCAAACCCAGTGTAGGGCTCTGGACACATGGCCATCTCCACAGGGCACTGGCTGACACCTTCTTCTACCCTCAGAGGTTGCCGCCAAGTTCTCCAAACCCCTGGAGCCTGTCGAAGGGGAATTGGGTGGCACCGTGAAGCTGGTCTGCGAGCTGACCCCAGAACAGGCTGAGGTTGTGTGGCGCTGTGGGAGCACACAGCTGCGAGAGGGCAAACGCTTCCAGATGACATCTGAGGGGCCTAGGCGCACACTGACTGTGTCTGGCCTTCGAGAGGATGATGCAGAGGAGTATGTGTGTGAGAGCCGGGATGACCGAACCAGCGCACGGCTCACTGTCAAAGGTACCTGTGGGTGAGCTAAGGTGGCTTCCTGGGGGAGAGGTCCTTTCGTGTGTCTGTCTCGGGTGTGTCTCTGCAGAGCCTCTCCCGTGGCCTCTCAAGAAGACTTTTCCCTCTGCAGTTCCCCGGGTGGTCAAGTTTACATCTGGATTGAGCGCCGTGGTTGTCGAGGAAGGTCAAGAGGCCACCTTTCAGTGTGTCGTGTCTCCCAGTGATGCGGCAGTCACGTGGTACAAGGATGGCGCCCAGCTGCTGCCCAGCGAGAAGTTTGTTATGGCACAGAGTGGCGCCACCTGTAGCTTGACCCTCTTGGGTCTGACCCTGGAGGATGCTGGCCGTGTCACAGTGGAGGCTGAGGGCGCCTCATCTTCTGCTACCCTCCGGGTCCGAGGTAAGCTGGGGGCTGGCAGGACTGCCAGGATGTCTGGTTGCTCCTTGCAGTAGGTGCCTTTCCCTCCCCGTGAGCTGACGAGACAGCGCCATATTGTTCTCTTGTGTGGGGCTGATCTGGTTGACATGAACTCTGTCAGCTATGGACAGAGGTGATTTGGTGTGGGGGCGACTAGGTACCGTCTCTTCAAGTGTACTTGGCAGGGGATAAGGCTGAGACAATCCAGAGAGACCTCTTTCTGGTTGAGGCTGCGATGGCCAAGCAAGGGGGAGGCTGTGCTCAAAAGCTCAAGAGCAGGAGGGATGGGTGTGCTTCGAGAGGCAGGACTTCATCTGAAGAAGCGGCAGGCGTGGCAGGCTCTTGAGTGTGGGAGTCATGAAGGTGGCTGTACCTCCCAGAGGAGGGAGAATGATGGGTCAGCTGAGCCCACGCTGGAGCCTTTCTTCTCCCCATATATCTTAGCATGAGCAAGTGTCCTGGGGCCTTGTTAAAGGGCAGGCAATGGGACAGTGGCTGAGGGATTGTGGAGTGGCCCTACTCAGGTGCTGAAGGCTGACTGTTGATGGCATCTGGCCATAGTTAGGAGTTCAACACAGCCGACTGGAGCAGAGCAGCAGGGCTTGTGATGAGGGTGTGGGTGGGGTGGAGAAGTGGGGGATGGGAGACTGGGGGGGGAGGAGACAGAGGAGGAAACAGCCTTAGCTTCCCCCATAAAGTGCACCTATGTTAGGTCTGCCATTTTGGGCTTACCTTGCTTGAAGTGGGGCTGCTCGTGTGGTGGGGCTCTCTGGCCTGGACTCAGGCTGGCCCAGGGGTGGGGCCCAAGCAGGCCCCAAATGGCCAAGACGAGCTCCGCCCTTCTGTGTCTCAGAGGCACCAGTCCTCTTCAAAAAGAAGCTTGAGCCACAGACGGTGGAGGAGAAGAGCTCCGTGACGCTGGAGGTGGAGCTGACGCGCCCCTGGCCGGAGGTGAGGTGGACACGGAATGCCGCAGTCCTGGCGCCCAGCGAGAACGTGGAGATCCATGCCGAGGGTGCTCGGCACCGTCTGGTGCTGCGCAGCGTGGGCTTTGCGGACCGTGGCTTCTTCGGCTGTGAGACACCAGATGACAAGACCCAGGCCAAGATCAATGTGGAAAGTAAGCCCAGGGTTGGAACCGCAGAGGAAGAGAGGGGACTCCTCCGGAATTGGGGGATGTGGCTTTGTGTTGGCTATGAGGACGGGTGGGATTTCCTTTTGGGAAGACAGGCAGTCACCCTGGTTCTGGTAAGTGGAACCAAGGAAGGAAGAGATGGAGGAGGATGTAGGAGGGTCAGGCCTGGGGTTCAGCTGGGGTTGAGGTAGAGCTGGGTGGAGGTGGTGACTGGGGCCTGACTCCTGGGCCCTTACTCCTGTGGCCTCCAGGGTGGTAGGTTGGGCCCACATCTGGGTCTGAGTCCTGGCTGGTTGGAGGGTCTCAGTTTACTAGCTCACTAGCGTCCCTCTGACAGTGCGGCAGGTCCGGCTGGTTCGAGGTTTGCAGGCCGTGGAGGCTAAGGAACAGGGCACAGCCTCCATGGATGTGGAGTTGTCCCATGCTGATGTGGAGGGCAGCTGGACTCGAGATGGCCTGCGGCTTCAGCCTGGGCCCACATGTCACCTGGCTGTACAAGGCCCCATCCACGTCCTCACACTCTCGGCACTGAGGCCACAGGACAGCGGGTTGGTGGCCTTCAGGGCTGAGGGCGTGCACACGTCTGCACAGCTCATTGTCACCGGTGAGTAAATGAAGGCTGGCAGCCCCACTCCAGAGCACACCTATTTCATTTCCCTAAGTGGCCCAGGGGGGCAGATGGGACCAGGCAGGAAGTGGAAACCCCTTTATGTGACTACAATTAACCCACCGTATCAGAAAGTACCTCCTGACTCCGTGTCTTCCTTCCCTCCCTCCTGTCTCAGAGTTGCCGGTGAGCTTCACCCGACTACTACAGGATGTGGTGGCCACCCAGAAAGAGAAAGTGACCCTGGAGTGTGAGTTGTCACGGCCAGTGGATGTGCGCTGGCTGAAGGTATCACTCTCTCCTCCCTACTCTTCCCTGTGGGCATCCAGGAGGTGAACCCCTTCTCCTGAGCCCCTCTGGTGCCTGACCAGTCCTCCCTGCCCTACAGGATGGTGTGGAGCTGCGGGCAGGCAAGACCATGGGCATAGTGGCCCAGGGAGCCTGCAGGAGTCTCGTCATTTACCGATGTGAGGTTGGGGACCAGGGTGTCTATGTGTGTGATGCTCTTGACGCTCAGACCTCGGCCTCTCTGAAGGTGCAGGGTGAGTTCTGGGCAGAGAGGGCAGGGAAAGTTGGCAGGTGTGAGTAGTGCTTTCTTGTGCCTCTGCTTCCCCTAGCTTGCCTGCAAGATGGTAGATGTGCTGGGAGTACCCTATGTTTCTGGGCATGCCAGCTGTCTGTAGTATTCTGTTGCTGTGAAGAGACACCAGGACCACAGCAACTGTTATAAAAGGAAAGCATTTAATTAGGGCTGGCTTACAGTTCAGAGGTTTAGTTCATTGTCATCATGGCAGAAAGCATGTCAGGGCACAGGCAGACATGGTGCTGGAGAAGGAGCTGAGAGGTCTACATCCGATCCACAGGCAGCAGGAAGAGAGACATTGGGCCTGGCATGAGCATTTAAAACCCCAAAGTCTACCACCAGTGACACACTTCCTCCAACAAGGCCACACTTCCTAAGGCCACTCCCTAAGCATGCAAATATCTGAGTCTGTGGGGGCTATTCTTGTTCAAACCTCCACGACAGCCCTCTCTCCCTTCCTGCAGGCCGCAGTGTTCAGATTCTGAAGCCACTGGAGGATGTGGAGGTGATGGAGAAGGAGGGTGCCACCTTCTCCTGTGAGGTGTCCCATGAGGAGGTTCCTGGCCTGTGGTTCCGAGAATCCAGCAAGCTACGGCCCAGCGACAATGTGCGCATCCGGCAGGAAGGTAAGAGGGCAGGAGGGCTGCCGAGCAGCGTGGGTGGGGTTCCCTGGCTGCTCTCTTCTCTCTCAACAGTTTGGAGTGTGCTTTGTCTCCAGGGAGGACGTACACTCTGATCTTCCGGAGGGTACTGGCGGAAGATGCGGGCGAGATCAAATTTGTAGCTGAAAATGTAGAATCAAGAGCCCACCTCCGAGTGAAAGGTGAGGAGGTCTGAGGGGAGGAGAGGAACCGGACATGGTGAGCTGGGCCTTACAGACAGCTGGCCTACCACAGGCCTGGGGTGCTGTAGGACCCCTCTAGACTGGGCAGCAGTGACTCATGAAGAGGGTAGAGTATGTCTCCTTAGTGGGAAGGGGAGGTTCAAAGACTCCAAGCTCCACTTTGTGGTGGTCAGTTGTACCCAGAAGACTCTAGATTAGCCCTCGGTGGGACACTTGACTTGGCCACCTGCTGGCCAAGGTGGAAGGCACGGGCAGCTGGTTTGGAGCAGAGGTCAGTCTCTTGGTTCCTAGGAGGTTGCCAAGGCAAAGCTTCCAGGTCACCGTCCTGACCCCACCTGCCTGTGTCCACAGAGCTGCCTGTAACCCTCCTGCGCCCACTGAGGGACAAGATTGCCATGGAGAAACACCGTGGCGTGCTTGAGTGCCAGGTGTCCCGGGCCAGTGCCCAGGTGCGGTGGTTCAAGGGCAGAGTGGAGCTGCAGCCTGGGCCCAAGTATGAAGTGGTCAGTGATGGCCTTTACCGCAAACTGGTCATCAATGATGTGCAGCCGGAGGACGAAGATACCTACACCTGTGATGCCGGTGACGTCAAGACCAGTGCCCAGTTCTTTGTGGAAGGTGCGGGGTGAAGGGGTGGACAGTCTTCCTGGGTTTCGGGGGCAGGGCGGGGAGGATTTGTGGCTTCTGTGGCTTGCTCTGGAGATTCTGGAGGCTGCCACTTCTGACAGGGGCCTGACTGGGGACACCCAGGCAGCTGGGGAAGGATGCTTGGCTACATGGCAGAGAAAGATAAGAAGGAGCAGACAGCTTGTAGGGTGGGGAGACCGGTCCCTCTTGAAGAGTTTCCCTGGCGACCGGCTCCTCTTCCACAGAGCAATCCATCACCATCGTGCGAGGCCTGCAGGACATGACAGTCATGGAACCCGCCCCGGCCTGGTTTGAATGTGAGACCTCCATCCCCTCCGTGAGGCCGCCCAAGTGGCTCCTTGGTAAGACCGTGCTCCAGGCAGGGGCGAATGTGGGCCTGGAGCAAGACGGTACTGTGCACCGACTGACATTGCATAAGACCTGCTCCACCATGACTGGGCCTGTGCACTTCACCATCGGCAAGTCCCGCTCCTCTGCCCAGCTTGTCGTCTCAGGTGAGCATGCGGCACGGGCAGAGCTGAAGAGGGACGCGGCTCAGAGACGTGGGTGGCCACAGTTTAGGGCCGTGCGTGGACATGGCTTGGGGGAGGACATAGGAACAGTGGCCAGGCACAGGTGGCCCACGCCAAAGCAACCATGCTTGGGCTCAAGGCTGTGCGTGGACACTACTCAGTGGTTTGACAGAGTGTGGAGCAGAACATGGGCACTGGGTAGCACACGGGGTGCTTAGGAGCTGGCTTTGGGGGCTAGGGATATGGTCAGAGGCCTGCCAAGTAGGATATAGGCACTCAGGCATGGCAGGGCTTTGGGCCAGGGCAGCATGTGGTAGTCTATGTTGGCTGGGACCGAGGTGTGTGCGGGCAGTGAGGGGCACGTGCAGCACACCCCCCAAAGGAGGTGGCCAGGCGCATCGTAGGGGCTGTGGATGCAAATGGCTTAGAGCCCAGGCTAGGCAGGGTGGTCTGGTCTCCTGTGGCTCCCAGCCCTGCCCTTGCGTTGTCCTCTCTAGACATCCCTGTGGTACTGACACGGCCACTGGAGCCCAAAGCAGGGCGCGAGCTGCAGTCTGTAGTCCTGTCCTGTGACTTCAGGCCGGCCCCCAAGGCTGTGCAGTGGTACAAGGAGGACACCCCGCTGGCCCCGTCAGAAAAGTTCAAGATGGCGCTGGAGGGCCAGATGGCAGAGCTGCGCATACTCCGGCTCACTCCGGCTGATGCTGGGCTCTATCGGTGCCAGGCGGGTAACGCCCAGAGCAGTGCCAAGGTTACTGTGGAAGGTAGAGAGCTGGGAAGGAGGGGTGGGCAGCGGGCCCCACTCCAGGGTGAAGGGGGTGGCTGATCGTGTGGTGCTGAGGTGCTGGTGTGTCCCTGGCAGCTCGGGAGGTGACAGTGATTCAGCCACTGAAGGATGCTGAAGCCGTGGAGGAAGGCCGGGTCTGCTTCTCATGCGAGCTGTCCCATAAGGACGAGGACGTCGAGTGGTCACTCAATGGGACACCCCTGTACAATGACAGCTTCCACGAGATCAGCCGTGAGGGCTGTCTCCACACACTGGTGCTGAAGAGTGTCCGGCAGGCCGACGCAGGCACGGTGTGTGCCACCTCCCCAAAGGTGTCAGTTTCTGCCCAGCTAGTGGTCAGAGGTGAGAAGTCCTGTGGGGGTCTGTGGGGTGCCCTCCCCCTGGGCGGGCCCAGGCTCCTCTCACCGGCCCATGCCATTCCCCTCCAGCAAAGCCAGTGGTGTTCCTGAAAGCACTGGATGACGTGTCTGCCGAAGAGCGTGGTACGCTGGCCCTGCAGTGCGAGGTCTCAGACCCTGGAGCACATGTGGTTTGGCGCAAAGATGGCGTGGAGCTGGGTCCCGGTGACAAGTATGACTTCTTACACAAGGCAGGCACTCGGGGCCTAACGGTCCATGACCTGAGCCACGAGGATGCCGGACTGTACACCTGCCACGTGGGCAGTGAGGAGACCCGGTCCAGGGTCAGCGTGCATGGTGAGCGGCTGGGGCTCCATGCAGGATGGCTGTCTTAGAGTTTCTATTGCTGTGAAGGGACACCATGACCATGGCAACTCTTATAAAGGAAAGCATTTAATTGGGGCTGACTTACAGTTTCAGAGGTTTAGTTCATTGTCATCATGGGGGCAGGGTGCATGGTGGCGTGCAGGGAGGCATGGTGCTGGAGAAGTTGCTGAGAGTTCTTCATCTTGATCCGCAGGCAGGAGAAGCAACTGTGTCCTAGGCATAGCTTGAGCGTGTGAGACCTCAAAGCCCTCCCCCACAGTGACGCACTTCCTCCAACAAAGCCACACCCTAATAATGCCACTCCCTGTGGGGGCCATTTTCTTTCATACCATCACAGTGGTGCTAGGCCTTCCATCCAGAAGCTCCAGGCTGCTCTTCAAGACTGAAAGGCTATTTTTTTGTGTATCCAGGAGGCACCAGAGAAGTTGTCTGTAGCACACAGGGCTTAATGTAGCCCTTTGAGGTCCAGGGGCAGGCAGATGGGCTAAGGAATAATTGTCTACAGAGTCTCACAGTGTGGGGGCTGGTATGGATCTGCTCAGATCCTTGACATTTGCTTTGTACCATGTGTTGGGATTGAGAGGAAGTCAGCCAGGCATGTGTGGGATACTGAGAGGTATGACCAGGAGACAATCTGTAAAGGGCTCCCAGGCCAAGGGCAGATGTCCTATCCCGCAGGTGAACAGGCCCACAGGCCATCTATGTTCCCATTCTCTACAGAGCCCCAGAAAGTCCCTAGGTTCATAGTTGCTCTCCCACTCAGCACTGTTATTTTAAAGAGGCAGGCCCCTTTGAGCACACTCTCTCAGCTTGGCCAGCCACCCCCTGTCCTGGCTCAGGTCTGGCATCCTGGCTTAGAGGAGACAGGTTGGCAGCCTTTTCATTCATGATCCCTCTGGGGCTCTGTGTCAGCCTTATGGGAAGGGGAGCACAATGAGATTTTCATAGGACTAGACTTGCTCTCTCTGGAAGGGGTCACTTGTGGGGTACCTGTCCCTCCTCTCCTGGTTTTACAAGATGGTACTGACCTTTCCCGCTGCCTGGCCTGTGGTACTACTGTTCCCTCCGGTTGACATCTGTGGGCTGACTGGTGACCTGTTTCTTATGTCCCACAGATCTGCACGTGGGCATCACCAAGAGATTAAAGACAGTGGAGGTGGTGGAGGGAGACAGCTGCAGCTTTGAGTGTGTCCTGTCCCACGAGAGTGACAGTGACCCAGCAGTGTGGACCGTCGGTGGGAAGACAGTGGGTAGTTCTGGCCACTTTCGGGCCACTCGCCAGGGCCGCAAATACACTCTGACAGTCAAAGACGCCGCGCTCAGTGATGCAGGGGAGGTGGTCTTCTCAGTGATGGGCCTCACATCCAAGGCCTCGCTCATCATCAGAGGTGGGTGTTGTGGCTGGGACCAGGGGCTGACACTGTGAACTGGGGCACTGTTGGGCTCTTTCTAGGGACTGTCTACCCATCATGGTGGGGACCCAGTATATCTGTTGGGGGTGCTGGGGGAAATTTCCATTATTGAAGGAAGTCATTCCTGCCTGAGCATCTGAATTTCTAGAGCAAGCCGAGAAGTCTGGTCTATCACCCATGGGCTGACCGCTCTCAGTGCATGTAGCTTACTCAGCCAGTCTGACACTTAAGCAGAGGCCAGGGAGGCTGGAAAGTAGCCTCTGATGTCTTGTAGCTTGTGCTTCTGACTCACACACTTGGTGCTCCTGAGTGGATCTGCACAGGGACCAGCCAAGCTGTGGCCATAGGAGTCTTGAATGAGGTGCCCTTGTAGCACATGCGTCCCAGGTCTCACCATTAATGAGGGCTTCCAGCACTTCAAAGTCCTGAGCCTCTAGGGGTCTCAGGTCCCCAGGAGTCAAGGGCTATAGAGTCTGTGGTTTTAATCTCTAGAAAATGCGTGTTCCTTAACGCCTGTCTGTCCTCATCCTGGCCATGGCTGAGGCCACTTCTAAGGGATTGTTGCAGTGACTCTGTGTCTTAGGCCATGGCTGGTTCTATGGCCAAGGGTGTGCCTTGTAGGAACCATCTCTCCTTATTTCAGAGAGGCCAGTGGAGATCACAAAGCCCTTGGAGGACCAGCGCACTACCCTTGGAGAACACGTGACGCTAAGCTGTGAGCTGTCTAGGGCAGGCACCTCCGTGCGCTGGCTGAAAGATGGGAAGGCCATCCGGAAGAGTCAGAAGTACGACCTGCTCAGTGAAGGCACGCGGGCTGTGCTGGTTGTCCGCGAGGCCTCACTCAAGGATTCTGGAGAGTACACCTGTGAGACAGAAGCTTCTAGAAGCACCGCCAGGCTCCTTGTGAAAGGTAAGCTCACCCCTGTCTGTCTGCCCTGCAGCATGGCCTGGGACCACCCCCAGGACCTCAGTGGAGGCATCTACTCTGGTCAGCCTGTGTGCTCAGGTTGGGGGTGTTTTGTCCTGTTTGTCCCTTACCTAGAAAAGGCAAACCGCTTCACGGAGGAGCTGGCTGACCTGCAGGTGGAAGAGAAGGGCACAGCTGTGTTCACGTGCAAGACAGAGCACCCAGCATCTGTCGTGACCTGGCGCAAAGGCCTCCTGGAGCTGCGTGCCTCAGGGAAACATGCCCCGAGCCAGGAGGGCTTGACCTTGCAGCTCACCATCAATGCCCTGGAGAGGACAGACAGTGATACCTACACCTGTGACATTGGCCAAGCCCGGACCCAGGCCCGGCTCCTCGTCCATGGTGAGGCAGCCCTCACGTGCATGCTGCTTTCGGCTCCTTGGTGGGTGCTCGGGTCTGCTTTATCTGAAGTAGACTCTGGAGGCTCAGAAGTGGTGAGTCATCAGGACTCTGCTTGTTCTGGACCAGCCCAGCCTTAGTTTCTCTATGTCTAAGGGTAGAGCAGATCACTTGGGTATCTCAGGCTTTCCTTGTGTGACCTTCTGTGAAGGAGCTGATGGACTGCCCTCATTTATACAGTGGGTACTTGCTGTGCTCTCACACTATCTAGGCCTGTGCTGAGTCCCAGGGTATGTGCTCTGTGTGTGCTTGCACACATGGTGTGTTATTTATTGCTGAGGGACTGCTTACCATGTGGCAACTAAGGCGCCCCATGTGTTCTGAGTGGAGAGCTGACTATCATTGTGACCAATATTGATAGTGTCAGTTTAGAAAAGGATAGAGACAATGTTGTTAAAGAACAGTCATCTTGTTGGGGATGCATGGTATCGAAATGAAAACCCAGGGTGCATCCCGGAGCAAGGAGGCACAGAGGGAGACAGGTGGCCACGAGCTGCTTGGGTACAGAGCTCAGTGTTCCTTCAGACATGGGGCAGGAGCTGGTGTCTGTGGTTGGTGGGGTTATCCCTGCTGGGCAGATGGCTGTCCAGGGCGTCTGTTCTGAGTTGCTGCAGAGCTCGAGGTTAAAGGCAAACTTGGATATGATTGGTGTGTGTGGAACAAGAGGGGATTTCTTTAGGGACTCAAGAACGCGTTTGTGTGTGCCAGGCAGGGTTTGACAAGCGTGGTCTCTGCAGAACTTACAAGCACAGTTTATTGTTGTTCTGTTTGTTGTTCTCTCTGTTCTCACTTGTGAGGTGCCTTCCCCTCCAATATGCAGCGTGAGAGCTTTGTTCTCTCTGGTTGGTAGAGAAGGAAAGTGGTATCCAGCCTGGGTAACAGGGATGTGTCATGGTATCAGAGCAGAGAGGACCCCAGCCCTCCTGACCACAGCTTTCACCTGGCTCTCCAATCCTAGGGTGGAGTCCGGGTTGGTGTTTATTGGAACCCACCCCCGCCCCCGAAGTCTGCCTCCAGGGTATGACGTTACTCATGTTTGTGAGACGCCTCAGCATTAGATAATTAGAAGTAACAAAGTTTGCCCTCTCTGTTTGCGGGTTCTGCATCTTCAGATTTAGCCTCTCATTATTCAGAAACACGTGGAAAAAGAAATTGTGTGGCTAGGGATGGGGAGATGTTAAGCACCTGCTGTGCAAGCTTCTGGACTCGAGTTTGGATCCCCGAGAGCTCATGGCAGTGCAGCTGCTTGGGAAGGTGGAGACGGTAGATCTCAGAGCAACCTGCCTATCAAGACCAGCCATATAAGTGAGCTCTGGGCTTGATTGAGAGAACCAGCGTCACTGAATTAGATGAAGAGCTGTTAGGAAGATTCCCGACATCAACCTTGAGCCTCTACATGCGTGTGCACATGCACACACATGTACTTCCACACATGTGAACATGCACGCACACACATGCACACTGCACACACACATGGAAAACAAAAGCAAATATGGCTGTGATGAACACAGACGTTTTTCCTTGTCACTGTTCCCCAAACAATACAGTGTATCGCTGCACCGAGTACTTCTAATGAATTGGCTACTTAAAAACCAGTTGTTTAAAATTTACCAGCAGACGTAGGCAGAGTGCAAATACTTCATTTTTTTATATGGGACTTGAGTGCCCTCAGATTTTGATATCTGTGCGGTTCCAGACCAACTCTCCATCAAGACACGGGAGACAGAGGTCGGAGGAGGAGAAGCTGAAGATCATAGCAAGTTCAGGGCTAGCCTGGGGTGCATGAGACCATGTTTCAAAAAAGGAAATCAGTGAAATGTAGACCTTAAGTGTGAACCACACAGATGCCTGTGGGTAGAGTAGAACTGTTCTTTGTGTGACAGCCTATGGCTCAGAGTCCTTCTCTCCGGGCCATCCAGTGTTGGGGCCTTTCGAGTGGAGTCCTACCTCCAAGGCATGTGTGGGTGCAATTGTGTGTACGCAGGACCCATGTCTATCTCCTCCTCCTCCTCCTTCTTTTTCTGCTACTTCCTCCTCCTCCTCTTTTCCCTCTTCTTCCTCTTCTTCTTCTTTCAAGACAGGGTTTTGTAACATGAATTCTATAGTAGATCTTTTAATAAAAAACCCGGAGCCAGATATTGGGGTAAATGCTGAAAGATCAGAGAGACAAAGGAACAAGCCACTGTTAAGTCTCAACTTGCCAACTCCACGAATCCTCTGAAAGCCTGTCAGTCCTCAGCCGAAAGGCCTCCGTCGAAAAAGCTTCAGCCAAAAAGCTTTAGTTCCTGACTCCTCACGCCTTATATACCTTTCTCCGTCCAGCTCTATCACTTCCTTCTTAGTGCTGGCATTAAAGGCATGTGATTCCCAAGTACTTGGATTAAAGGTGTGTGCCATCACTGCCTGGCTGTTTCTCTCCTAGACTGAGTCAATCTCATGTAGTCCAGGGTGGCTTTGAACTCATAGAGGTCCAGATGGAGCTCTACCTCCTGAGTGCTAGGATTAAAGGTGTGTGCCACCACTGCCTGGCCTCTGTGTTTAATCTAGTGGCTTGCTCTGTTTACTGATCTTCAGGCAAATTTTATTAGGATACACAATATATCACCACAGGGTTTCTCTTTGTGTAACAGCTCTGACTGTCCTGGAACTCAATTTATAGACCAGGCTGGCCTCAAACTCACAGAGATCTGCCTGGCTCTGCCTCCTGAGTGCTGGGATTAAAGGTGTGTGCCACCACCGGCAACTCTACCATTTTTAATTCAACAACAACAAACTATTTCTAGGAGTTTACATATTCTATCACATGTGTGTGTGTCTGGATGTAAGTATGTTCATGTGAGTGTAGATCCCTGAGGAGGTTAGAAGCTTTATATTTTCTGGAGCTAGAGTTGCAGGTGGGTATGAGCCCTCTGATGTAGGTGCTAGAAATCAAACTTGGATCTTCTTGAAGAGCAGTACATCTTTTTAACTACCAAGCCACCCTCCAGCCCTCAATTTAAATGTTTGTTTGTTTCTTTGTTTTTCAACACAGGTTTCTCTGTGTAGTTTTGGTGCCTGTCCTGGATCTCACTCTGTAGACCAGGCTGGCCTCAAACTCACAGAGATCCGCCTGGGTCTGCCTCCCGAGTACTGGGATTAAAGGCGTGCGCCACCACTGCCTGGCACCCTCAATTTAAATTTCAATGTAGACACAATTCTCTGTATTATTTCAATCTATTCAATCAACACCCGTTTGTATCTACCTGTGAGACACAGTGTGATAACTGGGGATGCATTGGCAGCATGTAGTGATCTGATCAGGCTCCCGGGCACTTCCATACTTGAGTAGTCATCATGTCTGTATGCTGTGAGACTTGAAGCTTTCCCTTGTGGTCTTTGAAATGTAAGTGGGCTAAACCAGGCACAGGGAGGCAGATACCACAAATTCTTCACGTTTGTGGATGCTGAAAACTCCATCTCACAGAACCGGAGAGGAGAATGGAAAGGACCGGGTGGAGGGGGGATGGGAAGGCTGGAGTCGGTTGAGTCTCTACAGCAGAGTGGGGGTAACTGTCACCTCTTTTGCACCCACCGTTCATCTGTCAATGTGAGATTGACTGTAGTGTGAATTGTGCTGAACTGTGATGAGCATTGCTGGTGTAAGTGGGAGCGGGTAGCCTGTCTGTTGGCAAGCCCAGCTCAGTACGAAGGGCCGGAGAGAGTACATGAACTTCAGTAGGCTGTGGGCCCTCCACCATCTTAGACTTCAGAGGGGGATATAGGTTTGGGGTTCCGATGCTGACCTCCAAAGGACTACATGGCACAGATCTGCTTTCGAGTTTCATTGGCAAGGGGTAAAGCAGACTGCTTGCTTATGGCCTCACCTGGGGCCTTGGGCGAAGCTGTTTCTCTTGGCAGCTAACCCAGCCTGGCCCTAGGCTGCAGGAGCTCTGACGTGACTTTTGCCCAGCAGGCCAGAAAGTGCGCATTACCGAGGACCTAGAGGACACTGCCGTCCAGGAGGGCTCCTCTGCCAAGTTCTGCTGCCGTATCTCCCCTGCTGACTACAGCCCGGTGCACTGGTTCCTGGATAAGACCCCCTTGCACAGCAATGAGCTGAATGAGATCGCTGTGCAGCCTGGAGGCTACCACGTGCTCACCCTGCGGCAGCTGGCACTCAAGGACTCAGGCACTGTCTACTTCGAGGCGGGTGATCAGCGGACCTCAGCTGCCCTGCGGGTGACTGGTGGGTTTTGTGTCTAAGGGCCATCCATGATGGGGACACTGCATGGCCTAGAGGAGCCTTGAAGAGGGGCAGATGACAGCTCTTCCCGAGCTCTGCCTGGTGCACAGAGTGGTCCTGGGGCTCATGGAGAGGCAAGATTAGTTATCAATGGCAAGGGGTTCTCTCATCCCAGGGAGGTAGCCAGTGGCATGGGGGTCTCCCATCTCTAAGAGTTGGTTCAGAAGACTGAGTTGGGTTCTTTCAGTTAGTTTCTGAAGACAGAATTTGTGGGTGATGTGATGTGAGCTGTTTTCCTCCAGGATGGGAACTGCCTTTCTGTCTAGCTCAGCATTTCTATCTGGCTCCAGCGTGAGGGCAAGAGGCTGATACTGATACCATCCATTGCATGGTCCACTGTGTTAGTCCTCTCGTCCGGGTACCACAATCCCAAGTCCCCTTGCCTTTTCTCTATCCCCCAGAGAAGCCGAGCATCTTCTCGCGGCCACTCACGGATGTCACAGTCACAGAAGGCGAGGACTTGACCCTTGTCTGTGAAACCACCACTCTGGATAGCTCTGTGCGCTGGACCAAAGATGGGAAGACCCTGAGGCCCTCTGCACGATGCCAGATGAGCTCTGAAGGCTGTCGGGCCCAGCTGGTCATCATCGGTACCACCCTACAAGATGGTGGGCGATACAAATGTGAGGTTGGCGGAACCTCCAGCAGCTCCATCGTCAGGGTCCATGGTGAGTGCCGGGTGGCCATGTTTGGAGGGTAAGAATAGAAATATTTCCACAGGAGGCAGGCCGCCCCCCAGCAGCTTCTGGTTCCTCTCCTCTGCCTGCTGTGTAGGGCACTTGGCTTCCTTGTGTCTCAGGGTCCCTAGGTCTCCTGACTCCTGCTTGTGGCCCATTCCTGACTTGGCTTTGGTGGACTCCTGGAGGAGGACTGTCTGTAACTATACAACAGCAGTTGTACTTGCTGCTGTTCACAGCTCGGCCCGTGCGGTTCAGGGAGTCCCTGAAGGGTGTGGAGGTGCCAGAGGGCAGGGCTGCCACTCTACGCTGCGTGCTGTCATCCGTGGCTGCGCCTGTGGAGTGGCGTCGTGGAGATGACGTCGTGAAGTCCAGCAGCAAGTACAGCCTTCGCCAAGAGGGGGCTGTGCTGGAGCTGGTCATCCGAGACCTAACGCCCCAGGACAGTGGGCAATATTCATGCGCCTTTGGGGACCAGACAACTTCAGCCACACTCACAGTGAAACGTAAGTGTGCCTCTCCGTACTGTGCTCAGGGTCCGGTGGGAAAGTCACCCGAGTACAGGGGAGTAACGAGGTCTTTTGTCTCTGCACCTGCTGCAGCTGCGTCTGCCCAGTTCGTAGGGAAATTGAGAAACAAGGAGGCCACAGAAGGGACCACGGCCACACTGCGGTGCGAGCTGAGCAAAGAGGCCCCCGTGGAATGGAGGAAGGGGACAGAGACCCTGAGAAACGGGGACAAGTACAGCCTGAAGCAGGATGGAGCAGTGTGTGAACTGCACATCTGTAGCCTGGTTGCGGCAGATGCGGGGGAGTACTTGTGTGTGTGTGGACAGGAGAGGACCTCGGCCACGCTGGCTGTCAAGGGTAAGGACCACACGTGGCTGTGTGGAGCAGGGCTTTACCCGTGAGTTGACCTGGTGCTGTCTGCCCAGCTCCTCCAATGCCTTTTCCTCGTGTTCGTGCACCTTCTGTTCATCCCACTGCTTGAGCCATTGTATGAACCGGGGAATGCAGCATCCGCAGCTGGCTTCCCACTCCTGAGACCTGCGGGGTTCTTCCCGGTTCTCTGCTGTGTCCTGTCTTGTTCCTCATCCTGTCCTGTGTCATGTCCTATCCCACAGCACTCTACAGCAGATCTGACGTTCCAATCCTCCTCACCCCCCCCCCCAGCTCTGCCCGCCCACTTCATCGGAAGGCTCAGAAGCAAGGAGGCCACAGAAGGCGCCATGGTCACGCTGCGGTGTGAGCTGAGCAAGGCTGCCCCTGTGGAGTGGAGGAAGGGAGCCGAGACCCTGAGAGATGGAGACAGATACACCCTGAAACAGGATGGGGCTGTGTGTGAACTGCAGATCCGCAGCCTGGCTACATCAGATGCTGGGGAGTACCTGTGCCTATGTGGGCAGGAAAAGACCTCAGCCACGCTGACCATCAGGGGTAAAGACCACATGTGTTCCTGTGTGCCGGTCCCCCGTGCATGGGTGGCTCTGTGCCTGAGCATCTTTTCTACCCACCTCTCCTGCTTTTCTATGTCTCATCTTCATTCTGTTAGCTGATATTTCTCATACTTGTTGTATGGGACCCACTTTAGATGCTGGAAAACAATGGAGAATCGGGTCTTTCCCAACCCCAGTGTCCTGGTTGGAATGAGTGAGATTTCGTGTGTGTGTGTGTGTGTGTGTGTGTGTGTGTGTGTGTGTGTGTGTGTGTATGGGTGTGTGAAAACAATTACAAAGATGTAATTGTAGGTCCTGGGGGCACACCAGGAAAAGGGGGAGGCAGGAAATGGAGGAATGGCCCACATAGCAGGAATCCAGGAAGGACAGCCTTGACATGTGCCTGAATGAGAAGGTGAGGATTCACCATGTAACTGTCAGGCAAGGTTGAGGGCCACCCCTTAGGAGTCAGATGAAGGTGAGGCCCCACCTCATGGGAGTCAGGGTGAAGGTAAGGGTCTAACATATAGGAGTCGGATGGAGATGAAGGTGTACCCCACGGGTATTAGGCAGAGGTGGGTACCTGATCCATGGGAGTCAGGTGGAGGTGGGGGATTATCTTATGGTGGTGAGAAGAGGTGAAGACAAGTCTATGGGGGTGAGCTTGGCTCTGTCCTCACTGGTCAGTTCTACGTCTTCCCACTGGGGAAGGGATTGATGATCCTGCCTCTGGCCACTCTGTGTTCTGTGTTGTACACGTAGTGTCTGGGGCCCACTTTTGTCTATGGCTCCAGAGGCTAATGGTCTTTGTGCTTGTGTGTCCCCTGCAGTTGTGAACAGTACTTCACAGATAGTTAGAGGCCTGGGGAGGGCATTACAGGGAGTAAGGTCACTTTGTAGTGTGAACAGAACAAGGTGCCTCCCTGGACATTGGGACATTAGGACATCAGAGACAGAGGCACGCACAGATTGAGGCAGATAGAATATACGGAGCCCTGGAGCCTGGCTGTGATGGATCCTAGCAGTCTTCATGTATCCACGGGCAGCAACAGACTTTCCTAGAGTGGCTGGCCTGCTGGCCTGTGCTCCTGAGTCACAGTTGTGTCCAGGGAACTGGGATTCCCGTCTTGGTGTGACTGGTGATATAGTGATGAGTCAGCTCTCTGTCGGGGGTCTTTGGAGGACCCAGGCACCTCCCTGCAGGGAAGCCGATGGAATGCACAGACATTGTTGGAGGACCCTGGGCATCTTGGAGAGTGGAGATGGAATGAAACTCCTGCAAGCGCAAAGCCCTTGGCCTGGCGGGCTCTGCTCTCACATGAAGAACCAACTTGAGGCACTGAAGAGGAAGGCATGGTAAGGCCTGGCCATCTTTGTCCAGGCTCTGGCAGGTGGCTCCCATCCTCTTCACAAGCATTGGAGACACTTGAATGAAAGCCAGCTGCCATGTGGATGGATCACAGTGTCAAAACACAGAGGCCTGGTGCCATCATGCATTCAGACATTCCAAGAAGTGACAGAAGGATGCACCCGAGGCCTGTCCCATGGCTGCAGAGTTAGAAAAAGGTTACAGGAAAACATTCTTTCTATTCCTATCTCCAGGACACACTGTTGATGGCTGAGGTGTAGAAGGTCTTGGCAACCAACTGCTTGCAGAACTGGGTTTATTCCAACAAGGATTAGGCATGATGGATACCTTACTTGGGCCTTTCTAGAGAGTCCTGCATTTTCCAAAGTTACCCCTGGACCATAAAGTCCTGAGGATGCTCTGAGTACATAGAGCTGGGTGTTCAAAGTTCTCAGTCTTGGCCTGGTAGCCAAAGGAAGTCTTTACCTTTTGGCAAACAAGAGCTGGTTTGTCCCTCCTCTTCTCTGTGACCACTTCCCACATGGTAGCCAAGGACAGGCTAATTGTTTCTCCCCTTGTTCAACTGTGGATCTTTACCTCTGCTCTCACACATCAGCGTGTTTGCCTGCACTGTGAAGATGGGGCCAGAGCCCTGTGGCCATCTACTCCAGGCTGAAAAGACTTGTGACTTCTTCCCATCCAGCCAAGCTATTCCTTCTTAAGTCTGTTCTGAGAAGTGGGGTTTTTATGACTTTGAGGGGGGGGTTCTCTCCCAGCATCATCAAAACAAGAGGACAAGAACCACTGGAGGCATTCATGCATGCTGTGACCTAGCAGCCAAGCCATTGAGCATGGAGTTTGCGTGCAGGACAGGGTGGGCACAGAAGACTTGGGGCCAGGGATTCCTCCATTGTAAATGCTTCTCTGTCCAGGTCCTGGGGTCTCTCTCCAGACCTCCTGATCTCGAGGTCCTCTGTGTCTTTGCTGCTTCGCCAGGGTCAGTCTATGTGCTGCCCCGTCTGTGTTCTTTTCCACTCGTGTTTGCACGGTAATCCCTTACAATCTCCAATGTGTGTTTCGTTGTTGAGTGTCACGTTCTGTCTCCAGCATTCTGTAAGATCCTGATGATCTTTGTGTTGTCCCCCCAGCCCCACAAGCCAAACTCATGCGCAGTCTGGGGCCTGTGGGAGCCATAGAATGGACTGTGGCCACGAGACACAGTCTAGACCAAGGGAAGTCCCATCCTCACCTGTGCTTAGTGTGCCCAGCGTGTGGCCTGTGTGCAGCCGGCCTTCCTGTCTTCCCTGGACCATCCACATCCGGGGTCTTCCGTGTTCTCAGAGAGTGTGATTGTGTCTGTGTCTTTCTGACCTCCCTAGCCCTCCCGGCTAAGTTTGTAGAAGGTCTGAAGAATGAAGAAGCCACAGAAGGAACCACGGCTACACTGAGGTGTGAACTGAGCAAGGCAGCTCCTGTGACATGGAAGAAAGGAACAAAGACTTTGCAGACTGGAGACCGATATGACCCGAGGCAGGATGGAGCCGTGTGTAGGCTGCAGATCCGTGGTCTGACCATGGCCGATGCCGGGGAGTACTCATGCGTGTGTGTGCAGGAGAAGACTTCAGCCACGCTCACTGTCAGGGGTAAAGACGGGTGTCTTGGCTTCCTGTTGGTCCTGTCCCTTCCTTCTGTCTTCACACGTGCCACAGCTCCTGTGCCAGCCATCTGTCCTCTCACTGATGTCCTTTGAGTATTTCTCATTTGTTCAAGTGGGTGCTCCTCCTGCTGCCGTACCCACCCCCACGCCCTGCCACAGCTACCTGCGTCCTTCTTATCTGTCTATGAGTTCAGTCGTTCACGCCGTGGCTCTTGAGCAATGTGTGTGGCTCTTTGTGGGTTCCATGTCCACGCAGAGACCTTCAGAGAGCTTCATGTTCTCAGTGATTGTTTGACCCTTTCCAGGCCTGCCTGCCAAATTTATAGAAGATTTGAGGAGCCAAGACGCCACAGAAGGGGCCACAGCCACATTAAGGTGTGAGCTGAGCAAGGCTGCCCCTGTGGAGTGGAGGAAGGGGTCCGAGACCCTGGGAGATGGAGGCAGATACACCCTGAGGCAGGATGGAGCTGTGTGTGAACTGCAGATCTGTGGCCTGGCCGTGGTGGATTCTGGGGAGTACTCATGTGTGTGCGGGCAGGAGAGGACCTCAGCCACACTGAATATTAGTGGTAAAGATGTGTGGCCAATGGGGTCTGTGTCTTGGTGTCTATAGACATGCCGCTTATCTGGCTCGTCCCATATTCTGTCCCTTTGTCTGTGTGTCACCTCCTTTTAGCTGGACAGAGTCCCAACTTTTTGGGAAACTGTATGAAACATCCATGGCTGGCTTCCCTCTACCGTGTGCCAGCATGAGTTAAGTACTGTTTTCTGGTAGATTTCATGTCCCGTTGACATCCAGGCTGAGTCATAGCTGCTGAAGTTCTATAGACAACGTGGTACCCTTGCGTGTTTCTGGTCCCCTCTGACCATCATGCCAGATCTGTGGAAAGGACCATGGTCCTGATATTGAGAGGACACACCATAGAACATAAAATGCATGACCTGTTCTCAGCATAGTAGTCTGTGGCCTGCCCTCAGTGGGGTTCGTGTCTTCTCTGTGCTGTTCATGCCCTGTCCCTGTCATGTCCTGTCCCTGGCATGTGCTCTGAGTGTAACAATCCCTGTACCTTTCTGACATTCTTAGCCATGCCCACCAAGTTCACAGAGTCCCTGAGGAATGAAGAGGCCATGGAAGGCACCATGGTCACGCTGAGGTGCCAAATGAACAAGGCTGCCCCAGTGGAGTGGAGGAAGGGAGAAAAGACCCTCAAAGATGGGGACAGATACATCCTGAGGCAGGATGGGGCCACGTGTGAGCTGCAGATCCATGGCCTGGCTGTGGAAGATGCTGGGGCGTACTCATGCCTGTGTGGGCAGGAGAGGACCTCAGCCACGCTGAGTGTCAAGGGTAAAGAACATGTGTGGCCACCTGAACCTGAGGCTTGTTGTCTCCATGTTGTCTCAATGCTATGTCTGTTCTTCCTATGTGGCACAGCTCCTGTAGTGACCCTGTGGCCGTCTGTCCTGTAACTGGGGTCATCTGGGTATCTCTACCTTCCCTTTCCCAGGTCCAGGAAATATTCTCATGTTCACGTCCATCCCGCCATCCTCTCTACACCTCCCTGGGTTCTTGCCTCCTCCCAATCTGTTCCCTGTCTCACTATTGCTGCCAAATCCTTTGCCAGACAGAATGCATGTTTCCTTGTGTATTCCATGTTCTGTGCAGCGTGTCCTTCCGAGTCCCATGTTCTCAGTGAGCGCTTGGTCCTTTCAGCCCTGCCCACCAGATTCATAGAAGACTTGAGAAGCCAAGAAGCCACGGAAGGCACCATGGTCACGCTGAGGTGCCAGCTGAGCAAGGCTGCCCCTGTGGAGTGGAGGAAGGGATCTGAGAGCCTGAGAGATGGGGTCAGATACAGCCTGAGGCAGGATGGGGCTGTGTGTGAGCTGCAGATCCGTGGCCTGGCTGTGGAAGATGCTGGAGAGTACTCATGCCTGTGTGGGCAGGAGAGGACCTCAGCCACACTGAGTGTCAAGGGTAAAGATCATGTGTGGCCACCTGAACCCGAGGCTTGGTGTCTCTGTGTTATTTCATGGACGCTTCTGTCTCCACATGTGGTTTCCTGTAGTGAGCCTGTGACCATCTATTCTGCACCTTCACTCATCCTGGCGTCTCCACCTGCCCAGATGTTCTTGTGTTCACATCCATGCCACCGCCCTCTCTGCTCCCCACCAGTTTGCATTCCTCACCACCTGCGCCTTCCATTCCATGTTTATATTGTGTTCCTTTGCTAGTGTGTCGTTCTTTGTGAGTTGTGTGTCCTGTGTATGGTGTTCTCCAATTTCATGTTCTCAGTGAGCGCTTGGTCCTTCCCAGCCCTGCCCACCAGATTCATAGAAGGCTTGAGAAGCCAAAAGGCCACGGAAGGCACCATGGTCACACTGAGGTGCCAGCTGAGCAAGGCTGCCCCTGTGGAGTGGAGGAAGGGGTCTGAGAGCCTGGGAGATGGGGACAGATACATCCTGAGGCAGGATGGTGCCACGTGTGAGCTGCAGATCCGTGGCCTGACCGTGGAAGATGCTGGAGAGTACTCATGCGTGTGTGGGCAGGAGAAGACCTCAGCCACGCTGAGTATAGATGGTAATGTCTTTGTGTAGCCACCTGATTGATCTGCTTTCTCCTGTCTCTCCCATGTAAGCTGTGCTCTTCCGGTGCCTCTCAATGGCATCATGTCGTGCACAGACATATATATCTATGTGATACATTCCCCCCCAACCACACTGGGTTAGTCTAGTCTAGAACCTGTTCTAAGACACAGACCCAGAGAAGAATAGCGTGCAGCTTTAAGGGTGGTGCCTGTATATTTCATCAGTGTCCAGTAGGAGATCTGCTGGGGCCACTTGCATCTTGCTAAGGCCTGCAGAGATTTTAGGTCCGTTGGTTCCAGGCACAGAGTTAACGGATGTCTGTTCCTTGATGGACATGCACAGCAATGTGAGGTCCTGGCTGGAGGAGCCAGGCGCACACTGCTGAACTCAGTGAGAGCTTTGAACTGTTCCTTTGAGATGATGCCAGGCTCTGAAGGGTTCCTGTCCTAGTCTGCTCACAATTCTGGAGGCTGGAATTCCTCCGCTGAGGTCTGGCAGTGGTTTTGGTTTTGTTAGTGTTTTCCCTGAAGATGTCTGTCTGCTCCGAGTCTTCACACGGTCATTTCGTGTGTCTCCATCCTGATCTCTTAGATGCACACTAGCCATTTTAGACTTGAGCCTAGCCTGGCCTCGTTTTGACTTAATTATTTCCTTAAGTACTCTTCCTGGAAGTAGAGTGACTCCCTGAAGTACTGGGAAAGTGGGAACTTCAATGTATGAGTCTGGAGGTGGCACACTTTAGCTCATGTATTAGTTACTTTTCTATCGCTGTGATAAAATGCCACGACCAAAGCAATGTAGGGAATTTATCTGAACTTAGGGTTCCTGAGGGCTAAGAGTCATTATGAGAGGGAGACGTGGCAGCCAGCAGTAGGCACGCACGGCAGTGGGAGCAGGAATCTGGGGCTCCAATCTTGAACTGAAAGCAGGAAGTAAAAAGAGGGAACGAGAAATTTTTATGAGTCTTTAAACTCTCAAAGTGACAAACTCCAGCAAAGCCACGCCTTTTAAATCTACCCAAACATTGCCACCAACCAGGAACCACATATTCAAATGTCTGAGACTACAGGGGATCTGTCATTTAAACCACCAGAGCCTGTGACATTCTACCTCCTGGCCTCCTGAAATCTATGTGCTTTTTCCATGTAAAAATGCATCCTTCCAGTCCACACAGCCCGGTGTCTAAGTGTCTCTTCTAAGTGTGAAGTTTTAGATTTCATTCACACTGAGGAACATTTACCTCCTACCTATGAAGCTACAGAACCAGGTAGAACCATGAGGCAGCGCTTCTCAACCCGGGAGTTGTGATCCTACAGATCAGATATTTACATTATGATTCATAACAGTAGGAAAATTACAGCTATGAAGTAGCAACAAAAATAATTTTATGGTTGGGGTCGCCACAACCTGAGGAACTGGATTAAAGGGTCACAGCATTAGGAAGGTTGAGAACCATTGCTCTAGGACAATGGCGGGACAGGCATGTGATAGATGTTCTTACCAAAGGAGGAGGAAATTGGAATGAAGAGATGGGGTATGAGTCCCACCAATCTGAAACAGCACGGTGACTCTACTAGATTTTAAGGCAGGAGAATTCTCTCTGGTTCAACCCCCCTGTCCCCTAGACTGGCCCTCAGAGCCCTGAGTGGAAATGGCTTAGGGTCGAGGAGGAGAGTGCCTTCTCCTCAGCCGATGGTCTTGTGGCCCCTGGTGGCTGTGGCAACCCTGTTGACCTTGATCCACTCTGACAATCACTCTCTTTTTTAAACTTGTTTGCTTTTTGAGACAGGGTCTTGCTATGTAGCCCTGGCTAGCCTGGAGCAATCAGTGTAGAGCAGTCTGGCCTGGAACTTGTGGGGCACCTCCTGCCTCAGCTTCTAAAGTGCTGAGGTTACAGGCACAAGCCACCCCGTGATCATCGCCTTGAAAGGCCACACAAGTGGCAGCTGGTTGGCTCTGTTGTCTCATCAGCTTTGACCACCGTCTTTCTTCCCTTGGGTCTCTGTCCCTTCTAGACTAAGTGGTATTTCACCTGGTATGACATTCTCAATGTCCTTACTTTACTGTGAAGTCACAAGAGTCCTCCACGGCCTTTCCTCTCTAGCTGTGGCTTCTGCAGAGATGACAGGATTGACTACGTCCTGAAGTTCTCTTCAGAACATTCTCATTATTTTTTGGCAGCATGGGTAGGCTGTAAATTCTCTAAATCTTCAATTCCCTTCCCATTTTACTTAGTAGTTCTTTAATTTATCTTTCTATTCTCTCACTCTTACTATAAGCAGAAAGAAGAATCCAGATTATGCCTTCAACACTTTGCCTATAAACCTCCTTAGCTAAATGTCCAATTTCACTGTTTACAAATTCTGCATTCCACAAGACACTAGAACAGAATTTGGCCAAGCTCATTGATGCTGTCAAAAGGGTCACCTTCCTTCTTTCTAGTTTTATTCCTCATTTCTGTCTGAGGCCTTATCAGATGTAGCATTAATATCCCTATTTCTACTAACAGTCCATTCCCAGCCATCTTGATTTTCTCTGATATATACCTCAAAAGTCACCCAGCCTCTAGTCATTACCTGTTACCAGACAGCTCCAGATTCTTAGGTATTTCTTACAATATATTCTCAAACTTGTATTGTTTGGGTGACCATCACAAAGAACAGTAGATCAGGACACTTAAAACAGAGGTTAATTTCTTCCCTGTTTGGAAGGCTGGAGGCCTGTGATCAGATTGTTGGCGGGGTTGGCTCTGTCCAAAGCCTCTCGCTGTCTTCCTCAAGTCTTCACACGGTCATCCTGTCTGTATCCAGACATCTTTCTAAAGATATGATTTCTGCTGGATTAAGCACTTACCTGCAAGACCCCATTTAGCATTTTCCACCTCTTCAAAGGCCAATCTCCAAATACACTTGCTTTCTGAAGTTGTATCAATTAGAAATTTAGTATACATTTGGAGGGGCACAGCCAATTACAAGTATAACCACGGTGAGCTATGATCAGCAGGGAGGACAGCAGGACAGATCAAAGGCTCAAAGGCATGCCTAGGAGTCCCCAGCTGCAGTCTATCAGGGATCAGGAGTCACAAGCTAGGGAGGTGACACCAAAGGGTGGGGTGTGGATCTAGTAGTGTCAGGACAGGAGTGGGATGTGGAGGAGACAGGGCCTTACATAAGCTGTAGGGGTGAATCCAAGCATGGACAGTGCTGGATGGAGGCCCTGTGTGAATGGGCATCCAGTCTATGAGGCTGGAAGGCGTCACAGTTGGGAGATGCCTGTCATGGAGGTCAGTCAAGAAATGTGTTTGCATGCACGATTGATTGATCTCAAATGCCTGGCATGCCTCCTGGTGATGGGAGATCACAGGAAGAACAAGGTGCCCTTGAGAAGATGAGGCTGGAATGGTACCCACCTTTCAATCAACCTGCATCTCAGTAGGCACAGCACGGGAACCTCAGCCCACACACTTTGATCTGCCTCTTCCCACGCTCTCCAGTCCTTCTGCTTCTGTTTCCTTCCCGGATACTCAGATAATGACCTTCGAAACCTTCATAGAATTTGACGGCTTCTATCCACCTGATCCTTCCTAGCCCTGCCCACACGGTTCATTGAAGAGCTGAAGTCCCAGGAGGCCATGGAAGGCTGCACGGCCACTCTGCAATGTCAGCTCAGCAAAGAGGCCTCCGTGGCGTGGAAGAAGGGAAGGGAGACCCTCAGAGATGGGGACAGATACAAGCTGCAGCAAAAGGGAACCACGTGTGAGCTGCAGATCCGTGACCTGACCATGGCAGATGCTGCAGAGTACTCATGCGTGTGTGGGGAGGAGAAGACCACAGCCATGCTGACCGTCATGGGTAAAGACCACAGCTGGCTAATCTATGTGGTGGTGCCCAAGTATGAACGCCATCTGTCCGTCACTGCGGGGGATCCGGTCCTGCTTCCTGGGTTGTGTTACCCAGAAGACAAGAGCCTCTGCAGCCGCGTCCCCACTGCCTTGTGCTGTGTGGGGTTTATGTTGTTGGATCCTGTGTCCTTTGTCCTCACTGTCATGCCCCGAACCCCAAAGTTCTCTAGGAAATCTGAGGTTCTCCTGACGGTCTTTAACTCTGCATGCCAGGTCCCTATGAAGTATAAGGTCCGAGGAAGCTGCAGATCGGGCAAGGTGGAGCTGTGCACAGTCTAGCTTGAGGAATACCACACCAGATTCTCAACATATTCGCATGCACCCTTTGGTCGAGTCCTGTGTCTTCTCTGTGTGATCCGTGCCCCGTCTTCCACTTGCTCTGATGGAATGACTGGGCCTGTGTCTTTCTGACCTCCCTAGCGCTGCCCACCAAGTTTACAGAGGGTTTGAAGAATGAAGAGGCCACGGAAGGGACCATGGTGACTCTGAGGTGCCAGCTGAGCAAAGAAGCCCCAGTGGAGTGGAGGAAGGGAACAGAGATCCTCAGAGATGGGGACAGATACAGCCTGAGGCAGGATGGGGCTGTGTGTGAGCTGCAGATCCGTGGCCTGGCTGTGGAAGATGCTGGAGAGTACTGGTGCCTGTGTGGGCAGGAGAGGACCTCAACCACACTGAGTGTCAAGGGTAAAGATCATGTGTGGCCACCTGAACCCGAGGCTTGGTGTCTCTGTGTTATTTCATGGACGCTTCTGTCTCCACATGTGGTTTCCTGTAGTGAGCCTGTGACCATCTATTTTGCACCTTCACTCATCCTGGCGTCTCCACCTGCCCAGATGTTCTTATGTTCACATCCATGCCACCGCCCTCTCCGCTCCCCACCAGTTTGCATTCCTCATCACCTGCGCCTTCCATCCCATGTTTATATTGTGTTCCTTTGCTAGTGTGTCGTTCTTTGTGAGTTGTGTGTCCTGTGTGTGGTGTTCTCCGATTTCATGTTCTCAGTGAGCGCTTGGTCCTTCCCAGCCCTGCCCACCAGATTCATAGAAGGCTTGAGAAGCCAAGAGGCCACGGAAGGCACCATGGTCACACTGAGGTGCCAGCTGAGCAAGGCTGCCCCTGTGGAGTGGAGGAAGGGGTCTGAGAGTCTGAGAGATGGGGACAGATACAGCCTGAGGCAGGATGGGGCCACGTGTGAGCTGCAGATCAATGTCCTGGCTGTGGAAGATGCTGGAGAGTACTCATGCCTATGTGGGCAGGAGAAGACCTCAGCCACACTGAGTGTCAAGGGTAAAGAACATATGTGGCCACCTGAACCCGAGGCTTGGTGTCTCCATGTTGTCTCAATGCTATGTCTGTTCTTCCTATGTGCCACAGCTCCTGTAGTGACCCTGTGGCCGTCTGTCCTGTAACTGGGGTCATCTGGGTATCTCTACCTTCCCTTTCCCAGGTCCAGGAAATATTCTCATGTTCACATCCATCCCGCCATCCTCTCTACACCTCCCTGGGTTCTTGCCTCCTCCCAATCTGTTCCCTGTCTCACTGTTGCTGCCAAATCCTTTGCCAGACAGAATGCGTGTCTCCTTGCGTATTCCATGTTCTGTGCAGCGTGTCCTTCCGAGTCCCATGTTCTCAGTGAGCGCTTGGTCCTTTCAGCCCTGCCCACCAGATTCATAGAAGACTTGAGAAGCCAAGAGGCCACGGAAGGCACCATGGTCATACTGAGGTGCCAGCTGAGCAAGGCTGCCCCTGTGGAGTGGAGGAAGGGGTCTGAGAGCCTGAGAGATGGGGACAGATACAGCCTGAGGCAGGATGGGGCTGTGTGTGAGCTGCAGATCCGTGGCCTGGCTGTGGAAGATACTGGAGAGTACTCATGTGTGTGTGAGCAGGAGAAGACCTCATCCATGCTGAGTGTCAAGGGTAAAGACTGTGTGTGGCCACCTGAACCTCAGCCTTGGTGTCTCCATGTTGTCTTATTGCTATGTCTGATTGAGCATGTGGCACAGCTCCTGTGGCCACCCGGTGGCCGTCTGTCCTGTACCTGGAGTCATCCTGCTTGCTGAAGAGATGCTTTTGTGTTCCCGTCCATCTCACTGCCCTTCGTATCCCTCATGGATTTTCCCCCTACTCACCATCTACACCTGCCACCTGTTTTCTGTGGTGTTTTTAGTTCTTCATGGGTGGTGCGTTCTGTGTACAAGCTTCTCCGGTTTCACGGTCTCAGTGACTTCTTGATCCTTCCTAGCCCTGCCCGCCAGATTTATAGAAGGCTTGAGAAGCCAAGAGGCCGTGGAAGGTACAACAGCCACAATGCGGTGTGAGCTGAGCAAGAAGGCCCCTGTGGAGTGGAGGAAGGGGTCTGAGATCCTGAGAGATGGGGACAGATACAGCCTGAGGCAGGATGGGGCTGTGTGTGAGCTGCAGATCCGTGGCCTGGCTGTGGGAGATACTGGAGAGTACTCATGCGTGTGTGGGCAGGAGAGGACTTCGGCCACCCTGAGCATCACGGGTAAACACCTCCTGTGGCCACATGATAATTTTGGACTTAAGTTCTTGCTCTCTATCTACCCTGTCCCACTCTACCTCTCCCTGGGATTGCCTCTCATTTCTCCTGTAATGCTGTATTTGTCCTGTCTGATCTCAGCCACAACACTCTCCAGGGTCTTGGTGTCTGTAACTTACCCCTTATGCCCTCACACTGCCGGTCATCATGTTGGGACAGAACATGTTCTATGTTCCCACTGTGTCCCCAGATATCCTACCCTTCGCCAACCACATTCCAGCTTCTGTGTGTGCTTAGCTAAATATTCTCTTTGACTGGGGTTCAATGGATGTTCAGAGAGGACATGTGGGTCCCCCAGTGGGTCCTGTACCCTGCAGATGGGGACATGTTCCTAGTGTGGCTCTGAGAAGCCCAATGGCTGCTGTATCTTGAAGTCTCCAGAACATGGAGGACACAATCCTGCCTGATCTTGAGAGGTCTTGCTATTTCCTGGTGTCTGTGGGACACACTGTGTATCAGAGGGACCATTCCAGCAGCCTTGGAAGAGCTAGGCTATGCTCCAAGGTCTGGTCTGAAGCTGTGATCTTGAAGCACAAAGCCCTTTCCTGAGTTCTAGTCTGTAGGGGCATGACTAGACTTGATTCTGTTCTGGGTGGTCTGACATGAGTGCCTCTCTGGGCCCTTCGGATGTAGTCCTGCAGGGGACTGGACTAAGTGGGAGGCAAGCACCCAGAGTCAGGTCTTGAGCTATTTCCAATCTCCCCATCAGCTCCCTTACCCTGAAGCCCCCCCTAGACCTGTGTTCTCATCCTGCATCAACCCCGGGCCTTCCCTGGGACTGTAGAGAAGCTTGTCCTCACCCTGTGTGGCTGCCTTAGGGCACTCAAGGGTGCGTCTTTAATTGGGTCTGTTAGCCTCCCCATCCTCTCACAGCCCCACAGGTGGTGTTCGAGAAGCCACTGCAGAACCTGAAAGTGGAGGAAGGTTCCACGGCCAGGCTGCAGTGTGAACTGTCAGTCCCCAATGCCGCTGTGGTTTGGAGCAAGGGTGGCTTGGAGCTGCAGGCTGATGCGCGCCGAGAGCCCCGGCAGCAGGGGTGTGCGGCAGAGCTGCTGCTCAGGGATGTGCGCCGTGAGGATGCGGGCGAGTACAGCTGCACCTGCGGCTCCCAGAGCACGAGCGCCACCCTTGTGGTTACAGGTGGGTGTCCGAGGCTGGCCAACAACTCCAGTGTTTGGGGGCCGGCTGTTGGGGGTACAGTTTTCATGCTGACCCTCACAGCCGCAGCCCTGTTTCACGGGTCGCAGCCAGGAGAACTCATTCAAATGGGTGGCCCCGAGGTCTGCCTCACTCACCAGTAGCTGGGCGCCTGAGGTTCTCCTGAGCATCTCCTTCATTCTGCCCTTGTCAGAGACCCGTCGTCACATGCCCGCCCTCTGTGGTAGCTTCTCCACTGTCCCTGCCAGGTGACGCAAGTCTCCGTGTGTCCCCTGTCACTTTCCAAAACCTGCCCCAGAGTTCTTCCTTCACCTGTCATGGTTTCACTGCAGGGGCTCTGTGACCTTAACTGTTCCTGTCTCTGTGGCCCCTCAGGGTTATTTCTTCAAGTGCTCTCCCCTCCCTGGTAGCTTCACGGGCAGGTGCGGTAGCCTCTGCCACTGCTGTATGCGGGTCCCCGGTTCCTCCCTGTGGCAGTGTCCTGTGGATCCTGACCACGGATCTACTGTGGGGGGGGGCGTTCCCTGACCGTAACACCCTTCACAACTCAGGGACCCGCTCTCATGCTGTCCCTGCAACCTTGCAGCTGCTCCCGTGCAGTTCCTCAGGGAGCTGCAGGCCCAGGAGGTGGATGAGGGGACCACGGCGCACCTGCACTGTGAGCTGAGCCAGGCGGCTGCCAGCGTGGAGTGGCGCAAGGGCTCCCTGCAGCTGTTCCCTTGTGCCAAGTACCAGATGGTGCAGGAGGGCGCGACGGCTGCGCTGCTGGTCCGAGAGGTGGAGCAGGAGGATGCCGGTGAATACATCTGTGACACAGGCCACACGCAGAGCGTCGCCAGGCTCTCAGTTCGAGGTGAGCTGCCTGTAGCCTGTATGTGCCCAGCCCCCTCCTACTCTTTTAAGAGCAGGAGACCTTGTTCAGTCAGAGTCGGGGAGATGGGACCTGTGGCTCTAAGTATATATATATATATATACATATATATATATGTGTGTGTGTGTGTGTGTGTGTGTGTGTATGTATATATATATATATATATATATATATATATATATATATATATATATATATATATATATATTTGATGCCCTCAGCCCCCAAACCCAAGTTCAAGACCGGCCTGCAGAGCACAGAGCAGGAAGCAGGTGGCGTGGCCCGGCTGTGTTGTCAGCTGAGTGAGGCTGAGCCAGGGGCTCCAGTGCAGTGGCTCAAGGAGGGTGTCGAGCTGCGCGTCGGCCCCAAGTATGAGATGCGGCGCCAAGGGGCTACGTGCGAGCTGCTGATCCACGGTCTCGAGACCAAGGACACCGGAGAATATGCCTGTGTGGTGGGTGGCCAGAAGACCTTGGCCTCTCTCAGAGTCAAAGGTGAGTAGCTAGACCCCAGGAGGAGAGTTTGAGCCCTTCCTGCCACACCTGCCCCCTAGGGCTCTCCTGGGTACAACTTACATTGGGCCAGGACCTCCACATTTTTCCCCCTCTCATTCCCAAATTACTTGTAGTTCTGATTCTGCAACTGAAGGGCCACAGCCGCCAGGACAGACCTTAGCCCCCAAAGGCAGCCCTGCCTCCTCTTCCCCAGCCAGCAGGTAGTATAGCGTTGCTGGCCTTTGAAGCATTCTCTGTGCCCTTACTTATTCCTACGGAAGGTTTTGCTTCATGGTGACCTGGCCAGGACAGGGCTGGCATCAGTATCAGGGCCAGACACAGCACTCACCGTTGTATGACCACTTTCTCTCTTGGCCTGCTGGGAAAGCAAGTGCCCCCTCCCCCCAGCTCAGCTTCCATGCCTGTGAGCCCAGCAGGTGACAGAAAAGCACCTGAGTGTCAAGGAAGGCTTTCAGGGAATTTGGCTCGGGCTAGTCAAGAGCCTCTCTCCTCTGTCCCCTTCCTCCAGAGCCTGAGGTGACCATTGTGCGGGGACTGGTTGACATGGAGGTGCAGGCTGACGAGGATGTGGAGTTTACTTGTGAGGTGTCGCGAGCAGGAGCCACAGATGTGCAGTGGCGTCTCCAGGGTCTGCCACTGCAGAGCAATGAAGTCACAGAGGTGGCCGTTCTTGGAGATGGCCGTACCCACATGCTCCAGCTGAAGGGTGTGACACTGGAGGATGCTGGCACCGTCTCCTTCCATGTGGGCAACCATTCATCTTCTGCTCAGCTCACGGTCCGAGGTATCTAGCTCCTGGGGGCCTGGCCTTCCCTCACCCGGGATGAGAATGTTCAGGCTCAGGCCATTTTGGGGAACACAGATAGGCACTCTTTGGGGGGTGAGGTTCTGGTAGTGAGGAGAACCTGTGTGCTGGTAGTTCTACAGCTGCATCTGGCTGGTAGGCTGGTAGAGTGGGCTTCCCAGAAGCTCATATTGTCTTGGTGCTTAGGACCTACCCACTATCCCTCAGGACATTCTGAAGACTGTACTACTCCAAGCCCAAGGTCGCCTCTAGATTCTCTGTGGGTCAGAGCCCAGGGTGTGCTATCTGTGTAGATCTAGAGAAGGGGATTGGTGGCATGCTCCCATTGGTTTATATCTGTGTAGATCTAGAGAAGGGGATTGGTGGCATGCTCCCATGGGTTTATATCTGTGTAGATCTAGAGAAAGGGATTGGTAGTATGCTCCCATGGGTTTATATCTGTGTAGATCTAGAGAAAGGGATTGGTAGCATGCTCCCATGGGTTTATATCTGTGTAGATTTAGAGAAGGGGTTTGGTAGCATGCTCCAATGGGTTTATATCTATGTAGATCTAGAGAAGGGGATTGGTAGCATGCTCCCATGGGTTTATTCTCAGGGATTGGAGTGAGGTATCATGGGACTTGTGGGATATGAGAGCTCTACCATTCAAGGGAGCATTCCAGATGCAAAGGCTGATGCCCATGCTTCCTGTGTCTAGTCCCTGAGGTGACTATTCTGGAGCCCCTGCAAGATGTGAAGCTCAGCGAAGGCCAGGATGCCCATTTCCAGTGCCGGCTGTCCAGGGCCTCTGGCCAGGAGGCCCGCTGGGCTTTGGGAGGGGTTCCCTTGCAGTCCAATGAGATGAACGACATCGCTGTGGAGCAGGGCACGCTCTACCTGCTCACTCTGCATAAGGTGGGGTTCTGGGACCTGCCTCTGCCCGCACACAGATGCTTCTGAGTCCGTTAGAGAAGATCCTCCTCCAGGGCATTGGGCAGGGGAGGTGACAAACCCCTATCATGGGGGATGGGGAAGATGGATTGGCCCCTTTTGGTCAGGATGGGGTGCAAGGGCAAGCATCTTCCTCCTGCCTCCTCAGGTGACCCTGGAGGATACTGGAACCGTCACTCTCCAAGTGGGCTCATGCTCCTCAGAAGCCCAGCTGAAGGTCACAGGTGGGCATCCCTATCCTACACCCCACCTGTGCCAGTGGATTCTTTGTTTCCCAGCACTGCAGTTGTTCGGGGGATCAGGAGCCCAAGACTTCTAGCTGTGATTTTTGCGCTGGGGCTGTCAATTTTCCAGCCTGTGGTATCTCAGGCTAGAATGGATGCTGCCTCCTGGAAGAGCTAGAGCGTCTGACTAGCATGGGCTTGGGTCTTGAGTGGAGATGGGACCAGCTCTGTGGTTTAGGTCCCTTTGCACATACATATATATGTCCATGTTGATGTACATTTACTTACTCAAAAGGCTCAGAGATGTATGTACAATCACATACCTATGACACATATATGGATTTGGCCATGGTAAATGTGGCCCCAGCATGCAGGCAGGACTTTAGGAACTTTCAATTTAGAGTGTACCTTGTCCCCAGAATAAGTCCATCCTATGGAGCTTGGCTTTGAGCAACCTTTCCATGCTGCCTAGTCCTGGTTCTCAATGTGATTCCATTGGCCCCTCCATCATCTACCCACTTGCTGATTTATCCTCTAACCATCTGCCATGCATCCATCCATCCATTTATAGCCACCATTTGTCACCCACCCAAGCCCATTCTTCATCAATCTTCCATTCATCTATCATTCATCTTCCACATCACACTACCCATTTATCTAGTTACTCATGATTTGTCTGTCTATCTATCTATCTATCTATCTATCTATCTATCTATCTATCTATCTATCTATCAATCATCCATCTATCCATTCACCAATATACCACTTGTACATTCATTATCTACTTATCATCCAACCATTCATCCATCCACTTACCCACCATCCATCCATTCATCCACCCATCTATTCAAGCACCTGTTTGCTATCCAGCCATCTGTTCACCATTGGATGAGACCTCTGAACTCCTACCCTTCACGTCCAGGATTTCAGGATGGGTTACATATAGCTTTGCCATTATGGAGCCCTCAGTCTGTTGAGGAGAGCTAGATGTGGAGAATAGAGCACGTTCTAGAACTTTAGAGATGGTCAGGCATGGTCAGTTCTGTGGCCTGTGGGGCTGAGAAAGGCTGCCAAGTGCCAATGCACAACTTAAAAGTCGACTGATGAAGAATTTCCCCATTGTCTTGAGTAGGGGCAGGGCAGAAAGCGTCTGTGTTTACTAGGGGACAACATGGAGCTGCAGGCTGTGCCTCAGTCCTGCTCTACGGCAAGATCTTCCCGTTCTGAGAGAGCTGGTTCCTGTACAGCTTTGTTGTGGACAGGCTTGGGAGCTGGTGCTGGAGGGGGAGTGTCAGTGGGGAACGGTGTGGAAAGACTTCTAAAGTAGCACTTGGGGGTGATCCTCGGGGCTGCCCCGTCTTGCTGGGCACTGACGTCTCTACAAATAGTTCCTGACTCTTCTCAGCCCCATCCTGTGGTATAGAAGCAAATGCAACAGAAGCACCTGGACTTTGTCAGTTGCCCCCAAGAAGGCATCTGCTGGATGCTCAGAGAGAAACACAGGCTAGGGCTTAGCATCCTCCTTACCTGGCCCCAGGTAGCGAGTGTGGAAGAGACCACTGGTCTTTTCCTGTGTGTCCTGGGGTATTGGAAAGTCAGCTATGAAAACATTAATGCCCCAGAGTTCTTGGGCTATCCATCACCTGTGGTTCCCCTGAGCATCCACTCAAAAGATAGATGGGATGCAGGGGAACTAGGTGGAGCTCATCTGTATCCATGAGGCTCCTGAGCTTAGAACTTATTGTGAGGAGGAGCAGCAGTGTACCCAGCAGTTAAGGCCATGGAGTCCTAAGGGTGGCAGAATCTCAGTGGACATCTAGACAGACTGCCCCTGTCTGCTGCTATACCCTGAGGAATGGAAAGCCACTTCTGGGATTGAGCCCCACACTCTTGGGGCAACAGGTTCTGGGGTGCCTCCTTCCTGCCCATAACAGGTTAGAGGAGGCATCCATTATCAAGAGCCCCAAATGTGGAGTTTATCCATTGTTCCTTTTGAAAAAGATGCCGCATAGGTGTCATTGGCCTCCTATGGATGAAGCTAGAAGTGCTCTGAAGGGGTGTGGGATGCTCAGTGGTTCACATGCTTTTCGTGGGCTCAGTGTGGATGGCCTCTGTGCTTTTCTCTTTGATTAGGGTATGCTGTCTGGGGTGGATTTCTGGACCTCTGGTCCAAGCTATTCTGGTCTGGATAGTACCTGATCCCGGAAGATTCCGAGTGGCCCATGCCAGTCAATTTCAAGATTGTTCTAGTAAATTCACTGGGGCCCCAGTGGTAGGGAACAGCTGTTCCCCTCTATATTCTGTACAATAAAGGATACCTGACTAGAAGAGTGGGCTCCCCACACACCTAGCAGTCCTCCAGCAGACACCAACTGGATGCGATATAACTGGATTCAATTCTGACATTACCCAAAACTAGCATAGACTCATTGGTTATAGACTCAGTCCCACGAGACGCAGCATCCCCCAACAAAGTCAGTTGCCTAACCTTGCTAACTAAGTGGGTGTGAATGGGGCTCGCACTGCCCACCTGGGTTTGACCAGTCTGCTAGGACAGCTGAGTCATGAGACAGTTGCTGTCACTGGTTTGTCACACAGGACATCACCCAGCAACACTCAAAGACTTAGTGTGGGGGGCAGTTGACAGGTACCCCTCCCATTCTCCATGTATCACTCTCCATCCCCTTGGCATCCAAGACCTTGAAATCCATCAGATTTGTTTACATTTATCTCCAGCCTTACTGCTCTCCCCGAGGCTGGTGGGTTGGGCTGGACATTTGAACCTTCTTGTCATTTTGTCTTCCCTGATGACCAGCCCCTTCCTGAAGCGGGCACCTCATTAGCATAGCCTCTGATGTGATCAAAAGGTGTGTGCTCGGCCTAAGAGCCCTGGAGAGACACTCAGGAAGTTCTGTGCTAGGAACTGGGACAAAGACCCATTTGGCTGTCGGATCACATTCCCACGCCAGTGCCCCTGAGTGCGGCCCCCTCCCCACAGACCCTAGGGAGCCCCAGCCCAGACTTCCTTTTCGCCCTCTTGCACAGAGGCAGCACTGTGCCTGGTACGTGGCTTGCAGAATGTGGATGTCTTCGCGGGGGAGGTGGCCACGTTCTCCTGTGAGGTGTCTCGTGCAGGTGGGCCGGAGGCCCGCTGGTGGTTGGATGGCACCCTGCTTCAGAACAGCCCTGAGAGTGCCATCACTGTGCGAGAGGGGACTGTTCACTCCCTCGTGCTCTCGGGCCTGGGGGTGGCCGACTCGGGCACCATCACCTTCCGCACAGGGCCCCTGGTCTCCACAGCCAAGTTATTGGTCAAAGGTATTGGCCAGTGGGGACCTCCCCATGCTGGTGCTTCTGCCCTTGCTGTTCCTGCATGCTTCCTGCAGGGTCCTGGGGAACTGAGGAGTGTCAGGTACTGACCCCAAGGGCCATGGGCAATTCTCTATGCCTATCATGTACCCAGGGCAGAGGAGGCCTTCCACTCACTTCCTGAGTGGGAGGTTAAGTCTCCTTGAACTCTTTAGTTGGAGACTGGCCTCCTGCACATTGGCTGTGTGGGACCTGCACACACTGACTCTTGTTAATGATCCTACTGCACAGACATCCCAGCCAAAGGCTAGCTTTCTGAAGGGGGACTTCCTGGGCTCCCGATGGAGAAGCCACAGCTTCCAGCTCTAGTTTGCTCCTGTGCACGCCTGCTTCTCTTCCTGTGGGCACCCTTCTGGGGAAGAGTTGGCTGGACAGGGAGGGCAGCAGATTGCCAGCGACTCCGAACAGCTCCTTCCTAATCTTTCATCCAGTGTCTTTGCCTAAGTCCTCCTGTAATCCCTCATAGAACCAGATCCAGGATGAATGGTTATTGGTTGCATAGGATTTCAGCAGGTGGGGATGGGATGGGACCCCAAGGGTGTCAGCAAGCATCCTTACCCTCTTGGAGAGGGGCAAGATGGGCTGTAGCTGCAGACTTGCAAGATCTGGGGTCCAGGTGTGTTTAAGATAGGACCTGTGTGTTCACTTTGGGTTAGAGGGACCCATCCTGGACAGACATCTTGACATTGTCAGCTGCCATGGGTGGAATGAGGCATGCCTGGTGTGTAGGGCTCTTGGGCAGCTGTGATGGGTCCCCTTCCTGGCCACATGCCAGGCACCTGTTGCTAAGCCGTTGCCCACCAAAGCTTCATGCTTACAGCCGCTGAAGCCACTAACATGGACAGCAGAAGGCGGGTGGGCCATGGTGGCACTGTCCCGGGGCTGATGCATGTCTGGCATGTTGGCCGACAGATCCCACGGTGGAGGTGGTGAGTGCCATGCAGGACCTGGTGGTGGAGGAGGGTGGCTCGGCTGAGCTTCTCTGCCAGTACTCGAGGCCCGTGCAGGCCATGTGGAAGATGAACGAGCGGGAGGTGTGCGCAGATGGGAACCGTGTCATCCTAGAGCAGGACTGGACCGTAGCCAGGCTGACCCTCAGGCCGGCCCTGCCCTGTGACAGCGGCATCTACTCTTGTGAGGCCGCAGGCACTCGAGTTGTGGCACTGCTCCAAGTGCAAGGTGAGGCCACCTGGCAGGCAGGCCTGACATGATCATGGTAGAGAGGCAGGCCATGGCCGCCAGCCTTGCAACGCAGGTGACCTATGCAGTGAGAACACCTATGTGGGTGGCGACCCAGAGCTATACCTGGGTTAAGACACAGTCTTGTGAGCTTGTGGCTTTTTATGAGAAACAGCGGCTAAAGTAACTGGAAAGAGGGGAGAAGGGGAGGGGTACGGACTTGGGGGGGTCTCCAGTCGATACAGATCGGAAGACAGCATCCCAGGCATCAGGACATGTCTAGCAGTGCTGGTTGGGGGACTTGGGAAAAGGGTGTGGGCCGCATCTTGAGGCTGCAGGCACCATTGTGGGAAAGGACACAGCTCTGCATCTCCAGTGGGCTGGAGTCTGGGCTTGTGAGGTTCTGGTCTATGAATAACTATGAAGTTTCTCATCCGTGAGACACAGGATGCCCCTCAGCCTCAAAGACCAGTGCTAATGTGAAGCCTCTGGAGAGGGTGATGGAATGGGTGGGGCTGGGCAACCATACCTCCTCCAGTGGACCCTGAGTGCCACCCTCCACAGTGGCTTCTGGGGTCCTGTTCTGTTTAGCCCTTTATACTTTGGGGTGGGGGTGGGGGGTTCTTGCAAGAGACAGTAGTGAAGGATTGCCAAGAGCTACACAACCCTGAACTCTGCTTTCTCCACAGCCAAGAACACAGTGGTGCGTGGCCTAGAGAACGTGGATGCCCTGGAGGGCGGCGAAGCTCTGTTCGAGTGCCAGCTGTCCCAGCCTGAGGTGGCTGCCCACACCTGGCTCTTGGATGATGAGCCTGTGCACACCTCGGAAAATGTGGAGATGGTCTACTTTGAGAATGGGCTGCGGCACTTGCTGCTGCTCAAAAACCTGAAGCCGCAGGACAGCTGCCGAGTGACCTTCCTGGCAGGGGATGTGGTCACATCTGCATTCCTCACTGTGAGAGGTGCCAGGCTGAGGGAGGGCGCGCTTGGGTGGATGGGATGGGGCTCTTCCAGGGGGGGCTGAGCTTCGAGCAGAGGTGGGAGGGAGGGGGTTGCGTAAGAAAGTGGTATCCTCTGAGCTCTCTCTATCCAAGCCCGTGCAGGATGGGAGGGTGTTGGACTGAAGTCCCTTCCACCTTCCAAACTGTGCTGCGACCTCAGCGGAGCCCAGTCGGTTGGGAGGACTGGGGTCTGGGATGGTGGGAGCTGCCACACTCTTCAGGGGTGGGGACACCATTGACAAGGGTGGCATCTCTAAGACCCCTTCCAACAAAGGCTCTACTTGCCTGGGAGAGTTGGTGGGTGTCAGATCTCCAGACGCTTCCCATAGGTGGCTGGACCTCCATGGTCTACAGGGATTTAGGGGCACTGGGCTGGGGAGTGGGACAGGAAATGGGGAGGCCAAAAGGAAGGTATCCCCAAGACACCCACCCACTGGACCTCCCTGAAATCTCTGAGGACTCATCCACTAGAGGTCCTGGTGGGCTATCAGAATAGTGGTTCTGTAGTGGGACTGTAGGTGAGCGTTATTGGCCTTCTAGACTCCCCAACATGAGGCCTTCCTGGGCCAGGAGAGTTAGGTGAGTCAGTCTGAGGAACCTCCAGCTTGAGGACTTGAGGCTAGGTTGAGGGAGGCTTTGTAAGGGCCAGGGGCCTTGCACTTCCCTTCTGTCCCCCGCCCCCCCCGCCCCCCCCTCCCCCCGCCACCAGTGTTCATCCATCCTGCTCCCCACAGGCTGGCGCTTGGAGGTCCTGGAGCCGCCACAAGATGCATCCGTGAGAGCTGGTATGCAGGCCTCCTTCACGTGCACGCTAAGTGAGGCGGTGCCCGTGGGCGAGGCTTCGTGGTACATCAACGGGGCTGCCATCCAGCCTGACGACACCGACTGGACGGTCACCGCAGATGGCAGCCACCACGCCCTGATGCTGAGCAATGCCCAGCCCCAACACACAGGAGAGGTCACATTTGCAGCTCGTGATGCCGTGGCCTCTGCACGCCTCTCTGTGTTGGGTGAGTGGGTGGCAGAGGCCCCTCCCCTACAGTCTGGGTCTGGGTCACACACACACACACACACACACACACACACACACACACACACACACACACACCCGCCTCCACTTTGACTCAGATGGGTGACCATTCAGAGCTGGCTTCTGTGCAGTTCCACTAGACCCTAAGAACCTGAGCATGGTGACTCCAGTAGCTCCTGGTGCAGGTCCGAGAGCACTCCCTGAGGCTAGAGTCCCTTGAGAGCGTACTCTGTCCTCTTCTCTTGGCCTAGTGCATATCTAAGCCCAGCTCTTGGGGGACAGGCCAAGAGAAATGAGGTCCTCCAGTCCCAGTGCCTGACCTTAGTGGTGGGTGCCAAGATGAGCAAACAGGCCCGTGGAGGCTTCAGTAGCATCCCTTGCCCCCCTAACTGTCTGGACCACTGGCTTCAGGGTCCAACAGGACTCATAAGGGAGTCTACCCCGAAGTGTATGCCATGCCCAGTATTGGACCTCAGTGACTTCTGGAAGAAGTGCTAATCTGTCTTCTTCCATGCAGCCCTCCCTGACCCTCCCGAAGATGCTGAGGTGGTGGGTCGTAGTGGCCGTTCTGTGACCCTATCCTGGGTGGCTCCCATGAGTGATGGTGGCGGTGGTCTTTGTGGTTATCGTGTGGAGATGAAGGAGGCATCCACTGGCCAGTGGCAGTTGTGCCATGAGCTGGTACCTGGGCCAGAGTGTGTGGTGGACGGCCTGGTCCCTGGGGAGACCTATCGCTTCCGAGTGGCAGCTGTAGGTCCGGCAGGTGCTGGGGAGCCTGTACATCTGCCCCAGATGGTCAAGCTAGGTGAGTCACTGCTCTCAGTCCATTAGAGTGCCCGGCTGAACAAGGGAGGGAGGGAGCTCTTTAGGGTTGGGCAAAGACCCTGGGATCCATCATGGCTGATGCGCCTTATCCTCTGTGGACATTGTTTTTCAGCAGAGCCAACGGAACCTGAACCAGTCCCAGCCCCAGCCCCAGCCCCAGCCAAAGCCCCAACCCCAACCCCAGCCAAAGCCCCAACCCCAGCCCCAGCCAAAGCCCCAACCCCAACCCCAGCCAAAGCCCCAACCCCAACTCCAACCCAGCCCCCAGCCCCGGAGACACTCCAGGCAGTAGTTGGTGAGGATGTGTGTCTGGAGTTGGAAGTGGCAGCTGAGGCTGGTGAGGTCATCTGGCACAAGGGAACAGAGCGCATCCAGCCCGGCGGACACTTTGAGGTCCTCTCTCAGGGTCAGCGGCAGATGCTGCTGATCAAGGGCTTTAGGACAGACGACCAAGGGGAGTACCGCTGTTGTCCCGCCCGGGGTCCGCCCTCCTCAGGGGCTGCCACTTTTAATGGTGAGTCTGGGCTCTGGAGTCGGATGCTGTGGGAGTGGGGAAGGGTTGATTTGGTTTTTCATCTTGGTGTGCTCTGGCCACAAGGCTGAGAGCCCTTTCCAAGACTCCACATGATGTGCAGAGAAACCAAGGCTTGGCCAGGTGAGGCAGGTCTCGTGTGACTGAACTGTGCTGTAGGCCAGCCTCCTGTTCCCGAGTAGGATTGGTGGTGGATTTCTTAGGTCCTGGGACCCCTGCCCACAGGAGTTCTGAGACCTCTTCTGAAGCTACTTGTACTCTGAGCATGTCCTCTTCTCCATCCACTCTGCCTTCCAAGGCACCCCCCACACTGAATACAGTCTGCACCGTGGCATACCCCATCTCTGAGCATCATCCTGAGAGGCTCCCTCTGCACTCTTAGCACCCCCAGATGTTTTGACCCTCTCCTGCTTCCATGTGCCTGAGGTCCTACCCACACTGAGTCTCATGTCCCTTGTCCCATGCTCCCAGACCTCCCCATTGTTCTGAGCCCATCCCCTAACTCAGCGCTCCTGCCCAGAGCCCCTCTGTGCTCTGAGTACCTCCTCCAACCCCTGTATCTGGAGCCACGTGCTACACTGGGGTCTCCTCCTCTTGCTTTCTGAGCCTGCCACAGTGTCAGCATGTCCTCTCTGTGCAGTGCTAATAATGTCCCTGTGACCCTGGGCTCCTGTACCAGCAGCAAGGTGGAAATACACCTAATTTCATTTTGCTGAGCTATTTTCTGTTCTGGTTGAGTGACCGTGTGCCCCTGTCAGGAGGTCGACTGGGGTGGGGGGAGCAAAAATGATGGTGGGGAACTGAGGCTTGGAGCATCTCGGAACAGATAAAGGTTCCTGGTACAAGACAGACAGCAGAGGTCCGGAAGACCGCAGCCAGGTCGTACCCCAGCCAGCAGCAAAAGCAGGCATGGCGTTGCAGCTCTGTCTGACCTCACCCACTGACTGCTCTGTTGCCCTCCTTAGTGGTGATGACCTCAGGCTCTGGGGAGGAGGTCCCCTCGCAGCCCAGCCTGCCTCCTGAGGCAGCCCAGGAGGGTGACCTGCATCTGCTCTGGGAGGCCCTTGCCCGGAAGCGCCGCATGAGCCGGGAGCCCACTCTGGACTCCATCAGTGAACTGCCTGAGGAAGACAGCCGTGTGCAACATCTGCGGCAGGAGGCAGAAGAGACAGCCCCTGACCTCTCTGAGGGTTACTCCACAGCCGACGAGCTAGCACGCACGGGAGAGGCTGACCTCTCACACACCAGCTCTGACGACGAGTCCCGGGCTGGCACCCCTTCCCTAGTTACCTACCTCAAGAAGGCCGGGGGTCCTGGGATCTCACCCCTGGCCAGCAAGGTGAACCTCCTAGTTGACCTGCAAGGAGAGGGCTGGTGGGGTGTGTGTGTGTGTGTGTGTGTGTGTGTGTGTGTGTGTGTGTGTGTGTGTGTCTCAGATCTTCAACATCCACTTCAATGCCTTAATCCCATAACTTATCCATCCATTCATCCATCTCAATACCACCTACCCATATGTGCATAATTGTACCATACAACATCCACTGATTCATGTACCATTCACTCTCCACCTATCCTTGCATCTCTCCATCCATCTGCCTACTTGTCCACTATTTGTAATTCATCCACTCATCTGCCCACTATCCATCACTCCGGCACCTGTTGAATGTTTGGCCACATATCCACCAACCTATCTCCACCCACCTACCCACTAATCTACCATCCATACCTCCTGTACTGATTTTCCAGTTTATTCATTTAGTTTCCCATCTGTTTACCCAGTCACCCTTCATTGCCCACCATCCAACATCCACTTGTTCCTTCACTCATCGATTCATTCATTATCCCCTCACTCACCATTCATTTGCTCATTATTCCTCTATTTGCTCACCTGTTCATTTATTTTTCTGTTGACTTATGTATCCACCATCTACCCAACTATCCCTCCATCCAACCATCCATCCTTCCACTACCCATTCAACCACACAACCCGCCTATTTTTTTTCTTGCATTTTCCATACACCTCCCCACTGACCTACTAAACAGTTACAACTTTTTCCTGAAGAGATGGGCCTGGCCTATCGGGTGTTCCCCAAAATGCTGTTGGTCCCCATCTGGGTCACTGCATACTGTGATTTCTAGGACGAGCCTTTGCTTTGGGGAGCCCAAGTAGCAGGATTCCAGCAAGCACCTGGGCAGCCACTGAGCTTGAGGCAGATGGAATGCTGGAATGGTACTGGGCCTGGAGTGTTGTTGGTCTTAATTTCCCAGCCTTGCTCTGACCTCACATCCTGTGTCCACAGCATGGGGCCCAGGTGGCCACCTCTGTGAAGCCACAAAAGCAGCAGGAGCAAGTAGTGCCCGTGTGCCCGCTGCCAGGAGACTTGAGTGCAGCCGACCTGAAGGATCCGTCCCTGGACAAGGCAGCTGTGAAGATCCAGGCTGCCTTTAAGGGCTACAAAGTGCGGAAGGAGATAAAGCAGCAGGAAGGGCCTGTGTTCTCCCGGACATTTGGGGACACGGAGGCACAGGCTGGGGATGTGCTGCGGCTGGAGTGCGTGGTGGCCAGCAAGGCTGACATGCGGGCCTGCTGGCTGAAGGATGGCATGGAGTTGACCGACGGGCGGCACTACCACATAGACCAGCTCAAGGACGGTACCTGCTCCCTGCTGGTCACTGGCCTGGGCCCCACTGACACTGGCCGGTACACCTGTCAGGTGAGCACCAAGTTCGGCCGTGTGAGCCACAGTGCCTGTGTGGTGGTCAGTGGGACAGAGAGCGAGGCTGAGAGCTCCTCAGGAGGCGAGCTGGACGACGCCTTCCGCCGGGCCGCTCGGCGCCTGCACAGGCTCTTCCGTACCAAGAGCCCAGCTGAGCTTTCCGAGGAGGAACTCTTCCTCAGCGCCGATGAAGGCCCGGCGGAGCCAGAGGAGCCTGCAGACTGGCAGACATACCGAGAGGACGAAAACTTTGTGTGCATCCGCTTTGAGGCACTCGAGGAGGCCCGCCGAGCAGTCACCTGCTTCCGTGACATGTTTGCCACCATGGGCATCGGGGTGGAGATCAGCCTGGGAGAGCAGGGGCCCCGGGGCGTGGAGATGCGCATTGGCAAGGTGGCTCCCACGGTCACCCCTGCGGCGCCGCTGGCAAAGACCCCTGGCCTGCAGACTTCAGATGCTGGTGAGTCCATGGGCTACAGCGGCCTGGGGAACTACAGTTGGCGGAGCTTGGCCTGAGGCAGGGCAGAGGGAGAAGAGGAGGGAGGCTGACTGAGGCAGAACCAGAAGGGAGCTCTGGCTGGTTGTCCCCCAGCCTGGGGGGGTGGGGTGGAGGGGAGCATGGCAAAGCCCTGACTTTGAGGTTAAACAGCTGGTGGTGAACCTCAGCTTTGCCTTTCCCAAGCAGTGTGCATGTTGAGGTCCGTTCCTTACGGTAGTTTCCATGTCAGCTACCGAAAGTAAGACAACCTCACCCGCACCTGAGTCTCTCCTGGGCCACTAGGCAGTGATAATGAAGGACCCTCAGGACTGTGTCTTGAGACTTCTCCCCAGTTTGGGGGTACCTGGGGTTTAAACTTCCAGCCTGTACATCCTTTTCTGTCTGCCCTTTCCAGTTCTGCACTCCTCTGCCTCATTGGGAACCAAGAGAGAATTCTTAAGAGAATAGGGAAGGAGAGGAGCTCGGGGCGTCTAGTTGTGGAGTTTGGGAAACCCCTTATAGGAAAGGCTGCCGTGTCACACCACCCTCTGGTGGCAACCTGCATGTACGTGGTATCTGGTTATGATGGGCATCCATCCCAGGGTTAACGTTGTACCCTCTACCTGCCTGTGCCAGCCCCAGTGTTCCTGACCGAGCTGCAGAACCAAGAAGTGCAGGATGGCTACCCCATGAGCTTCAACTGCGTGGTGACGGGCCAGCCTGTGCCCAGTGTGCGCTGGTTCAAGGACGGGAAGCTGCTGGAGGAGGATGACCATTACATGATCAATGAGGACCAACAGGGCGGGCACCAGCTCATCATCACGGCGGTGGTGCCGGCAGACATGGGTGTCTACCGCTGCCTGGCGGAGAACAGCGTGGGAGTCTCCTCCACCAAGGCGGAGCTTCGTGTGGAGCGTGAGTGCCGGCCTGAGCTGGGTGTCTCCAGGGTGGCCTGGGTGTGGTCTGACCACCTCCAGAAGGCTCTGCCTCCTAATACCAATACCACACTGATGGTTTTCTTTTCTTTTTACATTGTGCGTGTGTGCATGTGTGCGTGTGTGCGTGTGTGTGTGTGTGTGTGTGTGTGTGTGTGTGTGTGTGTGTGTGCGCCATGACACTTGTATGGCGTTCAGAGGACAGTTCGTGAGAGTCGGTTCTCTCCTTCCACCATGTGGCTTCCAAGGATTGGACTCAGGTCACTAGGCTTGGTGGCAAGCACCTTTACCTGCTGAGCCATCTGGCCAGCCCAAGATTAATGTTTCAACACATGCATTTGTGGGACACGAGCGTTGGATGTGTGACAGCATACAGCAGAGAGATCTAGTCTCTCTTGCTATATCCTGATGGGTAGTCCTCAGCTGGTGGTTTCGAGGCCAGCATCTCTTTAAGCCCTCATGGTACTGTAAGATGGAACTGGAAGGTGCTGCCCGAGCTGCTGTAATTCACGAAGACCTGCAATTTGTGTGACACCGATAGTTTGTTGGGCCAAAGAGGCCTGCAGTTAGTCGTAGCCTGGAAGTGTTGCCCGGTCACGGGCTGGGACAGGGAGGGTGTAGGAAGCTGCTGCCCTTCTCCATGCTGAGTGCAGGTAGCTCCCCTCAAGGCTGCATGGTCAGAGCCTCACAGGGCCAAGGTGGTCCTAGTGCATGTGTTTTAGGCCTTGTCCCTGAATCACCCTTTCCTCTCCAGTGACCAGCACAGACTATGATACCGCAGCAGACGCTACTGAGACCTCATCATACTTCAGTGCCCAGGGATACCTGTCCAGGTGGGGTCCCTCAGAGATGGCAAGGTCCAGTGACTGACTCTCCCAGGGTCTCTGAGGAGGCATCCATGCCCTGCTACCTGGGGCAGGGGGTTAGGGTACTTGGATTGACAAGACAAATCCTGGGGACGTCCACCAGGCTCCGGTGGCTTTGCTTCCTCTGTCCCTCGGTTCAGGAACCTTCAGTGTCCCTGCATGGCTGACCTCACTCCCGTGGCCCTCCTGCCTTGAACCTTCTTACTTGTTGCTTTATGGGCGTCCCCTTGTCTGTCCTTCCCGACAGCCGGGAGCAAGAGGGAACCGAGTCAGATGAGGGGCAGCTTCCCCAGGTGTTGGAGGAGCTGAAAGACCTCCAAGTGGCCCCTGGCACACGCCTGGCCAAATTCCAGCTCAAGGTGAAAGGTGAGGAGCTGGCAAGGAAGCCTCACTGCCTCACTGAACAGAGGCCAAGCCCTACCAGCCAGTCGGGAGGGGACCCCAGCCAGCCGTGCGTGGGTGGGTATGTGTGAGTCCTCTCTGGATAAGGAGGCCAGCACCCTTTGGTCTCTGAGGGACCTCTGCTCTGGGTCTTCTGTCGTCAACGACCACCTGCCTTTGTGTCCTCAGGCTATCCAGCCCCCAAACTGTACTGGTTCAAAGATGGCCGGCCCCTGACCACATCTGCCCACATCCGCATGACTGACAAGAAGACCCTGCACACCCTGGAGATTGTCTCAATCACCCCAGAGGACAGCGGCCAGTATGCGGCCTACATCAGCAATGCTGTGGGTGCTGCTTATTCATCGGCCCGGCTGCTGGTCCGAGGTGGGTGCCCCGAAAGACTGGACAGGGCTGACTTGCAAGCCCTGTCAGACTTGAGGCCAAGGCTCTGTGGTCATTGCTTCAGTGAGCAGAGACTCAGGTAGCTGGAGGTCATCCCTTCAGGGAACGGGTGACCATGGTGGCCTTGAGGCTCCTTCTTCCTGAACATGGGAAGCGAATTCCAAACTTGAACCTAACCTATCTTGCTGTGAGGGACCCAGTGCTTCCTGTGGCCTCTTCTGCCAGGGCTTGGAAGATGTGGCTCCCTAAGCTGCTGGGTTGTGCACATGCCCATGCATTTGGTTGCAGATCAAGGCCGCAGGTCTGGGGAGTCTGGGGGTAACAAGAATGGGTAGCAGTATGTCATCTGTCAGGTCTGTGTGGCCTGTGGCCATCCTCATGCTGAGTGGTGAGTTCCGTAGCTCTCTGAGGTTTCAAGAGGTTTGGCTGTCTTTGCCCTGGCAGTGGGGCTACCAGGACAGAGCACCTGTGAGTGCTGTGTGTCTGGCTCTCTCTGTGTTTTCAGGTCCCAGTGAACCAGAAGAGAAGCCAGCACCAGGTGAGATAGCCCCAGATGGGCATGAGTGGGTGGCAGACCACGGGCAGGAAGCCAGAATGGATGGACCTGGGGTTGGCTGCCATGCAAGTGTGGATGGCCAGTGGGCATAGGTTTCGGGGGATCCTCTGGGATTAGGACACTGGGGTGGGTTGTTTTTTATGTCAGGGGGTCCCTGTGGGTTGGCTGTGTCATTCCAGATGTGCATGAGCGACTGGTGCCTCCCCGGATCCTGGAGAAGTTCACCCCCAAGAAAGTGAAGAGGGGTTCCAGCGTCACCTTTTCAGTGAAGGTGGAAGGTGAGGCGACTCTCAGAGAGAGGCTGATGGCCACACGCAATACTCTGGCCCTGGGTGAGGGTTCCTGGTGGTGTTCTGTCTCTGTCAGGGATGGACTCCCTGCCCTCTGTCCCTTAGGACACCCAGCCCCCACTGTGCATTGGCTCAAGGAGGAGGCAGAGAAGGGAGTACTGTGGATTGGCCCTGATACCCCTGGCTACACCATGGCCAGCTCTGGCAAGCAGCATAGCCTGGTCCTGCTGGACGTGGGCCGACAGCACCACGGCACCTACACGTGCATCACCACCAACGCTGCTGGCCAGGCGCTCTGCTCTGCCAGCCTGCACGTCTCTGGCTGTGAGTGGAGGGTCCGGGGGCAAGGCAGGTACATGTGAATAGGAGGGGCACCCGAGCAGGAGAGTGCAGACTCAGGGACTCCTTAGGCGGGCATGTTGACCTTCAACATTGGTGTTTTTCATACTCCCACAGTATCAGGAAACCTCCAGAGTCTCATGGGTGCAGGTGGCGTGGGGCTTCAGAGTCTCTCAGGTCCAGCACTCACCCTGCTCTGTATGTGGGGAGGGGGAGGTCTCTAGGGTGAGCTGAACTCTTTGCTCCAGGGCCTTACTCAACCCCCTGTGGGCTGGCACTCTGAGGGTAGACTCATGTTCTTGGTTACCATTGAGGAGACCATGGTCAGGAGCCGGGGAGTACCATTTCGGAACAGTCCCCGCTCAGGGCTCAGAGGACAGAGTCCAGGGTCCTGGGACAGCTCAGGTATATCCTGAGTATCTGAACCTGAAGCGTCAGGATCCAGGAGCTCATGCTGATGGCTCTCCCCTCTCTCAACAGTGGCCAAAGAGGAAGAGCAGGAGAGTGTGAAGGAGGCTCTCATTTCTTCCTTCTTGCGGGGGTGAGTTGATGCTATCCAGAGGCCCTAGGCCAAGATCACAGACTAGGTCTGGGAACTGGAAACAGGACAGCTGTGGTGCCCGTGGGGACCACCCTGTCCTGCAGATAGACCACTTCAGGCTTGCACAGGCTGTGTACTTAGGCCCGCCCTTTTCCCTCCCATGCCTCAGTTTCCCCAGAATAGAATGAGAGTTTCCCAGGATCCCTCTGATGTGGAGATGATGACTGGTGTCCTGGAGCCTTGCCTCCAGACCCTCTTCCTATCAGGAGCCCCAGGGTGGGAAGGTGGAAGGTGGTGGTAGCTCCAACCTCAGGCCTCTCAGGATGTCCCTGTCTCCACAGGACAAGCCAAGCTGTCTCAGCCCAGATGGTGGAATCTGCGGGTTTTGCTGATCTTGCTGCACAAAGGAGAGGTACAGGTGGAATGGGGTTGCTGAGCACCCTTCACCCCGAGCCAGGCCAGGGGAAAAGGAAGCTGCTGGCCACGGTGCTGGGTCAGGGGTCTCCACACTCCTGTGGGCGGAGCTCGGGTTGGAGTCAGAGGCATTTATGACCTCTGTGGATCTGGGAGCCTATGGGATCCCAAGGGAAGCCTTGCCTAGATGCAGAGCTCACATGCAGTGGGCTGTGGAGGCCAGCAAGCCAGGTACCAGGAGCAGAGGTGGCGTGAGCCATATTCCAGGTCCTCCACAGCCTGATAACCGAGGTCTGACCCCTCTGAAGCTTTGTCTCTTCTGTTCACCCTCTACACTGTAGCCATGCTGGCCACCTGCTGGTGGATCCACCGTCCACAGGCTTCCTGTTGTTTAACTGTGCCTGCTGCTCCCTAGTAACTGTCTGGACCTTGGCTGTGCTGTCCATTTTCCCCGATCGGCTGCTGTCCCTTGACTGCCCAGTGGGGACCCTGCTGATCCTTAGCCACCCCCAGTGTTCCTCAGCTGCATCTACTGTGTCCCCTCCCTCTGGACTTGTTTCCTCTTGTTCTCAACCACACTGGCTACCTCTTGGCTCAGACCACAGCAGGCCTTCTGTGACTTCATATGGCCAACCTCAACACCCCTGTCCTCAAGGCTGGTCTCCTTTCCAGACCCCAGCGCCATTAGGAAGCCTGGTCTTGTGTGCCTGGCATCCCTCAGGGCTAAAGATGAGCCTGGAGTGTAGGGAGTACTCAGTAGACATCCGGGAGAGGATGGATGATTGAGGGTCACTTTTGCCACCCCAGGGGAGTCCCTGGTAGCTGAAGAGGCCCACGGTCACCTGTCCCTCGCTGAGGTGGGCACAGAAGAGTTCCTGCAGAAACTCACCTCACAGATCACTGAGATGGTATCAGCCAAGATCTCACAAGGTGAGGTGCTAGTGTGTGTCTCAAGGGGGTGGTGGGGCCAAAGGGCACTTGTGCAGGGGCAGAGGCTCCCCTGCCTCCATGGTCTAGAAACTGCCCGGATACTGGGGGGCATCACAACCCTTGTGCCCATCCAGCCAAGCTCCAGGTGCCGGGAGGCGACAGCGACGAGGAGTCCAAGACGCCATCTGCTTCTCCTCGGCATGGCCGGTCTCGCCCTTCCTCCAGTGTCCAAGAATCCTCTTCAGAGTCAGAGGATGGGGACTCCCGTGGTGAGGTAGGTGGGCCAGGACCCTGGGGGAACATTCTGGGGAGGGGGCTCCTGGAGAGAAGACAGAGGAATGAGAGGTACAGGGGCAGAATCCCAGGGAGGTCTTGGAAAGTGAGTGCACCACACAGGCCATCAGGAGACCAGCTGAAGGGCGGGGCGGTGTCTGCCTTCTGCTCCCAAGACATACCGGAGGCAGGAACTGGTGAGGGACTAGGTCCATTCTTCGGGGATTCCTGGAGAGTGCTTCTTCTGAGTCCTCCTCACTCCTTTCCATCTACCCTTCTCCCACCCGACCTCTCCCTCTGCTGTAGTAGGCACCCTGTTAGGTCCCAGGTGGCAGGTGGACACGTGATGAGATGTGACCAAGTAGTATAGACAGCGCCAACTAGAGGCCCCAGGGTGTGGTGCTTTCTTTTGGGGGAAGCCAAGGGAGAATATCCACATTCCTACCATTTGTGTGGGATTGGGAGCCAGCAGCTGCACTAAATGTCCCCAAGACCCATGTCCTGCATTCGGGGACTTGACAGGCTTGGCTGATACCTTCTTGGGTCACCCAACTCAGCCTCTTTCCCAGGGTTCTCATCCTCCCTTCTCTGGTGGCTGCTGGGGGCCCTTGACAGGCCGGCTCTATCCCCCAGCTCATTTCCTCTCCTTGCCCAACCAGATCTTTGACATTTATGTGGTCACAGCCGACTATCTGCCCCTGGGGGCTGAGCAGGACGCCATCATTCTGAGAGAAGGCCAGTATGTGGAGGTCCTGGATTCAGCCCATCCCCTGCGCTGGCTTGTACGCACCAAGCCCACCAAATCCAGCCCTTCTAGGCAGGGCTGGGTGTCGCCTGCCTACCTGGACAAGAGGCTCAAGGTACTTGGCTGGGGGGACTCAGGGGAGAGGGTCTTAAGGTCACCGGCCCAGAGGATTCTGGCACTGTTTTTTCCATTTGGAGGATAGGAGCCCCCGGCCTGCATAGGGGCGGAGCCAGGGCTCAGCCCACCTCTGACAGATGCCTGTTTCTCACCAGCTGTCTCCTGAGTGGGGGCCCACTGAGGCCCCTGAGTTCCCTGGGGAGGCTGTGTCTGAGGATGAGTATAGAATGAGACTGAGGTGAGTTTTTGGTAGAGCTTCCCTGGCTGGCCCACTGCTCATGGAGACCTGTTGCCTGCCCTCTTTTAGGGTCCAAATGGAGTTCTGATCTGCTGCTTTTATGGGGGCCTGTGAATGCCTAATCTGTATCTGGGATGGGTAGGGGCAGAGAAGAGAGTGGGCACCAGTTTGACATTGATTCCTGGTCCTCACGTGGGCTGTGCCAGGTTACTTCCTTGTGGGGGGCAGGGGCAGTTGTGTGGAGGAGTGGCTCCTCCCAGGGACTCCTCATCCCCTCTCTGAAAGTCGACAGCAGGATGCTGGTAGCAAGAAGTTGAGGGAATGGGGGATACGAGAGAGTACAGTCCTGTAACAACGCTGTTCCCAGGGCCTTGGAAGGGGCAGGAGCCTGTGGCCACTGGAGCACCCGAGTACCCCCTCATGGCTTCTCTTCCTGCCAGCTCTGTCATCCAGGAGTTGCTGAGCTCAGAGCAGGCTTTCGTGGGTGAGCTGCAGTTCTTGGAAAGTCACCACATGAAGCACCTGGACCGATCTCCCCGTGTGCCTACAGCTGTGGCCAGCCAGAAGACAGTCATCTTCCGTAACGTGCAGGACATCAGCCATTTCCACAGCAGGTGGGAGGGTGGGGCTGCATGCATGCACACGTGTATGTGAGCACACGGCCCCTGCTTGCAGGCCAGGCCTCATGGCGGGTGGGCAGGAACTGAGGAAGGGGCAAGCCTGTGCTAGTGTGTCACAAGGCAGACCTTCCCTTACTGTGTATCTGGCTTAAGCGGGGTAAAGCCTGCAGTATGCTTGACTAGGGTGTGCACTATGCATGTAGACTCTCATGTGCAGGCATACACACACGTGTATACATGTGTGTATGCATAGCTGCCACACTGTGCATGCTCATGTGCTTGATGTGTATGTGCATATTTGCACACATATGCACACCCATACTTACGTCCCTGCTTATGGAGATACATAACATTTCATATCCAGTAACATTTATATGCCTCACATGCTAACGTGTGCACACATATGGGTTTCTATGCATGTGCACTGTCACACAAGACATACAAGTACACATGAGCATATATATGTACTCACCTGTACCAAGATGCATGCACACCACAAATGTGCACACTACATTGCACATATACAATGTTTGCACAGCTGTGTGTTCACAAATGTGCACGTTTATGTGTATATGCATGCATGCTTTTAGAAAACTTACGTACGTATGCACCCACATATGAACGCTCTTGTATACATGCACGCATAGTATATGTCGTCCTTGTACATGGGCAGATGGGCACACAACCATGCACTTCTTGCACACATAACAACATACTCTATCACAGGGCTCAGGCCCTGATTAGTTAGGATCCTGGCCTTCTCCTAGAGGAGAGGGTCTGGAGCTGGTTGGTGGAGGGAGGTGCTGACACTGTCCCCTTTGTGGCAGCTTCTTGAAGGAGCTGCAGTCCTGTGACACCGATGACGATGTGGCCATGTGCTTCATCAAGAACCAGGAGGCCTTTGAGAAGTACCTTGAGTTCCTGGTGGGCCGCGTGCAAGCCGAGTCAGTGGTTGTCAGCACCCCGGTCCAGGAGTTCTACAAGGTGCTTCCTGCCCGTCACAAGCCCACCCACCCTGCTTGCTCCTAGACCCTAGTTGTTGCCCTCTGAGGTGTGGCTCCACTGGTCCACGTGGCCAGCCCAAGTTCATCTTCCTCAACCCACGTGAATGCATGCCCACCACCTGCCTGGGCCCTGGCTCAGTGGGAAATGCAACAGGAGTAACCGCAGCTCTGTATGCCTCGGCTGTTACTTAAGCTGCCCAAGCCCTGTGCCACCACCAGTGAGATGGTGACCCAGTGTCCCTTGTGCGGGGCTGTGTGTGTTGGCACCCTTGGTATCATCCTCTAGCTCTCGGGACATAGCCATGCCCGGGTGGCTGTGTCACCCCTGGAGTGACTCTAGTCACCAAGGGACCATGCATTCATGCACAAAACCACTTTCGTGGTTCCTACAGAAATATGCAGAAGAGACACTGTCGGCCAAGGACCCCACGCAGCCACCCCCACCTCCACTTCAGCATTACCTGGAGCAGCCAGTGGAGCGGGTGCAGAAATACCAGGCCTTGCTGAAGGTGACATGCTCCAGCCTCCTCTGTGCAGGCTGCATCGGTGGGGGGAGAGGGGATTCCTGGGTTCAGAGCATCCTGGATCTGTGACTCTTGACCCTCACCCCAGGAGTTAATCCGCAACAAGGCCCGCAACCGACAGAACTGCGCGCTGCTGGAGCAGGCCTATGCTGTGGTGTCTGCCCTGCCTCAGCGTGCCGAGAATAAGCTGCATGTGTCACTCATGGAGAACTACCCAGGAACCCTGGAGGCCCTGGGAGAACCTATCCGCCAGGTGGGGCTGTGGATACTGAGGGTGGGGTACTGTGGGAGGCTTTTGGAGGTGGGAGCTCCATGTGGATGACCGCGTGACTTTGGTGGGGAGCTGGATATGTGGCTGTCAGTGGGGCCCGCATCCACGGGGGAGGCTTGGTTAACCAGAGCCCATCCACACCTCCAGGGCCACTTCATAGTGTGGGAGGGGGCACCAGGGGCCCGGATGCCTTGGAAGGGCCACAACCGGCATGTCTTCCTCTTCCGAAACCATCTGGTGATCTGCAAGCCCCGGAGAGACTCTCGAACGGACACCTTCAGTTATGTGTTCCGGAACATGATGAAGGTCTGTGTGTGCAGGGGTGCCAAGGGCTCTGTAGGGCAAGCGAATGTGCCGTGGGTGGAGGTCCGTTTGCCTCTCAGGCTTCAGAGTGGATGCTGGTGGCCAGTCCCTCGGCCACTGTTCCGGGGTAACTTAAGTGTCTTCCTCCTGGGTCCTACATCATCTGAGGGTGGTCACATCCTCCTTACCGAGATCCTCTCCCCACAGCTGAGTAGCATCGACCTGAATGACCAGGTTGAGGGGGATGACCGTGCCTTTGAGGTATGGCATGAACGGGAGGACTCTGTGCGCAAGTACCTGCTCCAGGCACGGACAGTCATCATCAAGAACTCATGGGTGAAGGAGATCTGTGGCATCCAGCAGCGCCTGGCCCAGCCTGTGTGGCGTGAGTGTCCTTTGGTGGGCCGTCGCGGTCAGGATAGGATGGGGACATGACCCTTTCTTTACCCTGGTTGTCCAGCTGGGCTGCACCCAGGCTGTGGAGACCCTGAGTCTCAGGTAGTTGGGTGGCACTGCCTTGGCCCTTGCCTTCTGGGCATGAGGGAGTGCTTTTGGGAGCAGAGGGATCCACGCCGTCCTGTCAGCTCTGGGTGGGATATAACAACCGCACCCTCACAGGGAAATCCAGGTGGAGTATCAGGTTACCCCTGACCAGGGAGAGGACACTTGGGGACATGGTAGGAAGCTCCCACACAGAGATCCCAAGCTCAGGACATCCATCTGGATTCTGCAAGATGTAGGGGAATCTTGCACCCTGGATCAGCCTTCCTCATCCAGAACAAAAACATACCATCCAGTGTTTTTAAAAATTAATTAATTAGCCAGGTGGTGGTGGCGGCACACACCTTTAATGCTAGCACTTGGGAGGCAGAGGCAGGTGGATCTCTGTGAGTTTGAGGCCAGCCTGGCCTACAGAGTGAGCTCCAGGACAGCCAGGAGTGTTACACAGAGAAACCCTGTCTTGAAAAAAATATTAACCTTTGGTGGTATATGTATGTGTTTACATGTGAATGTACACATGTGTGTGTTGGTGTGTGGGCCTGTGTACATGGATCCGGAGCAGGATAGCAGGTGTTCCGTTCAGCCACTCTCTGCCTTATTTCTTTGAGTTAGGGTTTCTCGCTGAATCTGGAGCTTACTTTTTTTGGTGGAGGCTGGCTGGCCAATGAGCTCCAGGGATCTGCTTGTCTCTTCCTCCACAATGCTGGGGATGCAGTCACGTGAGGCTGTGACCTCATGTGGATGATGGGGATTCAAACTCAGGTCCCCATGCTTGCACAGCAAATGCTCTTACCCGCTGAGGAATCTCCCCAAACTCTTCATTTTTTTTTTTTTTTTTTTTACCACGGTCCCACCCCTTCCCACTGTGCATCCAATTTCCCTCACTCACCTTTGATCCTAAGTTGGGACCCCAGACGGTAGCAGCCACACTGTGAGACATGGAGGGCTAGCACTGGGTTGGGAAACCTGCCAGGGTGTATGCAATTAAGACCATAGGCCTGACCTGCTGTACACATAACACGGAGACCTCCTTATGTATCCTCAGGTCCCCCTGATTTTGAAGAGGAATTGGCTGATTGCACCGCTGAGCTGGGGGAAACAGTCAAGCTGGCATGCCGAGTGACTGGCACACCTAAGCCTGTTGTCAGCTGGTACAAAGGTACCCAGGGACGAGGGTCTCCAGCCTTACTGTGGGGAGCTGGCTCTGCAATGGGAAGAACTTCCTGAGAATGTGGAATCTGCCCAGTGGCGGTACATGAGGCCTGAGAGGCAGGAGACAGGTCCTGATCAAGAGGGTGATGAGGTAGGATAGGAGACAGGTGATGGATAAATAAATCTAAAGCCAGACAGTGTTGTGGCTATCCAGAAGACATTGGCTTGGGGCAATGACAAGAAGCAGGACAGGCCTCTGAGATGACAGGTCTAAAAGCTTCTCCATGAGTGAGAGACAGACATGAGAGCCTGGATAAGCAATAGCCATGACACTGAGGAGCAGCTCTGGTCAACAAGTCACATGTCACAACAAGCTCAAAGTCACATGAGGAAGTAGAGCTATGCGGATGGAGGGGGCTTAAGACAGTGCTGGGGCTGAGGGTCATGCTGCACGCGCCTCACTCAGCTGTGATGGGAGGAGCTGCGAAAGTCAGAGTCTCCAACCAGCCTCACCACTGACACCACCTGCACGTTTGGGTTCCCTAGAACCTTTACTCCTCATATCAATTGTGGCTCGAAAGGTCCTCAAGAGCACCTGGTTTTCTGATGCCAATTCAGAGGTCTCCAGGAGCACCCACAATTCTGATGCCAAGTTTGGGGATCCCCAGAGCCCTCCCACTTAACACCAGCTGCAGGCTCAAAGTCCCAGGAGCCTCTTCCAGTTTAATCCTTCACTCCGTGGACTCCCTGGAATTCAGCAGAGCTGTTCCGTTCAGGGTTGTGTTTTACTGCAGCGGAAGGGGCCAGACTGAAGTCAGCTGGGCAGGGTCCATGAGTTGCCATGTGTAAGTTCCCATTTATCCCTCCCAGTGGAATCATGTGGCCAGCTCCCTCGTCCCCCAGCATCAGTGCGTGATACAGAGAGGGAGAGAGCACTGTTAGTCAGGAAGCTCACTGAGCCTTCCAGTTCAGGTCATGAACTGGGTCTGCGTCAGTGGCCGTGCTTGACTTCTCACATGGCCAACCCAGTCTGAAGTCACATTGATACTGCCAGAGCCCAGAGTGCCCACCACAGACACTGTTAACATCAGGTATCTGTGAGGCCTAGAGCTTGTACTATGGACTCTAGCATTAGTGATCCCATGGGTCCTCTGACTTCCAGAGTCTGGAGAGATGAGGAACAGCGAGCAGCGAGAGAGAGAGAGAGAGAGAGAGAGAGAGAGAGAGAGAGAGAGAGAGAGAGAGAGAGAGACATAGAGACAGAGACACAGAGGCAGAGACAGAGACAGAGAGACACACAGAGAGAGGACCCTCAGCAAGGGTAAGGGCAGATGACCAGCTTGACAGTGACCATCACCTACAACCAGACTGAAATGTGCCTTTATGCCCACCCACCTACCCGTAGACCGCCCCATCACAGATCATACACACACTGCACATACTTGTATGTACATGGCACACATATGTAACTTGAGCATTACACCAGTGCATACTGAAACATGCCACATGCATGAATATAATGCAAAAGTACACGCTAGACACTCTTATATGCATGGATATACACTAGCACATGTACACATAGACACAGATAATACATATATTCATATGTTTACTACACAGGTGTATACACAGACAGTACACATGTATACAAACACACTACAGACATTTACACATGCACACATACATAAACACTTTAAATATATACATACACAGACATACCACAGACATACACAGATGCATGCACACATACACGTAAGCCCCAAGGTCTAGTGTAGTGGGTAGTGTTCCAGCTTTGACCTGGAAGTACTACCCCCAGTGAGGCTTCTGGTAACTGTCACACCTACCTATGACCAGCTCCTGAGGCAGGGCCAAGATGGGAGCCCTTAAGACGCGAGATCTGGATGTGCCAGCTCTGTTGGTTCCTGGTGATCCTGGACGCTGAATGGTAGACCGAGTGGAGTTCTCCAGAGACTCCTGAGACTCCTGGCTGGCTCGCCAGCCAGGGCGGTGGTGACGCACGCCTTTAATCCCAGCACTCGGGAGGCAGATCTCTGTGAGTTCGAGCCCAGCCTGGGCTACAGAGTGAGTTCCAGGATAGGCTCCAAAGCTACAGAGAAACCCTGTCTTGAAAAACCCAAATAAATAAATAAATAAATAAATAAATAAATAAATAAATAAATAAATAAATAAATAAATAAATATAAAATTGGGAGAAGGTACCACGTGATCCCTCCTCTTCTCCTATCTAGGACAAAGACACTTTTGTTCCTGTGATACCACAGACAGTAGCATCCTGAATCATGCCTAGTTCGTATTGGGCTGTGAGAATAGAGGGACACATGGCCGGCTCCTGGTGGTGACTTGAGAGAGCTGCCCTGGGTGTCATCTCTTGGTTCTAGAGAAGACCACTTGTGACCACTGCTCCTGCGGCTGGAGGGTCTTCACAGCCACCTCCCTCTAGCTGCACAGAACCTGCTCCTTTACCCATCCATCCATCCCTCCTTACATCCAGAGGTCAAGTGTAGGGGGATAAACACGTTTTCATCAAAACAAGCCAGAGGTCAGCTTGAGCCCCTGGCGCTCCGTCTCTCTTGCCTGGGTTGTTAGGAGGAAAGTGAAGCCTGTGGCCAGGCCCTGCCCGCTCCTCCAGTAAGGAGCCTGGAGGAGAAGAGACAGTCTTTTGTGGAGAGGGGACAACCACTTTCAGTGACCCAAAAAACCTTCATGAGGTGCATGGACCAGAGGACAAAGGGACAGTCAGGTCCCGGAGTGGCTATTGTGAGTGGTCATCAGATGGTAGGAGGCTCACATGGCGCCACGTGGCTCATGTTGGCCACATTCATTGACTGGAAGCAGTATGGCTGGTTTCACCGGACCATCTGCCAGGGTGAGGGTATGGGTACCCCACCCCGGTCGATGTAGCCATGCTCTCTGTAGACGTGAGAGCATCTCTCAATAGCCTTCTGTCCAGCATGTAGCATAGCTTTGTGTCTGTCAAGCTGGGGGTGGGTCAAAGTGGTGTTGTGTTGTCATGGCCCCATACAAGAGTCCTGGTGGTCTGGGTGAGGTGTCCTCAGTTTGTTGGGTGTTTATCTTTATTTGATCTATGCTCTGTGGCCCCAAAGAGGGACTCCTTTAACCTGCCACTCTAGCTGTTTACATGGCAAAACAAACGGCTGGTTTAATAAGAATACAATCGGCTTCACAAAGAGTAGCATGGGGCACGCTCTAAGAGTGGCCTTGAACTCTGCCCACGAACAAAGGACGACACCTCTGCCCAGCTCAGAGCTCTGTGTGCTGCTGCCTTTCTGCTTACCTGGACAACGAATGATTCATGGATCCAGACCCTCTTGTTCATGTGAATTTGGCAAATCGGTTCCTTCCATTTGCTGAGTGAGGCTGGCTGGACACTGCTTGTCATGGACGGCATCCAAACTGTCTCATCATAGAATGGACACATAGGACATCACCGAATTGAGTGTCTGGTTTCCATCAGAGCCCCCACAACATGCAAAGACTTGATTTTTTGAAAGAGATGTCTCTAGTGGCCATGTTGGAAAGAGGTCAGATCCAAACCCCAAGCTGAGCCTCCTCCGCCAGAGACTTCAGTTGGCAAAGTGATGAGTCTCAGAAACTTCAAGTTTGCCCAAGACCATGCAGAAGTCTGCTGACGTTAGAGCTTCAGTTTTCTGTTGCTGTAACAAAGTGCCAGAGTCTGTATTCTTTATAAACTAAAGAGATTTCTTTTGATATCAGGGTTTGGAGGCTGAAAGTCCTCAAAGTATAGTGTCACCTGGCGAGGCTCCTCTTGGCTGGCTGCGATACAGTGTGGCAGCGGGCATCGTGGTGGGATATGTGTTAGTTGGAGGGAGCAATCACGGAGGACAGGAAGGAAGAGGTGCTCCGGCTGGGTTTGCTCTCTGAATAACTCTTGAAAAATTGAGTTACACTTAGAGACCAGCATCAATCCCTTCTCAAGTCACTGTCCTCAGCGGCTTGACCCACTTCACCTAGAGCCCTCCACTAAAGAGGTTCTACCTCCTCAACATCAACTATGGAGATGAAGCTTCCACCACAGAACTCCAGGGGACCCACACTGAAACCATAGCAGTGTTCAAGGGAATCCCACCCATGGGAGAGTCCAGAAGGTCGGCTGCAAGCTGCAGCGCTCTGGGAAGCCCTCGGGCCAACGCTAAACTGACTGGCTGAGACCAAGGAGAAGATACAGGTGGGACACACACTGTCCCCAGGGTCCAAGAGTCCTCTAAGGCATTCTCCCATGGAGGACTCAAAAGACAAAGATGGGTTGTTGTGGATGCGGGTGTAATTCCGAGACACTCCACACTGGGAACAGAACCCTGAATCTTAGGTTTCTCAGCCAGCCCTGCTGGTGGAGTGCAACACTCAAGCCTGGGCATCTGAGATGGATGCTTCTAACTTACGAACCAGAAGAGCACTGAGTGAGCAGAAACGGACTGTCAAAGGACCTTGAAGGTCAGAGTGCTGAGTCCAGACTTAGAGGTGCCATGGATGTATGTGACAGACCTTGCCTTGTGAACTCAAAAGGATTTTGGCTGTTATTGTCCAAGACAAAAGAGGAGTCATATCTGGTGTCCCTAAGATGGCCCATCAGGAGCTGCCAGTCTCACTGAGGATGTCCACACCAGCTGGAGCTACATGAGCAGTGCCTGATCTGACTGAACCAATTCATCTCCTGTAGCTAGCTTCTTGCCACCATCCAAGGTCACCAAGTATGACTTGACCTCCAATGATCCTTGGACTCTTTTCCCTCCTGGGTTCTGTGCTGCCTGTCAGCCAATCTGGGAACCGACAAGGAGACTGGGCTGGGCTGGGCTGGGCAGCAGTTACTTCCTCTGCTGCCAACTTTCTACATGGAGTCCATCCCCTCTGGGGACAGCCTGCCCACAGTGGAGAGCTACAAACATACTGAGCACTCAGAAGTAGAAGGCAAGGCTGTGGTACCCAAAGGGTGCCTCCCAGTGTCTGATTGGGTGGCAAAGAGATGTGACATCTGTGTCTGGCAGAGCTGAGAAGCTGACATTCTTTCTCAAGGTCCCCACATGCTATATACAATGGATTCCAGTCCCTCTGGGTCCATGGAGACACAGTCAGAATCATTGTGATAATGTGGATGTGTTTAGTTTTACTTGTTTTGAAATATTAAGGGGTGTGGATTCTCTATGGCAAAGTACCTGCCCCTCCCCATTGCTCTCTCATGAAAGAAGCAGGCTTGCCTGAGATGTTTAGGTGGATGTTTATATGATGACTTAGCCTTCAAATATAAGTATAAATATATATATATATATATATATATATATATATATATATATATATATATATATAGAGAGAGAGAGAGAGAGAGAGAGAGAGAGAGAGAGAGAGAGAGGGTGTAGCAGCCCTGGCTGTCCTAGAACTTGCTTTGTAGACCAGGCTGGTCTCAAACTCACAGAGATCTACCTGCCTCTGCCTCTGCCTCCGCCTCCCAAGTGTTGGGATGAAGATGGGTACCACCATGCCCAGCCTAGCCTTCGAATCTTTTATCACGAGCTGTCATTTCTTTCACTACCGTTTCAGAATTTATTTCCAGCTTTCAAATGTGTTTTAAAAGGCGATGATCGAAAAGATAGGTGTCTGGCATGTTCATCCGCTGCAGGTGGCTCCAGGGTGCCTCCCTTTAGGATGAGTGGGGACAACTTGCAGGAGACACGTTTTCCCCAAACGGAGAGGGGAGGTTCTGGCTCCTCATGTCTGAGGAAAGGCACAAGGGTGTGGCCTGGGAGGGGGGACCCTCTGGACAGGCCTGGTACTGAGGTCTGAGCTGTCTGCTTGGGATGGTCTCCACTTGCTCAGGGCAAACCCTGGGTGCTTGTCTTGCTACTGGGGCTGGCTGGCTGCAGGACAGGGTCAGATGTGGAGAGAGGTAGGGCGGTTCGGGAATGGCTCATGCGGGCTTTAGGTCTTCAGGGTGGAGGCGATTGAGGGAAGGGGAGTTCACATCAAGTATGCTGGGCGTTGTCGCCATGCAAGATGCTCGGAAGAGGTGCAGCCATTGAGGAGATGGAGTGACTAAAGCCAGCAGTGCTTACTGAGCGCCTTCTCCAGTTCAGACCCTTTCGCCCCACCCTCTGTTCCTAGAATGTTGAAGTTGGACAGAGACAGATATCTGAGTCAGGGCCCTTGTGGAAAGACACTCAGAAAAAGAGACAGAGAGACAGACCGAGAGAGGGGTGGATAGAGAGAGAGGAGAGAGAGAGAGACAGACAGAGACAGAGACACAGAGACAGAGAGACAGAGACAGAGAGAAGAGGTTGCATCCAGCCTCTTATTCCCAGGCCTCAGCCTTTGGGACCTTATTCCATGAAATCCTGCCTCTGCTTTCCAGATGGGAAGCCGGTGGAGGTGGACCCACACCACATCCTCATCGAAGACCCTGATGGCTCCTGCACCCTCATCTTGGACAACCTGACGGGTGTCGACTCTGGCCAGTACATGTGTTTTGCGGCCAGTGCAGCTGGCAATGCCAGCACCTTGGGGAAGATTCTAGTACAAGGTGAGCAGAGTGGGTTGTCTGGTGTGCTGGACACCCCACCAATAGTGTGGACTCCATCCAGAGTACAGGCTGTGGTAGGGCTGGCGTGTGGGGTGGGCCTGCAGGTGGAGCAGGCCTGGGGACTTGGGGCCTCCCAGAAACTCCCAGAGGAAGGCCACTGCTGGAAGTGGGGACACCACTGTCCCCACCCCAGCACTCCCTCAGCTCCATCCCAGATATGTCTCTGTCTTTCCTGTCCCTGCCTGCCTCTGCCCACAGTGCCCCCACGGTTTGTGAACAAGGTCCGGGCCACCCCCTTTGTGGAGGGGGAGGATGCACAGATCACCTGCACTGTGGAAGGTGCCCCGTACCCTCAGATCAGGTGAGGCCTGGGCTGCAGGGGTAAGGGATGCAGCTCCTGCCAGTGGTGGGAGGGCTGGACAGCCTGACCTTCTAAGCCAGGGAGGTTGTACATGGCCACTGATCTCTGGAAAGTGGGTATCATGGGGTTGCGACTCTTGTTGGACGTAGGACCCTCTGTGGCTGGGCAGACATGGCTGGACCGTGGCTTCCAGGAAGGGAACTTAGTAGGGACACTGGATCTGGGGTAGCCTAGGAGGGGTTTTAAGCACCAGTAGCTCTGTCTGGAGGTGCCCTGAGGACCCTGAGGGTACCATGAAGATGGCTCTGGCTGGGCACTGGCTCACAGGACCTCCTGAATGGTTCCAGGTGGTACAAGGACGGTGCCCTGCTAACCCTGGGCAACAAGTACCAGATGCTGAATGAGCCCCGCAGTGGTGTCCTGGTGCTGGTGATCCGGGCAGCCAGCAAGGAGGACTTGGGACACTATGAGTGTGAGGTGAGGCATGTGTATGAGGGGCAGTAGCCATCCTCTGTGGTCTGATTAAACCCAGGTTCCACTGTGTAGGTGTAGATGCTCTAGGCCGACCAGAGGACATCAGATTGCTGTCACCCACCATCCTCATCTACCTGTCCTCTGCCCTGTAGCCTGTCCTTTCATGTTAGGCTGGGCCCTGTTATCTTGTCCCCTTTCCATTGTCCCCACCATTTCAAGATGATGCTTAGCCTGTTGGAGAGGACCTGGTGCTGACCTCTGTTGTCACTCACTAATGTAAAGATGTAGTACCGTTTACCCGGCGAGTCTGGCCTTGCCCATGCAAAGCTGACCTCCATCTCTGTGCTCTCTGTCCTCAGCTCTGAGGTGGAGACCAGTCTGGGTCCGCTGGCCTGTGTCCAGCTCTTACTAGAGCTCTTGTCTGGAAGCCAGACTCCTCTGTGTGGCTTCAGCTGTGACCCTAGGGGCACTTGCCTCCCATAAGACTTCCTGGAAGCAAGCGTACTCAAGTTAACTCTGGATTAGATAGTACAGGGGCTAGGGGCCATGCAATGACTAAAGTTAACTCCAGTTTCAGGTTCCTAATGTTCTAGTTCAAGTGCTCATCCCCTGCCCCCCACCTCCAGCTGAGCAGCCACACCCTGGCCAGAGGAGAAAGAGAGCAGTCTCCACATTAGGAATCTCTAGGGAGCCCATGGTTGGGCTAGGAGCCCTTTCCTCTGTACAAAACACACTGAGGGTCGTGGCTCACACTCACTAGACCATCAGAGCGGTTCTCGCAAGAGGGTCCAGATCCCTTGAGGAGCCTGGGTTCTCAGTGGGCCTCTGTTGTCCTTTTGGCAGTTGGTGAACCGGTTGGGCTCCACACGTGGTGGTGGAGAACTGTACATGCAGAGTCCTGCCCTGCGTGCCCGGGACCAGCACCACCGGGAACAGCTGGTGGCCGCTGTGGAAGGTAGGTTCTGTCTACCTGTGCTGTTTGTCTCAGCGACTCATGCGTTTTAAGCCCCAGGTGGGAACCTCCACTGGCCTGGAAAGAGCCTGGTGGGCCGGAAACTGTCAGCCCTCCAACCAGGAGGTGCCTCTAGGAGGAGGGGGCTAGCATCTCAGGGTGGAAAATGATGGAGGCCGAAAGCTGGGGAGGCATACAGGAGATCAGAGGAGGCAGCTGCAGGGTCACGTGTGCCCCTGTGAGGGCTGGAAGGCCATGAGCCCAGAGTGAGAGCTGGAAGTTGCCCTGGATAATGGGGATCCCACAGTCCTACTCAACCATTGTCTCTGCAGAAAAGACAGAGCTGGGCCTGCATCAGCTTGACTGGCAGTGGTCGTGGAGCCTCTGGGCAGGCAGCAGAGGGAGTGGGTGAAGGGTCCACATGAGTGCAGAAGACACACTGCTTGGAGCAGGGGCAGGTGTCAGGACATCCCATGGGGATGGGCTGCCCGTGAGAAGCACAACGCTGCAGTTCAGTGTCCTTGTCTTGGCTCAGGGTCACTCCTGGTGTACTAGTGGAGAGGGTGGGAGTGAGCTATTAAAGTCAGCCTCACTAGGGACTGGAGAGATAGCTAAATGGTTAAGAGCATTGGCTGCTCTTGCAGAGGACCTGAGTTCAGGTCCCAGTACATGGCCATGTCAGGCAGCTCACAACTGCCTCTAAATCTAGCTCCAGGGGGGTATCTGACACAATCTTATCTCTGTGAGTGTCAGCGCTCACATGTACAGTGTGTACATACTAATTATTATTAAAAACTAGATAAATACGCCTGACTAGGGACGGAAGGTGAGGTTGGTTACTCATCCTGGAAGATGTAAACAGGCCTCTGTTCACTTCAGATCATCTATAATAGACCAAAGAGATAATTCTACACGAGTCTTAGCAAACTGAAGAGTTTGTCGGGATTACTTATTAGTCCAGGTGAGGGATTACTTACAGAAACACGAATAACTCAAAGGCAGCGATGTCACTGAAGAGTCCAACCCAGCACGGGTGACTAATCCTGAAAGCACATCCCTGAGCACGTGGCCCATGCGACACACTTTGCAAGCAGCTCTGTGGGTTGACTTAGTAACAGCCTCTGTTTATACGACCCTGAGGAGGGGCCTTCCTTCCTTCCTCTGTCTTCATGAGTTTCCCTCACTGAAGGCATGTTGCAGATTGGAAGATGTAGCCACATAGTATTCCACCCCTTCCCCAGGCTCTCACATTCTTCCTGACTCCCCCCTTTTTTTTTGGAGTTCCCCTGAGCCTTGGAGGGATGGAATAGATGTCTGATTATTTTCTTCCATCCATGGCTGAGTGTGGCAGAGAAACAGTCATTTAGTTTCAGGAGGTGATGGATTATGAGTCTCGGTCACACACCCCTCACTGGAAAAAGTGAAGTTTTCCTCCATGACTGACCAAACTGACTGACCAAAGCCAACAGCTGCAGTTATGGTTGGGTGTAAACACAAATGTTTAGAAGGCAGTCTGATAGGCACATCGCGTCCAGTGAACGAAACAACAGTCGTTACCTCCACACTGGAACCACAGGCTTTTGCCCTTCCTTACTGTACCTTATGTGGCTTCCCTCTCGTGGGGCAGACGTTAAATCTGATAGGAAAGCAGATGGTTGCCCCGCAACAGTTGTGCCCATGTTGTGCTAGCAAGCACACCTTGCTTGGCATGTTAGTAGTGTAGTACACATGGCCACTCATACCTGATGATGACTGTTTGGCACTTTACCACTGGTCCAGGTAGCGCCTTCTGGCACTAGCCAGCAAAGAGGGAATTTCCATTTCAGTTCCAACCTTATTTTCCAAGTCCTGTGTTCAGAGTGTGTGACAGCTTTAGAGCAGGATCGTACCATTTAGTCCTGGTATACAGCAGTGACAACGGCCTTTATGGTTTGTAAGGCCTTGGGGGCCTCCATAGCCCACAGATGTAGAGAAGCAGCCCACCGCTGGCTCTGGAATCTTAGTCAACAGACATATGCTTCTACAGGTGTCTTCCCAGACATGTAGGTGCTTTCTTCTGAACTCCCTCACTGTTCTTCCAGATGCTTTGACAAATCTGTAAGACTCGCCTCAGGGGTCAGCATTATATGATGAGACTTTATTTTTTTTTAACAGAGGGTGGGTGGGTTCTCTGAAGGCCAGTCATCATCCATTCTAAGTATCAAGTGGTCTTGGTCAGCTAGGGGTATACTCAAAGAGAAGCATAATAGAGGGCCAGTGTCGTAGTAAAAGATCACATCACTTCTATCTGTTGCTTCGTCAAAGAGCAGTCGCAGGCACAGATGGGAGGTACTGCCTCATCTAGCCTTCCCGAATTCACAGTCATTTTTCATGAATCCCCTGCCCGCCTCACCCTGAGGTGCCGTTGCTGCTGCAGGACTCCTGTGCATCACCCTGCTTTCATGGCCTCCGCAGGATGGAGCCCAGGTTGCGTACGTCAGCACCCATTGCAGGATCCAGGCAACCGCCTCACCCCAAATGTCTTTGGTTCTTCTGGTCCCTATGCAGTCACCACTAGTGTGAGACTATCACTAGTGAGATGAAATGTCCCTATTTGTCCCAGGTATGGCACCGATGACAGATTAAAACACAGTTCTCCCCAAATCGAGATTAGTGAACCTGTGAGATTGTTGGGGTTACATATCACGGGAAGCCTGCTTCAGCAAGAGCAAGGACTCAAAAAGTTGTATCCTTAGAACTTGCAGCACAGTCTGGAGTCAGAGTCGCCACTTCCCAGAGGTTGTCACCGCTTAGGTAACTCGGGAAGCCGGCAGCGCCTTGTACATTTTGTTGACTTCTTGAGTCTTAATGAACCTCCCTCCGAGAGGGAGTGTTTCAGATTGGAGGAAGTGGCTGCATGACGAGGGTTATGACAAGACACTCTCGTGGACAGTCAGGATGGGGAGGAGCCAGCTAGTGCTGTCCTGTCTGGAAGGGGCTCCAAGACACTTGAGGGCATCACATCCCTGGGGATAGGCAAACAGAGACGGGACCAACACCAAGTGACCCACAGTTCCCATAGAAGAAGGGGTGGCATACATATCTTTTGCATACTGAAAGCTGGCACATGCTGTCCCCTGGCCACTGGAACCAGTTCCTGGCATCTAGTGGTCCTGTTTCCCAGACCTTCTCAGAACCGAGCAGGTCAGAGCCCAGCAGCTCAGCCTTGGGACCTCTGATGTCCTTCACTGTCCTCTCAAAGACACCCCCTGCTTCTTTGATGAGTTCTTGTCCCTCATAGGGTCAGAGACCCTGCACAAGCCCTTTTCTGTGACTTCTCACACCTGTTCTCTGTCTGACCACAACCTGGTCACTGAAACACCGTGCACACTTGCGTCTGCCGCCACCAGCACACTCACTTCCGGTGCACAGCCTGTCCTGTGCACATCTCCTCACTGTGCATAAGAGCATCCTGAATAGTCATTTACGTGGTTCTCGTGATGAGTCTTTTTCTGGGAGCAAGGAGGGATGGCAGCGTGGAAGGAGCAGGCCTTCAGGACTCTCTGGGATTGGATGTGTATCGACGCCTCGGGGAGGCAAGAAGGCTGGTCCTGGAAGACCCTGGAGCCAGAGTCCTGCCAACCTGCTTCCTAACTCCCACCCTGCTTCCTGTTAACCCTGCGGCTCTGCAGCCAGAGTGGTCTGACAGAACTCTGCGGGGGTGGCTGCACTCTTGCTTTGTCCTGCCTCAGGCTGGGAGCCCTGCTTTGCACAATTACAGCCTGCCTGTGGCTGCCAGTCACACGCAGGCCCGAAGCTGTTACAGTTGAGCACTGGGAACAAAGGGACCAGGAACGTAGCATCTCAGGGGTGTTGTGCCCGTGGCCCTTGAGAGCAGAAAATGGGGTCCATTAGTGAAGGTGAAGGTGTTGGAGCAGGTGGGAAACACGTTGGTCATCTGTGTACACCAAGCTCTGGGGCTGGAACCTAGATTCTCACTATGGAGTCCCTTCCCATTAGGGGAAACCTACACACACACACACACACACACACACACACACACACTTAGAAACACATACATGCCTACACACATGTGCATGTACATGTGTGTAGCATGTGTGTAACCATGCACATAATGTACACATATACATGCACACACATGTATGCATGTGTGTTCAAACATATATATGCATATGTAAGCATATATGTGCCTGTGTGCAAGACATATGTATGTATGTGCCTATATCCAAGCACATAGTAAATGCATCTGCTATACACGCAGACTCTGATGGTACTTTAACTCATGTGCACCTCAGCTGGAGAGGATAACATGCTCTGTTGCCTTCATCCGTGTGGCCTTGCAGCAAACCAGGACCATTGAGATAGTGTCCCAGGCTACACCCCTGGGCAGTTTCCCCCACAAGGTTACAAAGGAGTCTGCTGAGACGTGAGGGTACAGGCAGTCTACAGGCTGCCTACTGCCCGGCTGCCAAGCCTTTGGGGTGCATCTGAGAGCCCATCTGAGGGTACTGTAGGGGAAGAGCCCTCTTGCTGCGTAGAGCCAGAGACAATCTGGTCCCAGATGAGTCCCAGCTTGTTTCTCAGTCTAGAGTTCCACATACTAGGTGGGAGCTGCTGGTATAGGACAGAGACATGCTGGGGTTGTCTCTACTGAGAGAGGCAGGTCCCCTTCCCATCCTGAGACACTGTCTAGGGCTGTTCCTAGGACATCTGTGGCCTCCCACCAACAGCTCAGATGTACCATTTTTGGAACTCTAGGGTCCATCCTGTTTTAAGTCTTCATGATTTTTTTTGTAAAAGAGGCATCGGCCATCTTATTTTAGTCTTAGTGTGCCTGATGACTCACTGTGCTGCTCCAGCTCCATCCTCACCCCTGGCCCTGCCCGGGGCTCAGATTCTATGTCTGAGAAGTGGATCCGTGTGTGGGACAACTTCACAGGACTCTCATGACCTATGGACTGAGTAAAGAGTGAGGTTTTATGCAGAGGCAGACTCTTCACCCC